TTATAAAAGCAAGGAGTCTTGACCTTGGGTGCTTTCAAGAACAAAATATGCAATAAAGTGATTTCAAATTGCGTTCAAGTTTGCATACAGTAATTTTAAAAAGCGCAAAGAGGAAATTTGAAAGTGCGTTTAAGTTTGCAGAGAGTAAATTCTAAAAAAGCGCATTTATTTTCTGATGAATACATAAAAGATAATTTAAGAAGAATTAGTAGAGTGAGTCTAGTTTCGTTTCTAAATTTAAACTTCAATCATATGTGAATGCAAATCAACTGAAATTTGTGTATTCAAATAAACTATGATACTAAACATCTAGCTTTGTCCATCACACGATCTTAAGTCATATATCTATGTTATGCAATTGAATCGAGCTTTGTACGCCTTCGACTTTTGCTTGCATTTTCTAAAATCACGTTTTTTTATTTGCGTTTTATATTACCAAAATATTTCATTAGAAATACAACATGTTTTATTCATTTATTGCTTTTAATTGTTTAATTATTATTATTGCTATTTTATTTTTTATTTATTTATTCATTTTTATCTATATACTTTTTGTTGTTGGTGGTGTTTTTTGTTGTGGCCGGGTTATATATTTTTTTACAAGAATTTGTAGATATGTCCAAGGAACTCAGTAGGCATGAGGTGATGGAGTATTTCATAAGATCTACATAATAATTATGTCATTATTGTATTTAAGAACGCTGCAATATAATATGAAAGTTCTGAAGGCGAGAGACAAGAGACGTCAGGTCAAAGTGCAATTATACTGTCAGACTGCTTTACAGATCTAATTTGATTTTCATTCCTTATATTGAAACTTTTGCAAAATATGTCCAAATTACCGTCTAGTTTCGAAAGAAGGAAAACAGTTCTCATTTGTTCATAATCGAAAACAAAATGACATTGTGGATGATACTTCTATATTTTCTAATATAGTGAAGTAATAAAGTACAGGATATAGACATAGACCTATGCTCTTATATTGTTACGTATATAAAATTTTAAATGCCACGGCCTTTGATATTTAAACTGAACCGAAACAAGAAGTATAGCTTTAAAAAGACACACTGCTGTTGTTAACTCGGTTTCAGTGTTGAATATTATTCATGTTTTGGACTTAACCTGTCCGGCAAATGCCGGTAAATGGATGGCTGATAGTCTGTTAATTTACCGGAAGTCAATGTGGAAACAGAGAAATTACGACCGAAAAAATGCAGGGTTTATATGATATAACATGTATGTATACAGCAAGAACATTTTGCACTAAACAAATATTACGCATCCGTAAGAAATACCAATCCCACCCCCACCACCACCCCCTCCCCAAAAAAATTAAAGAAAGTAAAAGCAAATAGAATAAAAAACATCCGATTTAAGTGCATGGCGACAGTCAGTATCGTATACATGAGGGCAGTCACTATATGATATTAAACATTGCTATAAATCTACAGATCTATATATTTATTGTAGTAAATGAATCTGATTCTTTTACATGTATTACTAGACACTTTACTGAAATATACTTTCGTTTTATTCTTTCTTTTATTCTTTTTGTGTAATAACTTACGAAAGCGTTAACATCTTTACAGATGACTTAAAACTGAAGAACATATCACGTAGTCGAGTACAAGTATTAAATCTCTAATTAATTATCTTAATTTTTTTTTATAAAGTCACACCGTTTGAAACAAATCAAAAGTGAATTGTAAACGCTTGAAATGCGGGAGACAACTAAAAAAGAAACCATTAATGTGTGCCGAATTAAAGCAATTTAGTGGAAAACGTACCGCCTATTAGGCGTAATACTAGGAATAGCGGTTTTTTTTTCTTCAAGAGACAATCCCAATAGTTTCCTACTTTCAAAGTGATTATTAGTCTTAATGAAACTTTACAATCCTTAAAGTGTGGAATACAACACAAGTTCGGAAGCCGTAATTTCCTTCAGAACGCATAATTATGGTCGAGCAATTCATTTTTAGTGTGGAGCTTTTACAGCTTTACCATTGTCTTGGTGTTTTCTAATTAAAAGTTTGAATCATACTCTGTAATTCTGGCATAATTTGTCACTCCTTTTGATTGCCTCTGGCCTTAAAGAGAACAAAAGACATTTTACAAGCAGACGAAAAACGTTAAGTATTCCGTCACGTGACCTAAGGTCGTAAAAATGGCGGGAGATCGCACCCTGTCATAACCTGCTATAACTGGGAATATTTTTAGGCTCCTGAACAATCATTTCTTTAACAAGATGTCTGTAAAGGTTAACAACTTCTAGATCTCTAAGGACATATCTCTTACAAAATACAGTCGTATCTTAAATTGTTTTCTTTAACAACAATGTCTAGGCTTAAAGCATGGCGTAGATGACCTTCTCGATCTTTTTTTCCCAGAAAACACTTGTACACAACGTATGTGTTTAATCTTTAAATTTCAAATTTAAGATGTTACAGGCGTGAACAACATTTTTTTTCAAATTATCATTTATTATTAAAAAAAATATTTATTTTACATTACATTCAACTTTTTATTGTAAGTCAAAATTATGCAATATAAGCTCATCTTAAAATAACGGTCATTTGTCATTACAGTTAACCCGGAGTTTATTTCACATATTTGAACATTTCAGAGCAAATCTCATTAAAAAAAAACAACATCAATTTCAGTTTTACTGATATATTATATAATTGTATCTCCGTTATTGATCTATCAAAAATAGAGATAGATAAGTCAATCAATCAATCAATCAATCAATCAATCAATCAATCAATCAATCAATCAATCAATTTCTTTTGAAAACTGCACTATACTAATCAGAAATCGTAGATCTATATAAATTTAATAAGATACTTTTTAACTATAACTAAATGGCACATTATATTTCACCTTGTGAACACCAAAAGTTCATATTTCACTCGTGGCTGCGCCACTCGTGAAATATACCTTTTGGTGCTCACTCGGTGAAATATATTCTTACACTGAACTTAACAAATATACTCTATATAACTCATACGATGATCAACTAGTCAAAGGGGAGTAACTGTTACATGAAGCTGAATAATTGACATAATCGATTTACCTTTCTTAGCCGATGACACCAAATCAACATACATGTATACAACAAATTTATGATTTACTTCGAATTCCGTTCATTTGCATTTAAAAGCCAAAACAGTAAGAAATTAAACAATATTTTTTTGTTCATCTCCCAAATAATGCACTTTAAAATGTGCCGTAAAGGTAGGAAAGTGTAAACTATTTTCACATACATTTCATACACAACACTAATTCACTATACTTATACCAAATGCCAACATAGCTATAGAAGCAGTTTTAGTTCATCTATATGGCAAATGAGTATTTCTTGAATACTGTAACAAAATACCAAACATTTAAAGATTTTGTGAAATAGAAATGATAATATTTCTGAGGCATAATGAGCCTTTAAATAAGAAAACACTTGACTATATATCCCGCTGTTTTAGGATTGTCTCAGATTTTCCACTTTATATTATTTTTATTACGCCACACTTCGATTTCAATATAGCAATATTATTAAAAGTAACATAAGAACTTACTAAATAAATTAAAAATATATACACAAGTGATTAAAAACAGCCGAGGATTACCAACGAAAGAAAACAACACTTAAATCCGTTTATAAAATATTTAGGAATCATTTTTCCCCAGGAGGTTTTTTTATTTATTTGATACACCGCGTATTAATTACCCATGCGTCATTAGATTGCGCCGAATTAATCTTATTTCCCAAATAAATATTTTGCCGAATATAAAGGCTATTTTTATTGCTTAATATACATTGGAGGTATTACTTTGTTGTTATTGCCGCAAATTTTTTTAAAAAAAGGGTAAAAACAGCAGCCAAAAATCGTGCTAAAATCGATCTAATGAAGGCGAAAATCATTTTCCTAAGTATGAGCCCTGTATCGTCTTTACTCTTATAAAGAGGTGAGTTTAATAATTGAATACACACGGTTTCAAGCAGCTTTCTGATACTTTTGTCTTGACGCTTGACACATTGTATACACACGGTTTTAAGCAACTTTCTGATACTTTTGTCTTGACGCACGGTTTCAAGCAACTTTCTGATACTTTTGTCTTGACGACATTGTATACACACGGTTTCAAGCAACTTTCTGATACTTTTGTCTTAAGGCACGGTTTCAAGCAACTTTCTAATACTTTTGTCTTGACGACATTGTATACACACGGTTTCAAGCAACTTTCTGATACTTTTGTCTTGAAGGCACGGTTTTAAGCAACTTTCTAATACTTTGGTCATGATGCACGGTTTCAAGCAACTTTCTAATAATTTTGTCTTGAGGACATCAAATATACACGGTTTCAAGCAACTTTCTGATACTTTTGTCTTGAGATCATTGTATACACACGGTTTCAAGCAACTTTTTGGTACTTTTGTCTTGAGGATATTGTATACACACGGTTTCAAGCAACTTTTTGGTACTTTTGTCTTGAGATCATTGTATACACACGGTTTCAAGCAACTTTTTGGTACTTTTGTCTTGAGGACATTGTATACACACGGTTTCGAGCAAGTGTCTAATACTTTTGTCTTGAGGATATTAATAAAATGGCCAATATAATTTTACTGTTGATAAACATTAAAAAAATAGTCCATAAGGTATCGCTATAAACCCTTTAAATATATCAGAAGATGCATAATAGGGTGAGGGGTGTGGGAGAGTGAAATTGGAAAAATAATAAAAAAAATTGTGTATCAATAATTAACTGAAACCAACCAAAAACAAAGTTTAAAAAAATATGATTTTCATCTCTTATTTCACTGTGGAATACTTACATGCTCAACATATAAATAAAAATATTGCCCCACACAGATATCAGCAGTTTAAGTTGTCTGCTTTAAGGCCGAAGATTTTCCTATACTGTGACAGACTTTTCTTGCACTTGTATATATTATGTATCTAACACCACACACGATCAATTTTTACTATAAATGGACTAACTTGTTACGACAGCTGTGTGACTTGATCCACATCCCACGTGCTTAACTTGATGGTCTCGTGCAGCACAGAATCTTTCCACGGCCCCGTCCAGAAATGCGACTTCCTTCTTGTATCCGTGTCCGTGTTGTCCGAATTCTCCGGATCCCCAACACAGCATGTGACCAGTGGCATCTTCCCGGAAGTGCACACTGTCCGAACGCGCGTCCGCCTGCATTTCCTCGCGTCTGAAATATAATAAGGAACAAATATCATTCAGAAAAGGGAAATATATACTCATTTTGACATGTGTTTTTAAGAAAAATATACAAAGCCCCCATTATAAAGCGTTCAAAAGATCAAGCTTTTGGGATCATGTCATTCGATGTTATTAATCCTTGTTCCTTTTACAGCTGTGTTCTATCCCCAAAAAGTGTGCTTTCTCTTAAACACATCGCAGAAGCTCGGCAATTTGTTTGCAGAACATTAACAGTTGCAATTACAATTAGACCACGTGCTTTGATAAACAATTGGAGTGCAAGTGCACGTGTCACCTGTTGTATAACTTCAACAATAAAGCTGAACAAAAAACACATCCGGTGGTCTTGATTTTATCGACTGTACTTAAAACCCACACAAGAATTGAAATAAAAGTCATTTTATAATTAAATAAAGAAATTGCAATGTGGCCGTTTAGTTTAATCATTTTCAAATGAACTTTTACATCATCGTGAATTTAAAACAAAACATCTACGCTTACATGGGAGGCAACATGGAATAGCCGTATCTCGGAATATCCTTCATTTTTTGTCTTCTTTAAAATCCAACTAACTATTGTTGCAGAATTTTGTTGAGTATATTAAGACTTCATTTATATATGCATTCCAAACCATCCGAGATCTAAGCAGTTCCGAATTTTTATTGTCATTTTTATTCTTTATCATTTTTTAATTAAATTTTAAAGCAGACGACACATTGTAATATCCAACTTCATTTACATATGCATTTTAAACCGTCTGAGACCCAACCACTTCCGATTCTTTTTCGTCATTTTTATTTCTTGATTTTTAAAAAAAAATTTTTTTTACAGCAGACGACAAATTTTAACATCCAAAGCAGACGACATATTTTAACATCCAACAGAATAAACTACTCTGCCCTCATCTAATTAAAAAACATTTCAATACAATCCTTCTTGTTATTCCCGACTCTCTCCGTCAATATATTCTTTTCATGTTTAACAAATCAACTAATAAGATAAATAAGAATTTAATTAAAAAGGAGTTTCTAAATCCCGATTTCCGCTAAAATGCGATTATTAACGTAATATTGCATTTGAAATCGAATAAATAAATCCCGCCCTTGTCCCAGTGCACTGATTTTAGGTTATGCATTTTACTTATCATTAAGCGTTTTTGGTTAATGCGATTCCCTCGTTGTATACGAGAACTCAGATCTTAACTTTCAAAAATAACCCTCAAACAAATATTATTAAAAGCAGTCAAACAAAAGTCAAGTGTTGTTTAGCATTTATCACGATAAATGTTTGAAAGATATGTAAATTCCTAGTGTCGTATAGTCATATAGCCATTATCTCGGATCTAAAAAGAATTTATTAAAATCAATTGTGTATTTCACTTTTCAATTTTTGCCCATCGGATTACATTACGTTTGTGATTGATTAGGAAAACACAATCGGGGTTGTTCTTTTTCCGAGCGGTGTTTACTTTGCATCACGCGTATTTGATTTCTATTTTCCTCGTATTGATTTTTGTTCGATTAGAGTATACGGTCCGGAAACTGCGTGGTACATCACACAGGTTTGAAATTGCAAACCAAGAAAGGTAAGCGGAACTAATTTCGACAAGGGACGTTACCACGAGAGATCATCCTACGTTCCATTTTAAAATCATTGAAAAACACGTCACGTCACTTTTTACAACTTTGTCACTTCTAGCCCTATAATTTCAACTGAATTTATTTTCCATTTACAAAATGTTGTTAACGCCATTTTAATTTTACTATCGTCTGCGACAAAAATATCAACACTCGAATATGTTCCGTATGTTTTCATTCCAATCAACTTCTAGAGTAAATACATTTTTGTTCCAATGTTTGTTCCACGTATACCGACCCGATCACAAATTAAATACTATATGTATATGCAGTGAGCACGTGCAATATAAAATAGATAACGACTCAACTGAATTCAATTAAATAAAAACGCGGAGTAATTATTTAGTTTCATTTGTGTATTGATTGTCTATTTAAGTTCCAGACCGGGTGAACAGATCAAGCCCCGGGCTACCATCGATCAAAGTGAAGCGACTCTGGTCTGGAATGCGCTGTTTGAACAGATCTTCCAGGGCGATCTACATTTATCAAGTAAATAAACCCCTTATTAGTTGTCAACAACTTTTTTATCCGTTTCTTAATCTCAATTTATCTCCTGAAACTACTTGAAAATAAGGAAAGGATTTTAAAAACTCGAGTTTACCTTAGCAGTGACGCAAAAACAAAATACAGACGTATTAGTCCATTTTCTAAGGCACGTTTGATTAAAATCGGATGAAAATGGAGGAGGGATGTTTTAAAACTAATTTTAAACTAAAATTTTGGAAACAGTGACAACAAATAGTGCACAAATAATGTTTTAGAATTTTTGTATGAAACGCCTAAAAAAATCTAAAAAAAAATGTACATCTTTTTAAATACATTGAATCGAACTATATTGTTAGGAGTAAGGTTTTTTTTATGTAACACATGTTTTTGGCTTGTGCAAGTGGAAACAACGATATAAGTAGACGATGGTAAGTTTATAGAGTTATGCATATATGTTTAAAAAAATATTATAAAACTACCCGTTTGTAACTTCAAAGTTAATTGCACATTCATGAAAATACATCCGGATGCCGCCGGGAGCAGTGATTGTTAGAAAACGTCTTTTTGGATGCTTAAAAACTCTTATTGATATGCAAAATGATTATTAAAGGGATTCCAATAATGTTGTTTTCTTTTATATAACGGAACTGGAAATATTTTTTTTTATTTGTAAAAGTTCTGTGCAAAATTTCAGATGATTCATTCACTTCGTTATTCAAGAATAATAATTCTAATTGTGAAAATTGATCTTAAATTGAAAACTTTTCACTCAGGTTTGGCTGAGAATAGCCCAAAAATATGATTTTCAATTTATTTCTGAATATATTTCTTAACCATCTTTTAGCTTTAGTTTTCCCAATTGAGCAATGCAAGAAATTCTTTTTTAGGATTTTGGACCTTTAATATATTTAGTTATAAATATTAATATATCTATATTTTATTTTATCAATGGAATAGATATTTTCATAGCTATTAAAGAAACTCAACTGGGACATAAAGATATGCAAAAGATCAAAAGAAATGTAATCAGAAATAACATCAAAATCTTATTTTTATGCTATATTTCGGCTGTAAACTTATATAAATCAGACTCGTAAGTAATATGTAGCAAGATACTGAGCCATATAACTTATCGAAAGTATTTATTACTAAAACATACCTATTTATGTAAATTATAGAGAGTTTTTTTTACACGTTAAACTATGAGTATATTTCTTTCAAATGTTATCTGTATTTATCGTGTAGTATAGTGTAAAACAAACATTGCATTTATTGCATTTTGGCACAATAAATTTCATCAAGAGTGTTATATTTTAAGCAATACATCTATTATACAGTATATTCGTAAATGTTTGGCAAAATACGACAATTTTCGAGACCTATAAAGATTAAATAAGCGCCTTCATGATCATGATCATGATAGTCAGATAGAGAATAATCATGTCATCTCACCTCGGAAGTCGCCATATGACCATTCCAGCGTCGCCATTTCGTTATTTGCAAAGTTTATGCAAAAAGGCGTTGATTTGTAAGTTTTTTTTTTCATTTTACGCCTTTCCCCAACAGTATTTCAGTCATATAGGCGGGTAGTTTCCTAACCATCGTTCCTGGAGAGTCTAGTAAAGCTCCAGGAACGATGGTTAGGAAACTACCCGTCTATATGACTGAAATGCTGTTGGGAAAAGGCGTACAATGAAACAAACATACAAACAAACAAACAAACAAACAAACAAATCAACGCATTTTTGCATAAACTTAGCATATAACGAAATGGCGACGCTGGAATGGTCACATGGCGACTTCCGAGGTTAACTGGTACAGTAAGACTCCGGGCGCCAGTCCGTGCGTGACTGTGGGACAAGCGGGAAGCTGAGTAGAACAACCGACTTCCCGAAAGCTAGCTGGATAGCTTCCTAGTCTGAAGTTCCTTTCTCTTACACTACCTTAGGCCGTAGGCAGGGGACCAGATTAGATAGCTTCCTTACTTTTAGGAATTGAAAGTCCCTTGCAAGATTCGAACCCACAGCGGTAAGGGGCAAGTTTTTTTTTAAAGTCAACGGCCACGTATCGATGCTTGCTGTATCTGTACAATAACCTTTACAAGTAAAAATTCATTTATGTTCCATGTAAAGTTGTTGAAGTAAAAGTATACCATTCGAATGATGGAGTAAAGTTGTTTCTAACGAGTTTAGGGCATTAATTAAACTGTGAACTTTAGTTTAGTTTAAACATAGTTTATTTCGAACAAATTCACAATATATATACAGACAATAATGTACACAATACAAACATAATATGCTGAAAAAGGATTGGGTCCGAAAGCTGAGCTTATAAAGGCCTTCTCCTTATAGATTTACAATGCATAAAATACGGTATGACAGTATATGTGACTTGCTTGAAATATATCTGATTTTACATTTTTTTTTTAAGAAGTTAAAGTCAAAATTGTTTCTAACATTTAGTTATAATGTAAAGCAAATATTAATACAAAAAAATGAATGAGAATACAAGACTGCATCATTTGTTATATAAAATTAAAGAGAAATAACATAAATTAAGATAGAAAGAAATGAAGTAAGAAACTTTCAGCAAAATAGAAAAGAAGAAGAAATAAATTAAATGTGGATCATTCGGATAGTTCGGCGATTTAGATGGGAAGTATTTATTGATTTGAGCTGATGTGAATATGCTTAAGAGAATCTCCTGCTTTCTCGGATGTATGTATGAACGGCTTCAAACAGTCTTCTGTTTGCATCATCACTAATGTTTGGGTCTCCATTTAATAACTTTTGGAGAGTTGCTGAACAAATAGTAGATATAGTGTTAAGAAAAGAGGCCCTGCTGTCAGCATAGCGATGACATTCAAAGAAAAAGTGGTAATTACTTTCCACTATGCCACACTGACAAAGTGGAGATGGAGAAATATTTTTCTTAAATAGATGCTGATTTAGTGAACTACATTCAGTACGAAGTCGAGCATGAAAGATCTGCCATTTTCTATCGCCTTCATAGAAATAAATCGGACAACTAGAGCTGCTTCGTCTCAAATGGGATTTGAAAGCAAACAGTGAACGTAAATTTTGCACTTCAGTTGGAAGGGCGTTCCATTTATTCAGAGCAGTTGGAAGAAAAGCATTTTGATAAAGAGTAGTTCGTGTTCGAAAGTCTGAATATTTGTAGCATTGCGTAGATCGTACCTTGAATTTTCGCCTACAGTAGGTGGAAGTAAAGAACACAAGTAATCTGGTGTTAAGCCATTTTTCATTTTATAAAGTAAGATAAGCATATGATTATTTCTTCGAGATTCTAAGGATTCCCAAGGAACTTCACTATGGAGTTTGTCTAATGATACAAGTTTTGTAGCACCGCACACAATACGAGACGCTTCATTTTGAATTTTGTCAAGCTCAAGTTTCTCATATTGTGTGCAGTTTAGATAGACAACATCGGCGTATTCCAAAAGCGGTCGGATGAAAGTTAAATATATCACTTCAAGAGATCTACGGTCAAGTTGAAACTTCAATTTCCTCATGATGTGTATCCTCTTCCAAGCTCGTTCGGTAATATAGTTAATGTGACAATGCCACGAGCAATCGTCTGAAAGGTGGATGCCAAGATGTTTGTGACTGTTTACAGTTGTTATTTGTTGGTTATGCATTAGAAGTGAAGAGTGAAAGGGTTTATTTCTTTTACGAGAGATAACCATAGATTCAGACTTCGATGGATTGAAAGTAACTAGCCATTTTTCAGCCCAAGCTGATATCTTGTCTATATCAGATTGAAGTGTTTCAGCAGCAGAAGCAGGGTTGTCAACAATAATATGTAAACTTGTATCGTCAGCAAAAAGATTGATTTTAGAGCCTATATCTTCCACGATGTCATTGATGAAAACAAGAAATAGTAGCGGCCCAAGGATGGAGCCTTGGGGTACTCCAGCCTTTACTATCGACCAGTCTGATTGGACCCCAGGTAGGATAACCGCCTGGTGCCTGTTACTTAGATAGTCAGAAAACCAGTTAAGTAGACAACCGTCTATTCCAGCAGCTTTCAGCTTAAAGAGAAGACCTTTGTGCCAGACTTTATCAAACGCTTTACTTATGTCAAAGAACACAGCTCTAACTTCTAATCCGTCATCTAAAGCTTTACAGAATGTGTTGTACAAGTACGTTAACTGGTTTACCGTTGAGTCACCTGGTCTGAAGCCTGACTGTACGGAAGAAAGAAAGTTATTATCTTGAAGAAAATTAAAAAGATACTTAAATATAATACGTTCAAAAACCTTTTCTATGCAGCACAACAGGGAAATCGGACGATAGTTATTTGGAACAGATGGATCACCTTTTTTAAAGACAGCACACACATTGGCCTTTTTCCATGTAAATGGTATTTTACAAGTCAGAAGAGACTGATTGAACAACGAACATAGGGGAAATTTAATAACTGAAGCAGTTTCCCGCAATATTCGGTTACTGACCCCATCAGGACCTGAAGCTTTGTTTGTTTTAATTGACAGCAGAGCGTCTTCAACATCCTGAGGAGTAATAGAAATGGAACAAAGTGTGTTTATAGGCATATTACAATCATTAAAATGAAGTTCTTTATCAGAATTATTTAGCGACGACTGGCTACAGAAAAAGTCATTCAAAAGGTCAGATTTCAATTTTGAATCAAAAACAAGTTCACCGTTGATTGGGTTTTTAAGTGGAGGAATGCTTTGTTTATCAGTGGGAGAGATAAAGTATTTGATTAGTTTCCACCAGTCCTTCTGTGTAGTACAGTCTGACTTGAGAGACTCTGCCATTTGTAAGAAGTGGTTATGTTTAGCCGTGCGTATAAGTGTAACGATTTTATTACGGAGTTGTCTAAATTTGTACCAATGGTGCGAGTTCTGTGAGTATTTGGCTCTGTGGTAATATTTTTTGCGCTTATGTATTAGTTTCTTTATTTCTGTTGTAATCCACGGAGCATCGTTAGGCTTAACAGTTACTTGCCTCGTTGGGATGAATGATTTAGATAGTTCTAGGAGTTTGTTTGTAAATGAGGAAGTATAGATATTGATGTCATCTGTTTTCAACTGATTCCATTCGGTGTTACTAATGCTGTTTCGGAGAGAGACATAGTCTCCTTGATCGTACAGCCATACAAGTCGTTGGAATGATTTGGTTTGTGGTTTCTTGAAAGAGAATAGAGAGTATATAGGGCAGTGAAATCTCTGATTTTGGTCAAGGATCGGCTCTCCAACTCCCGATGCAATTACTCTGTGGCTACAGGATACAAGAAATAGATCCAGTAATGAACTAGAAGATTCGGTGAAATGTGTTGGTTCTGAAATAAGTTGTTCTAGATTAAACTGCTGGCATATAGAATTTAGTTTGCGGGCCATTTGTGGGTTAGAGTCATTGAAATTAAAGTCTCCTGTAACAATTATATCAGATATCCCAGTGTCAAGTGCCTGACTGAGTGAGAATTCTATTAAGTTAGTATAGTTGGAGTCTGAGTTTGGAGGTCGATAGAAAACAGCAAACAGGATACGTTTGGAATGTGAAGGCATCAGTTCAATCCAAATACACTCAAGACCATTGGGTTCAAGATCAGATCTTCTTATGTAGTGTAAAGTATTTCTTAAATAAACAATTACACCACCATAAGAATTCTCTATTCTATCCTTCCTCTCAGGCGCATGGAAATTGTTAAGTGCTATTTCATTGCAAGGAGTATTTGAGCTAAGCCACGTTTCACTGAAAGCAAGGACATCAAACATACCAAACTCAGCTTCTAAGATATCTATCTTGTTAAGGAGGCTTTGAACATTATACTGTAATATTGAAAGGCATCTACTGTTCTCAATCAATTCTGATATTGTACTTGATACTGAAGAAAATGAAGATGAACTAGTGGTTGACGAATCCGGACCAGGGTTAAGATGGACGTCGCCAGCTCTCAGAATGAGGCAAAATACCCAAAGGACACAAACGGCAAATGAAAGAGCAATCATAAGAAATTTGGTGAAAGTTGAATTACGAGTAGAGTTGGAACCTGGTAACATATGTCTTTGTGGGTACATAATATTGTGTTTCGCTTGGATCATAAGATGAGCAAGCACCGAATATGTAATTATTACATTAGACATAACGGGGAGTAGTACCATGATATGCAGGAGAATTGAATATTTCCATGGGCTAGCGTAATGTTGAGTGATCGTGGGTGAAAATAATATGTTTTTCATTATGTTATTGCTGAGAGAAACTCTAAAAAGTGGTTGGCCACGATCACGCATAGACATACACTAGCACATATCATCTTAATGCAAGTAGAACTATTCCGAATGAATGGGTAGAAATTTGGTTTATAGGTATGAGACAGGTTAGAATAATAGAGAAAAGTACAAAAATAGAAAAGAAAGTACATTTTCAATCTGGGTTTGATGAAACAATAATGTTAAATCTAAAATGTGATATAACTGATTATTAAGTTAAATTGAAGGTATATGAAATTGTATTATTGTAAACACAGCGACAAACTTGAATAGATTGATTCGATTCAATCATACTGTCAATTAACTTTTTATAAGAAACAACAAGAAGACAATTGATACTGCACAAACAAAATAGCAATCACAAAAAATTATCAATTTGTTACATGTGGTGAAGTAGTTAAAGTAAGTCGAAAACACTTAGGTAGTAGTTATAGCACGTAGACATATTTATCATATACTGTAGAAAATAATAGCAAGTAGTCACATGTAACTGTAGTTATAATAGTATGTAATCACTTTAAACTGCAGGGCAAAAAATAGCAATTAGTTCATTGCAAGTCTAGTAATAATATCAAGTAGACACATAAAATTTAAAGATATAAAAAGAATGTGTATAAACAATCACATGACACTACAATGTACAGTAATAATAGCAAGAAATTGTTTGAAAATATAGAACATATTAGCAAGTCTATTGTTTTATTAGTATAGCATGAATTCACTTAAAATAATCAAGTAGGAATTAGTTACACTTAAAACTGTAGCAAAAATAATAGCATGTAATGTGCGTTTGTAGTAAAAGTAGCATAAATTCACTTGTAATACTAATAGTAGGAATTAGTTACACTTGATACTGTAGCAAAATAATAGCATGTAGTGTGCTATTGTAGTAAAAGTAGCATGACTGCACTTGTAATACTAATAGTAGGAATTAGTTACACTTGATACTGTAGCAAAATAATAGCATGTAGTGTGCTATTGTAGTAAAAGTAGCATGACTGCACTTGTAATACTAATAGTAGGAATTAGTTACACTTGATACTGTAGTAGATAATATCATGTAATAATAGTAGCATGAATTCACTTAAAATACTAGTAGTATAGGAAGTAGTTACACTTAATACTGTATTAAATAGTAGCATGTAATCTTATATTGTAGTTAAAATAGCATGAATTCACTAATAAAAAATAATAGGAAGCAGTTAATTGAAACTGAAGTAAATGATAGTATGTAACCACATTAATATGTCATTGTAATTTCAAGTAGTCAAATTGTAGTAATGATAGCAAGTAGACATTGTAATTATAGAAAAATTACAAGTAGTTACATAAGACTATATTAATAATAACAAGGAGTCACGAGGAATTGTAGATAGACAGCAGTCTCACATAACAATAATAATAATAATAAAATAATAATAGCAAGAAGTCACATATAACGCTGCATTAAAAAGAACAAGAAGTCACTCTTTGAAATTTTAGTATACACAAATGCATTATAGCTAGTAGTCTTATGAAAATGTAGGTTAAAATAGGTCATAGTCACCTGAAGCTATATGGATATTAGCAAGTAATTACATACATGTAAAATTGTGGTAATAATAATAATAATAAAAAAAAAAAATTTCCTTCAAACTATTAGATTTCACACTCTTGAAAAACATCAGGAAGTTATTAAGCAAGATCAAGCTTTTACATATGAGTGATAATTAATTAGATCTAATGCAAGTATATACCTAACACTTACAGGAATGATCATTTAGTAAACTTGTTTATTCAAGGTTCATTTATTTGTATATTTAAATAGATTATAAGTCATTTTAAGCAAGTAATCGTGATTAAAATAATAACAATACATAATCAATTACAACTCATAGTGATGAACTCTTGTGAAGCAGTAGTACATGGGAGATAACCGAGAGTTTCCAGACACGTTAACTGTATAATAATTGTATTTTTGATAATAAATATATATTGTCACTAAGGATGTTCAGTCACTTGTTAAGTTTATTTTAAACACTTATATTTCATATATGATTATCACTTTTAATTTAGTCAAATACACATAATTATATATGAATTTTTAGACCTACGGGTCATCGATTATGAGATAGAAATTTTAAATGTTACACTTTATACACAGTAGCGTTATATCTAGGTTAGTAAATTCACTGAGCCGTTAACAACACGAGTATACTTCACGCAAAAACTTCTGAACACTTTCACTTGTCATATGACATTAATATGTTATTAAAGCGGAGTACATCTATGTTGATGGAATAGGTGTTCCACTTTTGTGTTGCATGAGTTCAGATAAAGTACTAACTCGGTGTATCTTATGGCTGGCATCTTTAATCATGATATTTCCATCGTATGTCCAGGCGCCATTTAAAAACCGACTTTTGACCAGTTGCCTTGCCTTGTAAAAGAGAGACGAGCGTATCTGTGTTAAGGATTCGTTGATGAATACCCTCGGATAGCCCTTACTTTTCAAATCAACTCTAGCCTTATACAGGACGTTTCTCGCTCTGTATGATTTAAATTTTACAATGATATCCCTGGGTTTGTTGGGATTGACAACTCCTATACGATGAGACCTATCAATATCTTCAAGCGACACTTCAACATTTAGTGCCTGTGCTATTTCGACAACTTTGAGATCAGTGGGTTCATACTTCAAAATATCTTTCGATATGGCGTCGGGCTCCTTACTAGTTTCGAAGTCAGGAACACCACTGATTCGGAGTGTGTTTCGCTTGCTGTATTGCAGGTTATTATCAGCTTTGAAGGAAAGGTCACAATAAAGGATGTATGAGTGTCGATATACATTTTATTGCAACCCCCACCATGTTTTTTTTTTGAAATATGGAAGGTATTAGATTGTCAAAGCTATAGTGAAGGCACCTCTCTTGAGAGTTTGACACATTTCCTGTTTATTTGGCGCCAAAACAAAACCGCCGCACTGACGTATAAATTCAATCGGAACATCTCGGCTAATATTCATAATAACCTCGGACTTTATATGGATTGAAAGTAGTTATTGTCGTAAAATTATTAAACAAATACACTCATGTCTCAAGAATTCAGATGTTACATTTTCCACCATGGCTTATCATTGAAATAAAATAGGTCATTGTTATTTCAGACTTTCACCGAGTTTACTCATAAGTACATTTGTTCTCACAATGGATAGTTTTCCTATTTTCCTGCTTTGCGTATTTTTTATTAACTTAACTTATGGTAATGTTATAGTAAGTACAAAGTACGGAGATGTGCTGGGGACTAAGACGGACAAAGCTTTGCAGTTTTTAGGGATACCGTTTGCGAAACCACCTGTCGGTGATCTTAGGTAAATATTATTTGTTTATAAACCTTATATCAAATCAAAGCAAACAACTTTATTCACATAGGTATGATTACATCATTACGATACTCTATGATACCCGGTAAGTTTTAACATGATTATTTTATGTCAACTGTGAAGAAAGCTTGCAATCGGAACATCTTGGCTATTATTTATAATAACTTATCCAAAGTTTGGCGGAAAGGGCCGGAAGGGTGCGATTGGAAAGCTTGAAGTGTAATTGAACCGCTCCATTATCCAATTGTCAGATTTAAGGAAACATGGCTGCGGCTCAATAAGGACTCGAACCCTCCAAATTTTCAGAGGCAGCAGAGCAATCGGCCCATCATTCCCTTTTGTGTCTCTGCATGTATGAAAATGATAACCACAATATTTGCTTAACTTATCTATGAAAATTTGCTTAATCTCGTAGAGAAATTATATAAAAAGATCTAGTCATGAAATTGTACTTGGTTATCCATAATTGCATAAACTTTGTTTGCAGAATTATTAAGTTTAAACCATACTTTAATAAAAAAAAAACAGATATTAAATGCAATCAATTGATAACATTTAATATAATATTTCCAATATTTCACAATATGCTTTTTAAAGTATTTCATTTTCAATATTGTACAATATGCTTTGTTAAGTATTTCATTCTATTTAAAAAAGGAGAACTGCTGGTATTTGAATTTTGTTAAAGGGAGATGACTTGTAAGAGTTGTATAATTTGCTAAAGGGAGATAATTTGTAAGGGTTATATAATTTTCTAAAGGGAGATAATTTGTAAAGATTTCTAGTATAAATCTGTTGTTTTTTCTTCAGATGGAGGTCCCCGGAATCACCGGAATCTTGGTCCCCAAATGTTTATAATGCAACGGTTCGAGCCCCAGGCTGTCCACAGAAATTCTGCACCAAGTACCTGCCAGACAGCGGCTGCCCAACAGAAGTAATTTTACAATTATCCTGATTATTTATCTTTTTTTTTTTCATAAAATTTTGTAAAATGCTTTTAATGTAGCACCCAAACTAGCCCTTTGTGGAAATTCCGAACCCTCGCAAAAATGTTCATAAATTTAGGTACGAGAGAATTTTTAGGACTATCATAGTTCTTAACAACCTGTCAATTTAATTTATTTGTCGATTTTTGGATTCGAACTAACGCATTCTGAGAGAACATATCGAGGTTAAGCTAACGTCCTGTACACTTTTCATATTTGTTCTTTACTGGCAAGCATTATTTGACTTATGAATAATTAATTAATAGCATAATTTGACATATAAGTAGTTGATAATCCGTATTTTTAGGTATTATTCGACTGATCAATAATGAATAATCTTTATTCGACTAATAAATTATTAATAAATAGCAAACATAATATTTAAAGTGTGAATAACTGATAACTTAACATAAGCGTTTAAAAGTCATTCAACATACAAAAGGCCTATGTTTTAATCAATACAAATGCACTGGCTTTAAATCCACCGCGTAATGGTTTGCAAATAAATAGAAAGAAAAATGTTTATTATATATATCGATAATTGTCATCTGATTGAAAAGATCTTTTAAAAGAAAATCAGCGTTATTGACTTAAACTGAAAAAAACGGGAATCTTTAATAAAAGCCAATCCAATGTTGTTTTTATAATATACATTTATATAAAATACGTTTCTTTTCATAGACTTCGGAGGACTGTCTATATTTAAATGTGTGGACGCCACTTAACGCCCAGAATTCAATGAAATACCCGGTTATGGTATTTCTACATGGCGGGGCGTTTAAATGGGGCTATCCGGCGGCAGACGTCTACGACGGGAATAATATAGCTAATCACGGCGAGGTTGTTCTTGTTACTGTTGCTTACAGAATAGGTAGGCTTCATTAAACCTGTGACACGCTAAATATCTTAAATGAACTTGTCCATCTAGACAAAATCGTCGATCGTTTTTTAAGAAAAAATTATAACATACTGACTGAATAGCGACCAGTGCAGACCATAACCACACGGCACAGACGTGCCGGCTGATATTGGTCTGCACTGGTCGCATGGGTTGAATCAGATGCCCCTAGCAGGCTAAGAGTTAAGAAGTTAATAATTTACCTACGCATATGAGATGCCCACAACATTTAATATCAATGCATAAGATATGAAATACTGAACTATCTCCCTTTGAAATAAAATCAGATGCCCCTAGCAAGCTTAGATTTAAAGAAATAATAAGGTACGTACGCATATAAGATGCCCTCAATGCTAAAAATATGAAATATTGAATTACCTCCCTTTGAAGTAAAAACGTTAAATTGAACCTTCAATTCGTTGCATACGGAACCAACTATCTTAAGACGGTCTTAATCGCAATCAGGTCACGACCGTAACATATCACTTGAACTCAGCGATAAGGATTTAAACCTTGTTTAATAAGCATTAATGAGTATGCATTAACGTGAATGAAATGTCGTAAAGTTAATTCAAAACATACATATATTATACTGATGAAAGAAGACCCCTTCAAAATGCGCTCTTTCGCAAGGTCTGTGTTGACATTTATTAAATAAAACATGCCTATTGGATCACAACTCTTTTTGACGCCGTAGGACTTCTGGGGTTTTTGTACACGGGTGAGCGTAAAGCGGACAGTCATGGGAATTATGGGTTGCAGGATCAGAGGCTGGCTTTAAACTGGGTCAGAGAGAACATACAGAATTTCGGAGGCGATCCGGGAAAAGTAAGTAATTTGTGAGGAACAAAATATGTGTAAGAAACCTATGAAATTAACATCGCAATATTCACTTGTCATTGAGTAATTTCGTGAATTTAAGGTTTCGAAGAATTAAATGCTCGCTTAGTATCTACCATATGAAGAGAAAGCAGAAATTCGAGAATTTATCACCTCGGTAGTAAGTACAAACTATTGATTTCGCGAAGGTTTGCCTCGCGAAAATATCTGGGTTTTACAGTATATTAACCCCTATGATGCTAGGACCATGATTATTATCGCCAGCTTGCATAACCATCAAGTGTGACAAGATTACAAACTGCCCCTACTGCACAATCTTTTATTCTTTTAAATTTTAATCTTGACAATCTTCAAAGATCAACAGAAAGAAGAAAAGTCCCTTACAAACAGACAGCAGTAAAAAAGGCATTGCATTGTCTGTACGGTTATAGATAAATAATGAACTGGCATTATCCAAAGTAGGGAATTTTAAAATTTTAAATTAGAAAGTTGTAAATATTAATATATATGTACAATAAAAACTAAACATGTTGATACTGTTTTGTAGGTAATGCTGTTTGGTGAAAGTGCGGGTGCACAATCTGTCTTCATTCACATGGTTTCTCCAAAGTCGATCGGGCTCTTTCATAGCGCAGCTGTACAAAGTGCCCCATTTGGTATACCATACCGTACAAAACTACAGGCCCTTGGTGTTGCAAACGCAATATATCTCCTCGCTGGATGCTTTATTGGCGATGTGAAATGCCTAAGATCGAAATCTGCCGAAGAAATTGACGAAGCACAGGAAAAATCAATGCTTGCACCAACGTCTCTTAAAGTCATAAACTATTTTGAACCGATTGGACCAATCATCGACGAGGAAGAAAACCCCCTTCAGCCAATGGACGCGCTCCGCCAAAATAAAGTGCGAAATGTACCCACAATTCTCGGAACGTTGAAAGATGAAGGTAGAATGTTTATTCACGGGTTTTTGAACACGTCATTGCCGCCAGTTTTGTACGAGGCGGCGCTAGGCATATTTAAGCCCTCCCATTTCTTTCAAATAAACAAGGAGTATCCACTTCCGAGTGGAGAAAAAGATTTGCGTGACACATTGAGTCAGGTGGCCACTGATTACCTCTTCACATGTTCCAACAGGAATGTCAGTCGACTTAGAGTTAAGCACAATATGGAAACATACAGATTCGTTTTTGAGCACGCATCAGACTATCCGAGTCCAACCTCGGACCATTCCTTTTGCGAAAAGCACGTGTGCCATGCAGCAGAGCTACCGTACTTGTTTGGTAATTTTCTCGGAAGAAACGTTACCGAAAACGAGATTAATATGTCACGTGAGATGATGTCATACTGGACAAATTTTGCACATACGGGTAATCCGAATAATGGTAGGAGCGTTCCAGATATTAAATGGCCCGCGTATGAATATGAAAATTCTAAGAACGCGACAATGCACTTTATAACACCAAAGGACGAGCTTATAGAAAACTATCGCGATGACTTCTGCGATTTTTGGGATACAGTGGATTACGAAAAATAGGCAAACGACACCAGCTTCTATAAATCACATAAAGAATTAATTTAATAGAAAAGAAAATTGTTGTGTGATATTAATCGTCGCTCTTCTCTGGATCCAAAGAAATATAATAAATTTCAGGGAACATATTAATGATATATTCACCTCGTACATTTCAGTCAATCAATGTGTTGAACGTAAACGTTTGAATATTGTGATTTCATAAAATACTTAAGTTTTGGACAGCCACTCAAATATATTACCAAGGAAAATAAAAGAAACGAGGTAAAATCTGCCGTTCGGGGCAAATTGATACATTAATTATGGAAAGGATCGTATGGTCATATTTTAAAGAAACTGCATTTTACCTCATTAAGAATTCCTTGCATGACCGCGTCTAATTAATTATTTGCAGCCTGATCAATTCAAAGCGAGGCTGATATTCAAAGCGAGGCAAAAGTTTGATTTGCTGCGTTTGGCGGCTGTATTCCGTCTGCTGATTTAAAATTCAAATCAGTGTCAATATTTACATTATCCAACAAAGGTGTTTGCAGTTGCTTTGTCATGATGTAATAAGGCACGTAAACTTATTAATTTTATATAAAAGCACATTGAATTTGATATGTGAAATATGGGGTGTCTTGCTAATCGAATTCTAGTTTTTATGAGATATCTATTCGGTGAATTATTTTTGATATTAGTGTTTCCGGTTTTTGACGTATTTATAAATAAATAAAAACTTAGACCCTTGGATTTCATATACATGTATATAGGGTTAGCGCACGTTTTTCCGTGTAATAACGTCTGCAGAGTCCCAAGGAATGGTTTGGGGTATAACAACATAATTTGATAAAAGGTTAATTTTGAAATTCTAACTTCATCTAATTGAATTTATAATTAATTATTTTTTATACCACTGAATTAAGTCCTTGCTGATATTAGATTTTATTGAAAGCTTTAAGTTTAGACAGGTCAATGGTGTCAAATTTAATTCTTTTTATAAAGGGTGTCCATTCTAATTCTATTATAACAGTGACCCGAGAGTTTTTAAAAAAACTGAAACAGTTTCGTTCTCAAGAAGTCAATGATCACCTTAATATGGTACAAAACCTTTCAGGCCTAAATCCAGCTAATATTTACATATCCTCAAATAGTTTAAAACATGTGTCGGAAGTTCAATATTTAATGTAGTGACGTATATAAGTGCAAAGCTGTTAAGACTATAGAAAAACAACTTATCAAAATCAGTATCAACCACTGGCAACCTCAAGAGCTGTTAAAAATGCCTTAAGATTATATAGTTTATATAGTTTATATAATGTTTATATGTATCAAACCTTCGACGGGGGCCTTTAAAAAAAAATTAAGTACACAAAATATACATAATAGTACAAAAATAAACGCCGCGTTTATCGAATTCTTCAGATCGATCTATTTTTTAAGATAAGATAAACATTTTAATACATAAATCTAACAAAATTTCAATGGCGGTTTAATGTGTTTTAATTTGATGGTTGCGATCGTATATAATACGTTTAAACAGTTAATCAATTTTGCTTATCAGGTTACCTTTTGTTAAAATTGTAGCAATTGGCCTTTAAGGTTTCAACATAACAAAATGAAAAAGGATACTTTTAGATTATTGATCTGGTAAAATTCGATATCTTGATTTATCACCGTAAAAAAAATAAACATAAATATTCGCGGCTTTATATTTCTCTATATAAGTATTTTCAATGCTAATACAATGACCCTCTTCTAGGCATTAAATAACGCGAAGTATTGCTTTGTGTTCGTTTCTTAAAGGCACAAAATGCCTAAGAAAACGAGTAAATGTTGTCGTCTTTATATTAGGCAAACTTGAGTTTTAAGAGGTTTGAATAATGGTTTTAGAGCATGTTGGATGCTTATCACTTCAAGAAAGTAGCTCTGAATGTGGAAGTATTTGTCATAAAAGTAGCAAAATCATGTAAACCAAGTAGACTTTTGACTTCCGTACACAATACTAAATCACTTAAACTATACTGTTTGTCAAGAAGCAAAAGTAGCATGTTATTAACCAATGAGTAACTGTTTTTAAATTCTAACAGCGCACCAAAACTTATAAAAGTTTTTGAGTAATTAAAATAAATGCATTTTGGGGGCCATAGTGGGCCTTTCATATTCATGATAATTTTTACATAAAATGAAAAAAAATGTTCATATGAGCAAATATATACTCGTATAATAAAGCGTTTTCCCTAGTTCAAGGTTCATATTCTTCGCAGAAATAACTACATTGTACTACTTGGACGATGCCAAAATAATGAAAAAATGAAGAAAGAGGAACATAAAATAGTAATTATAGCAAAATAGTTTTAGTAAGAGTCATATATTGTATGAAACTTGCAAACAGTTTTGAACTCTATTGGGAACATTCTTATATTTCTTAAATTATAGATATACACGTATTTTCTTTTAAGTTTGACTATTTGAAAGTGGTATAGTCGTCATAGGGTATTCGGCTTAAATAGGCCAGCTCTGGCCTAGTGGCTAAGGTGTCTGCCTCGCAACCCAAGGATCATGGGTTCGAGCCCCAACCATGTTTCTTCGTATGACACGTTACCCCATTTTTTCCCCCGTAATAGGTCTGAAGGGGTCGAGGGCATCCCCACCGAACCTTAAATGTATGGTTACAGGAAGCGAACTCAATTGATTAATATAAGTTGCAAGAACTTGTTTCGCAATCGAGCTTAAATAAATATGTTAACGGTGACGCATTATGTAAAGGCGAATGAGCAAAGAAAAAAATGCTATTGTAAAATGCTATTCTTACTTTTTTATTCTAATTTTTTTTATTTTGCTTCTGGAATTTATATTTGGTGTCCAGATACAGTTTGGCCTTCATTTGCATCTCCTTTTGTCAATAAGTGCAGTTATAATGATTTAGAATTGTGTTAGGAAGTCAAAATAACCACTTTAATAACATTTTTCTACATTAATGACAAACGAACAGTTTCATTTTCAGAGCTATTTTCTTTAAGCGATAAGCATCTCACATGCTCTAAATTGTTTAAACATTATAAGACACATGCTTGCTCGTGATAAAAAATATATTCATTTCTCAGGCTTAATGTGCCTTTAACAATGGTGTTATGTTTATGTAGAAATTGATAAAAAGAATAATAAAGGAAGCAGTATTAGGTACTCTTGTAAAATATTTTCTGTTTGTGCACCTAGTTATAAAAAAAAATTAAGTAGCTGATATATAGTAAAGTATGTAGTATAATATGTAATAAAAAGTGCAATTGCCTTATATGAGGTATAATATAAAATAAAAAGTACCTACTTTCAGGTACAAAATTGTATTGTACTTGTCGAAGACAATTATTTGAATTAGTTTATTACATATGACAAATCACGTGAGACGCTATATGAAAGTTTATCATTCGGTTGAGTGCACAGCTTACCTTCCTCAGCTAAGTGATCAAGAGATACATGTGCATGGTCCCGAGTTCGAATCCAAGCCAAGGCGGGACTCTTTTTTTGCTGTTGTTCTTGTTGATGCATTTACATTTTTACTGTTCGCATAACTAGTGAAAATGAAGGTGACAAATTTAGGAACAAGTTATTTGGCAGACCCATACTTCTGTTTTCTCCAAAATTTGTCGAGTTAAAAATATGAAAACGATAAGAATATACAGCTAAGCACAATCAGAAATAATATCAACTCAAGAAATATTTGTAGGTATATATTTACAGAAAAGTTATTTTACAACGTTTCTGTTGAGTGACTATTACTTTAACAACACAACGTTCATGGACAAAAGCAAAATTCTAGAAACTGTTCTGTTGTTAAATATTATTACATTTAATCACAACAATAGTTCGAAAACAGATGCAAGGCAAATTATTGGAACATATATGTGTTTTTGGTTTCGCTAGTTGGAAATTGTTATATATTTATCATGAGAAGCATTTCCAAATGACTTTGACAGTTTTTGTGTGACTAAGAGCTCATACACGGAGTGGGATATAGGGTGGGGTGATTGCAGTAAAGAAGCTCTTATCGAGAAACAATTACATGTATTATCTGCTCTGTTTTGCTCCTAAAATGTGATCGCTCGACTTTCAGTTTGATTTTGAAGCCTACTGTAAACACAGGAACAGAATATCGAAACATTTCTTTGTAATTTTTATTTGGCATCAAGTTCTAAAAGATAAAAAAAACCTCCAGACATGTGATTGATTGTATATAAACTTTAAAGGTGTATCCTTGGAGTATCTTTTTATAGCGTTCTTTAAAAAATAAAACCTATACCATAGTTATGTAATATGGCGAATTTATAACTTTCCTATCAAGGTAAGGAAGATTAAGGATGCCTATGATGCCCCTAGTGTGCATTATCTAAGTCACGTGTGATAAAACTATGTACAAATCTGGAGAAGATAAGATTCCTCGTAATCAATAAAAAAAATTATATATAAAAAATGCAGACTAGGTTTGACTGAGGCTGTTCCTGAGATAATGTAAATTGGCAATATTTCCCACGCACCCCCCCCCCCTCCAGCACCGCCTTAAGCGATATTCAATCTTTATCACTAACTGTGCTTGAATCCAGGGTCCTGAAGGACCAGAAAAAATATAACAAAACTGAACAACAGATATTTTGTGAAATGATTGCAGAGGTTCTTCTTAATTAGTTAATTCAACTTTTCTGGCGTTGTTCGAAACCCAGAGCGGTGACGGGAAACTGGTTCGATTAAAGCAAGAGACCTTGCCTGCTAGGCCACAGAGTCCCTTTGTCTTAGTGAAATAATTGGTGATTTATTCCTGATTTTCAAGACTTTGAAACAAATGTAGATCCTTATTATCGAGTAATTATTTTCACACATCCGTCAATTAAGTGCATTCTTATTTAAGTAATATACAAAATCTTTTACAAAAAATATAAATAATTAAATAAAATACATGCATTACTTACGTTTAATGTGACGTAACAGTAAAGTCCATGTTTACGGATATGAAACCATGCTGTTACTATCTCTTTAAGCTCTGCGCCAATATTTTAATTAATCCATTCAAAGAGCAGTCAAATTACTTGAACAAAATTCTTTCCTCCCAGAGATGTCGAACACGATACAAATGGTATTATGTTTATAAAAGTTAAAATTTGCTTAAGGAGTTAAATAGATTTTTATCACATGTTTCCACTGCCCCGATAACGCTAATTGTATGTAAATATTTTACCAAAACCCACTCGATATTTTGACTTAATAAACGCTACCCGTTCTTATACGGTATCAACTATCAAATATATTAAATATATATCTTTCAGTCGAAGCATTAAAGCGGGTTTAAACAGTTTTTATCTTAAACCCATAAAAGGATTGCATTTTTTACGAAGCCCCATTCAGATCTGCACAAATGTTTCATTCAAAATGCAATCAGTTTTTTTCACACCACTATGGAAAACTTTAAATTCGTAAGGACATTCATGTTAAAACTTAAACATTAATTTAACAATTAAGCGGGTCTGATAAGACTTGTGTATAGTCTTTAAAACTACAAAGGTCGCATTTAAATACCCGACAAATCGGATTAAAAGGTTAATATGTCAAAAAAGTATACATAGTTGTATGAAAAGCTTTATTGAATTCCAAAAATCTATACGTTCAGTAAACTGATACTAATGGAAAACCTTTAAGGATATATTTCCCTTAATAATGATAAGAAAATATTAAAAGGATTTCTTTAAAACCGTAACATGGTCAATTTGCCACGCTATGATATATACATTTTTGTATTTGCTTTTTAGATGAATATGCTAAACGCGTATCGAAGTGTAAAAAAAATGTATAAATTAGTTTCAGTAAACGTACTGAAGTATTGAAGGCAATAATATTTTTTAAACTTAAATATATTTTTCACGGTTTTAACCATCATCACCGTCGTCGTCGGCAACGTCGTCGTTGTCATCATGATCATGATCATGATCGTGATCATCATCATCATCATCATCATCATCATCATCATCATCATCATCATCATCATCATCATCATCACCACCACCACCACCACCATCACCATCATCATCATCATCATCATCATCATCATCATCATCATCATCATCATCATCATCATCATCATCATCATCATCACCACCACCACCACCATCATCATCATCATCATCATCATCATCATTATTATTATAAGTAGTAGTATTATCCTCATCATCACCATCATTAACATCACTATTGCATTATCATCACTTTCATCAACATAAGCATCGTCATTGTCGTCGTCGTCATCATCATTATTACCATCATTACATCATTACCAACATCATACCACCACCACCACCTTCATCATCATGATCATTATTATAATTAACACCACCTTCATCATCATGATCATTATTATCATTAACACCACCTTCATCATCATGATCATTATTATCATTACCAACACCTTCATCATCATGATCATTATAATCATTACCACCACATTCATCATCTTGATCATTATTATCATTAACATCACATTCATCATCTTGATCATTATTATCATTAATATCACCTTCATCATCATGATCATTATTATCATTAACACCACCTTCATCATCATGATCATTATTATCATTAACACCACCTTCATCATCATGATCATTATTATCATTACCACCACCTTCATCATCATGATCATTATTATCATTACCACCACCTTCATCATCTTGATCATTATTATCATTAACATCACCTTCATCATCATGATCATTATTATCATTACCACCACCTTCATCATCATGATCATTATAATCATTACCACCACTTTCATCATCATGATCATTATTATCATTACCAACACCTTCATCATCATGATCATTATTATCATTACCACCACCTTCATCATCATTATTATTATTAACATCACCTTCATCATCATGATCATTATTATCATTACCATCACCTTCATCATCATGATCATTATTATCATTACCACCACCTTCATCATCATTATTATCATTAACATCACCTTCATCATCATGATCATTATTATCACTACCAACACCTTCATCATCATGATCATTATAATCATTACCACCACATTCATCATCTTGATCATTATAATCATTAACATCACCTTCATCATCATGATCATTATTATCACTACCAACACCTTCATCATCATGATCATTATAATCATTACCACCACATTCATCATCTTGATCATTATTATCATTAACATCACCTTCATCATCATGATCATTATTATCATTAACACCACCTTCATCATCATGATCATTATTATCATTAACACCACCTTCATCATCATGATCATTATTATCATTACCACTACCTTCATCATCATGATCATTATTATCATTACCACCACATTCATCATCATGATCATTATTATCATTAACATCACCTTCATCATCATGATCATTATTATCATTACCATCACCTTCATCATCATTATCATTATTATCATTACCACCACCTTCATCATCATAATCATTATTATCATTACCACCACCTTCATCATCATGATCATTATAATCATTACCACCACCTTCATCATCATGATCATTATAATCATTAACATCACCTTCATCATCATGATCATTATTATCATTACCACCACCTTCATCATCATGATCATTATAATCATTAACATCACCTTCATCATCATGATCATTATTATCATTACCACCACCTTCATCATCATGATCATTATTATCATTATCACCACCTTCATCATCATGATCATTACCACCACCTTCATCATCATGATCATTATTATCATTAACATCACCTTCATCATCATGATCATTATAATCATTAACACCACCTTCATCATCATGATCATTATTATCATTATCACCACCTTCATCATCATGATCATTACCACCACCTTCATCATCATGATCATTATTATCATTAACATCACCTTCATCATCATGATCATTATAATCATTAACACCACCTTCATCATCATGATCATTATAATCATTACCATCACCTTCATCATCATGATCATTATTATCATTACCACCACCTTCATCATCATGATCATTATTATCATTACCACCACCTTCATCATCATGATCATTATTATCATTAACATCACATTCATCATCATGATCATTATAATCATTACCACCACTTTCGTCATCATGATCATTATAATCATTACCACCACCTTCATCATCATGATCATTATTATCATTACCACCACCTTCATCATCATGCTCATTATAATCATTACCAACACCTTCATCATCATTATTATCATTACCACCACCTTCATCATCATGATCATTATTATCATTACCATCACCTTCATCATCATGATCATTATAATCATTACCATCACCTTCATCATCATTATAATCATTAACATCACCTTCATCATCATGATCATTATTATCATTACCAACACCTTCATCATCATGATCATTACCAACACCTTCATCATCATGATCATTATTATCATTACCATCACCTTCATCATCATGATCATTATTATCATTACCAACACCTTCATCATCATTATAATCATTACCACCACTTTCATCATCATGATCATTATTATCATTAACATCACCTTCATCATCATGATCATTATTATCATTACCACCACCTTCATCATCATGCTCATTATAATCATTAACATCACCTTCATCATCATTATTATCATTACCACCACCTTCATCATCATGATCATTATAATCATTACCATCACCTTCATCATCATGATCATTATAATCATTACCACCACCTTCATCATCATTTTCATTATTATCATTACCACCACCTTCATCATCATGATCATTATTATCATTAACATCACCTTCATCATCATGATCATTATTATCATTACCACCACCTTCATCATCATTATCATTACCACCACCTTCATCATCATGATCATTACCACCACCTTCATCATCATTATTATCATCATCATGTATTGAAGGACAGTGATGATTTGTTGAAAGAAAATATGTACATGGTCTAAATCATCATCATCATTATCAACATCATCATCATCATCATCATCGTCATCATCATCATGTATTGAAGGACAGTGATGATTTTTTGAAAGAAAATATGTCCATGACCTAAATCATCATCATCATCATGGGTAAAATTGCAGATAAATCGATAACTAAGTTTTTTTTATCTAGAATAATTATTTTTACTGTGAAAAATGACCTACTCAAATGGGATAATTTCGCGCTGAATATAGATTTAATTTAGAGTATATCAAATTTTTTTTTTATTTTTCTTTATCATACTTCACCATTTTTAGCGTCACAGTTAATCCATATAAAAGAATTTCAATTTTTATGTGATAAAACAATTGAACCTTAGTGGAGCTCATTTAAGGTAAAAATAAAATCACATCTACGACGTAGAAAATGGCATTATATGGACACCGTAGTATGTGTTAAGACATAGAAAATGGCATGATATGGATACCGTAGTATGTGGTACGACATAGAAAATGGCATGATATGGACACCTAAGTATGTGTTACGACATAGAAAAAGACATGATATCGACACCTTAGTATGTGGTACGACATAGAAAATGGCATGATGTGGACACCGAAGTATGTAGTACGACATAGAAAATGGCATGATGTGGACACCGAAATATGTGGTACGACATAGAAAATGGCATGGTGTGGACATCGTAGTATGCGTTACGACATAGAATATGGCATGATGTGGACATCGTAGTATGTTGTACAAACTAGAAAATGTCATGATATGGACACCGAAGTATGTGGTACATCATGGAAAATGGAATGATATGGACAGCGTATATGTGGTACGACATAGAAAATGGCATGATGTGGACACCGTATATGTGGTACGACATAAAATATGGCATGATGTGGACACCGTAGTATGTGGAACGACATAGAAAATGGCATGATGTTGACACCGTAGAATGTGGAACGACATAGAAAATGTCATGATATGGACACCGTAGAATGTGGTACGACATAGATAATGGCATGATATGGACACCGTAGTATGTGGTACAACATAGAAAATGGCATGATATGGACACCGTAGTATGTGGAACGACATAGAAAATGGCATGATGTAGACACCGTAGTATGTTGCTGCAATACACTTAGCGCCTATTGCTAATTTCCGGACAGTGCACCGGGAAGTAATTGCTGTGACAACTATTTTTATTATATTGAAAATGAAAACGGAAAAGAATACACACACACACTGATCATTGTCACGTACCATTCGTAAGGAACAGGAGGAATTTACAAAATGTGGATACCATACAGTCTTCTTGTTATAGTGACCGTTGGTAAGTTCTCGCTATAATCATAACATTTTCATTTTTACGAATTGAAGCAATGATACATACAATATAACCTTCATATATTTTGATATTTAACAGATATCAATGATGACTGATATAACATAAACGTTTGAACAAAAATGCATGTTTGATGGATAATTTGTATGCTCAGAATCACGATTCAATACAGTCAGAGCGAAATTTTTAGGTGTAAGCCCAAATCTTAAAAGGCACACGTCAATCGTGTCTATAGGGTCTACAACGCTAGAGAAGAGCAGTGACTTCTGGACTTTTAGGCCCCCCCCCGTAAAAGCTGTCGCTAAAAGAACCGACTTTGCGATTTGGACCTCTGTGGCTATTTAAATAAAAGCACAGTTGGGACAGAAAAAAGGGGAAAACCCTGGCATACTCCCCCCAATATTCCCGCCTTTCTTTTCAGCTGCATCATTAACAGAAAATAAAAGTTATATCCATAAACCTTCAAGATCTTCCGTAACTGCCAAACGAAAAGTGTCATATTCAATAACTAGATGTAACAGCAACGTATATAAATATATATTTAGAATAACCTTATGACACACTTTACTCAGGGAATATTTGGGGAGTTACCGGAGCTGGACCCATACCAAGACAAGTTATTCAAAACAGAGAGGTCACTTTACAGTGCATGCTTCCAATGGAAGAGAGCAAAGGTGTCAACGTAAGTAACCATCTTATATATAAATATCTATTCGGAGCAACTCTCCAATTTTTAACAATCATCTCGTAAACAACAAGGATTGAAAATAATTTTGCCACCTTATTTTTGACAAATTTGTTAACGGATCAATCAGAATGTAATATCCTTTGAGTTTACTGATTATCACGCAAAAACTAGTGGAAATGAGCAGAATTTGACTCATGATCTAGTAAAATGTCAGTTACCCTGTGGAATATGCATTACCCCATGTCAAAATTTTGCGGCACCCTCGAAACTTCCTTGATCCGACTGATGTCTATCATCGATACTAGTTACCACTTGACATACGACTTAAATTCTTCACTGATACTTATGGCTAATAAGCTAAATTATTTTCCTTATAGATATGCATGCTTTTAACACGATATATTTTGATATAATTGTACCATTATTGAAAGCAATTACTTATAACCTATTTACATTTTTTAATTCTTGTAGCATGGTATAAGCCTCGCTACAGTTTTCATAAAATACCGGGACAATGAACCTATTTAGAAGTACAAATGTATTTCAATCGAATCAAAATTCTGGACCCGTGATCTCGTTTTTGAGTCACGTGCCCATACAGCATCATCATTACGACGTCAACATCATCATCATCATCATCATCAGCAGCAGCAGCAGCAGCAGAAGCAGCAGCAGGATCATCAACATAATCATTATGACAACCATTTTCATCATAAACTATCACCATTGATCAATAATATCATTTTCCATATAAACATCACCATCATCATCATCATCATCACCATCATCATTATCACGACAATGGGCACCACCAACGCCATCATCATTATCTTCACAGGTTTATTGGTACAATAAGAAGGATGGGTGGTTATCTTCAGGTAATGCTGTACGCAAGCACGATCGTGTACTGAAAATTAATAAGCCAGCGCCAAACGAGTGGAACCTGGTGATCAAGAGGGCACATTTGTCATTTCAGGACATATATACTTGTAAAACGAACACCAACACATTTATAATATCCTTCAACTTAACCATTCTAAGTAAGTGCCTTTTTGTTATTGTTTGTTGTTAATGTTGTGTATATATTATTTCGGTCCATTTATTTTCGCTTTTCGGCTGACAATTTCTGTAACAACACCTAAAGAATGGTAGTTTTTTTTCTAGCGCAGGATACGACAGTTGCCCCATGCCAGAGGTGACCCTGTTCCTTTTACATGTATGTGCGAAGTAAAACACCAATACTTTGGTAATTCGTTTTTTAAGGCATTGGTATAGCGGGAACCTTAGATTTCTAAGCCAGAGCATGACCACTGGGACACATGTTTAGTCCTTCATTTCCTCATACCTACTAAACGCTGGCTTTTTCACATTTTGGCGATCTGTTCAAATGAGAGCCATCGACACTTCCGTTGTTGGGCCCTCCACTAATACAAAGTTGAAAAAAGTAAAAACAGTTTCTCAAAACATTCGTTATTAAAAATGTTTTTCAAAAAAAAAAAAAAGAACGAAAACGAACAAACGAAGAATGCTATGCCACTTAGAACATTTTTTTGGTCATTTTATCAAAATTGTGAAATCTTAAATAATATATGTTGTTGTTTTAAGCTCCTCCAAGAATTAACGAATCAGCGTCATCTCTGAAAGATATTTCTGTTTTGGAAGGCGGAAGTGTCGTTTTGACATGCGCAGTTTCAGGAAATCCGATACCGGTTATAGACTGGTATAAAGGAGTTTCGGAAACACGTAATATTTTAAAATATATATTTACAGATGATTCACTATGACTTACTGTAACAATGAATCATCGGACCAGTTAAATAAAATTTAGGATAATAGTAGTTTTCTTCAGCCAAAGTTTTTAAACAGAATTTTTGAGAAAAAAAATATTAAAAGCAAAGAAGCATAAGAATATCTGAGGCTATCAAGGTAAAATTTAAGCACTTTTTCAGTCGAGAGTACAGCATAGTAAGCAATGTATAATTCGAATATGTGTCAGAAATTCGTTTATTGTATTATTTTGCGACTTGTAGCCTGTAACCATCCGAGACCATATTGCCAAAGGATTCCCGTAACAGTAAACTTTATCAAATCCAAATCTTGAATGGTGTATTTAAAAACAAATATGAATATGGCAAGTCCTCAAAGCGGGCTCTGTGACAAATTTTATTGAATGATACACTGTGGTAATTTAAGAAAGAGAACGTGAACTCACTAAGACTTCCACAACTTTCGTGATTAAAATGACCATTCATTTTTTTTCCAAGATAAAATTTAACCATATAAAACGAAATAACCATCACTTAACCTTTCTACAAAATAGCTACTCAATTTCAGCCATTGGAATTTTCGGTCATGTATTACGAATACCTGACGTCACGAGATATGCTGCAGACGAATATATGTGTCGTGCTAAAAGTCATGGACCGAATGCAGAGCGGATATTTCGTCTTACAGTAAAATGTATATTAAATCATATTAAATCAATATTTAATTTGTAATCACATCCAAATAAAAATAATATTTATTTGAAAATAAGATAGATGTACAATATTAGAAACATAAGAAGTAAAGGTTCTACATTCATGTCGGATTTGTCATATCTGATAATCCTTTCGGACAATGGCAACATGGGTAAAGCAAGAAATGACTTCCATTTCGCGAAAAGTTAGAATATGAACATTTCACATTTATATCAATCATTTGTTCATTTATCTGTTGTAGAAACCCGCAACCTGTAGTTCTAAACGTACAGAGCATAACCGCTATATTCGCCATTTGTCCGCTTAGGCCTAGTGATTGTTCAATGTGTATGAAAAGATTAAAGCGATGATAATTTAGCTTTAACTTTTAAAAATGCAAAATGTATCTACAATATGCCTTTAGTTTTTGATATGTTCATTCTTTGTGTTTTCCTAAATTCATTTCATACAGTTGCACCTCAAGCGGAAGTAATGAACAAAGTGGTGTATGCAGAAGTAGGGGAAGTTACTGTGCTGTCGTGCGTTGTTCAGGCTTCACCACTGATGGATGCTTTTTGGTTGAACGAAAATGGAGACAGAATTCAAGAAAAACGCAAATACCGCGTGGGATAATTATTATTATTTTTCTTTCTGTAAAAACTAGAAAGATGTTTACCTTAAGGAAACATATGCTAACAACTTTTTATACTTTTAAGGAATTCTGTATTAAGTTCCAAATGATGAACGTTTGTGTTATGCAATTTTAATAAAAACAATAAAGGAAAAGACAAAGATATGATCCAGACACTTTAATAAACTATCCATGTTTTTGCCTTTTAAACTCAATGGCACCTCGACCGGGTCTGGGTCTTGTGCCAGACACATCCAGTCGGGAGTCCTGGTGAGCAATCTTGCAGTTTTTTGAAAAGTCAAAATCAATGACAAAGTTATGGACCGGATACGAAAAATTCGACTCCACTATTTGGCCGTGGACCATCCTGTGTGACCGTGACCTAAAAACGTACTCTTGGATCTTGTATGCATTACATGAAACAGGCTGATGAACATTTGCGCTTAGAAATAATATATTCTTATGTTCTCTGTGTTGCGACAGTCATTATCCCTTACAGTAGCGACATTATTTATGTATTACAATTGCGACATCCACTTTCTTTTACAAATGAGACATTCATTACCTCTTACAGTAGCGACATTGTTTATGTATTACAATTGCGACATACACTATCTCTTACAGATGAGACATTCATTATCTCTTACAGTAGCGACATTATTTATGTATTACAATTGCGACATCCACTATCTCTAACAGATGAGACATTCATTACCTCTTACAATTGCGACTTCCATTACCTCTTACAGTTGCGACATTCTTCATCTATTACAATTGCGACATCTATTATCTCTTACAGTTGCTTCAGGAAAACGCTGGCGACGACATACCAGCCAAATTTTTAACGCTCATCTTTCTCAAAAGTATGCTAGACAATGAGGACTTTGGCAATTACACGTGCATGGTAACCGGAATTAACAGTGAGGCACGTGCTGTCGTTACACTGAAGAAAAAAGCAGGTCTGTGAAATAGCGAATTGCTTAGGTATTTTTTGGAAAAATGATTTTTTTTTTTTATTTTATTTTTCTGTACATGTGTAATTACTTGTAGTTATGCACTTGTGTATGTGTTACTTACAAATCTCGTTGCATTTTCATAATCATCATCATCATCATCACCATTATCATATGTTTCATCATCATCATCACCACCATTATTATCATCATTGTTAATAACAGTATTATTATCATTTTAGCAAAGACTGCAAACAGTGGACGGAGAGGTAATATTATCCATGTCTAGTGAATGTTCAACATAAATCATTAACTTTGTCAATCAACACTTTATTGGCGCAATGATAATAAAGTATGCCTCTCAAATCAGGGATCATGTGTTCGATTAGTACTCTAGAGTTTTTGATGTCCGAGGAAACATCGAAATAACAGGAAAAATGGCGGATTATTTACTTATGTAAGGTGATGGATACATATTGAACCAAGTACTGTTCTGTAACTTCTTACGTATACATTCGACCTTGATTCATCATTGTATTAAGCTTCTACGCTGACTTGTACTAATCGCAACTTTTCGGTCAGTTCCGTCAATCTTCGGATAAGGACGAGGACGTTCCGATCGATTTCTGTACCTTACAGAATCACAGGTCATGTATGTAACCATATGGATTACTGACAGGGAATGAAATGTGTCATCAAGCGGCCGAGTTGCTATGTCGAATGTGTAGCGGTCGGGTGAAATTCCGTTGGTCCCGGACATGTTGTAGATGGCATGCTAGCTTAGAATATTTTCATACGCTGACTATAGAAGAGTTTGAAAGCATTTATGCTAAAAATAATTTATGAAAAATTTGTCTGAATTTATTAACATTTTGGTGACATTTTACGTAAGAATAAACACAACTTATACAAAACGTAAATCTCAAAGGGGAATAAATCTGACAGAAAATTATCAACAAGAGTTGCTTCCCCGTTTAAACATGACATTACCATTATATGTCTGTAAAAACTGACATTAAACATATCATTGTTTGGAACTTCAAAAGTTGTGCTAGTAATTTCTTATATGGAAAACTATTTTAAGGAGATCGACGCCGCAAAATTCCTCGCTCAAACATCAAAGTAGAGATGTTCCATTTATTTGAATAAACGCTTCGTTTAATTTATGTTCATACATCTACGTTTATCATGGTTATATGGACAAGTATGGACAAGAAAATAACACGCATTACTCACCACATATCTATTAAATAATTTGGGAATATTAAAAATTGTACAAAAACTAATCTTTTCAGTAAATTCATTACAAGAGATAAATCACAAAATACGTCATTTTCTACTTCTGGTCGTTTATCACAAACTGTCTCCATTAGGTCTATAAACATCAACTCAACTTTGGGTCGTTGACTAAACAAATAAGAATAGCCGTTTTCAGGTCTGCTTTAAATATATTCCGCCACAAATTATCTCCCTTGGGTATATAAACCTCAGCGTTGACTAGACCTTTTACGAGTCTGCTATAATAAACAGATCCCGTTTATCACAATTTGTCTCTCTTGCGTAAATAAACCTTTCGTTGACTGGACCAATGCGAATAACCATTTACAAATCTGCTATAAATAAATGCCGTTTATCACAGATTGTGTCCCTTGGATATATAACCTCGAAGCTCCACCCAAATCCGTTTCTTAAGCATTCACATATACGCCTTTTCTTCTCTACACATGTTTGCCTATCATTTTCTGTAAAAATATAACAGCAATTCTACAAGTCTTTTTTAAATACAGAGTAATATATTTTTCAAATTACAACTAAATAGCTTAAGTGAATAACAATAAAAAGCCTTGTGTTACATGTGAACAAAGGCCGTCCAACAGAGAGACCGAGCATGGCCTTTATAGCCAAGTGGTCTTTATTTTGAGGTAATTTTGTTCTTTTTAACCAATGGACAGGACTGAGTTTAAGAAAATATGAATGCTAGAGGCATTTTATATTACAAGTTATATCTTGAGTGTTTTAACCTAATATGGGTATGCTAAAGACGATGAGGGTGGATACCAAGAAAATAAAATTGACCTTGTCCTTCAAAAGGTCAATTCAAAATGGCCGCTTAAAAATACTAAAATTAGTCATTAAAACTATGATACAATATGATGCAATTAATTATTCTTGTCAAAATCAAATGATTATTTAATATGATCAGATTTTAATGAGATTGGCCACCAAATATAGCGATTATAAGCCTAATGGCTCAATAAACAGTATATACAGTACTGTTTTACTAGCGCGTTAAGGTATAATAATAAGATTGAAAAAATCACTTTTTATGTTTATTTACTTGACTTATATTTAACAATAAGCTTAGTTTATAAATATTACCAAAGAATAAATATTTCGTAATAACAAATTAATATTCCATAATTACGAAATAATATTTCGTAATAACGAATTAATATTTCGTATTTACGAAATAATATTTCGTAATAACGAATCAATATTTCATAATTAAGATTTTATATTTCGTTTAAACGAAATAATATTTCTAATTTGGAATTATTATCTCGTTAAAACGAATTCAATTCCGGGAGAAAGTGTGGAAAATATCACTTCAGGTGTTCCGTAATTTTCAACAGTGTTAAAATATAATTGTAATACATCATTTGTTAGCCATTGAAATAGTATTTAATGTATAAAGGTTTTTCAAAAATGGTTATTATTCAGAGCGGGCGCTATGGTGCAGTGGTAACACTGTCTGCCTACAAATCAAGGGGTCGTGAGTTCGATCCCCCGCTACTCCACTGAACGAATAAATACCTACCAGATTGACATAACCAGGACATAGACACAGAATGACGGCAAGGATAAAAACAAGAGAAGACCTTAACGGAACAGGAAACAAGTACCGAAAGTACAAGACCGAAGTCGATGACCGATAACAGAAGGACAAACGGAGACAAGAACTGACAACAAGCGACCAAAGACGAGGACCGATAACAAGCGAACAGAGACAGGGACCGATAACAGAAGAACCGACAACAAGCGAACAGAGACAAGGACCGCTAACAGAAGAACAGGACAGCGACCACCGATAACAGAACAACAGGACAGGGACCGATAACAGAAGAACTGACAACAAGCAAACAGAGACGTCGACCGATAACAGAAAAACAGGAACCGATAACAGAAGAAAATAGACGATGACTGATGACAGAAGGATGGAGACGGTGGTCGATAACAGAGACGGGAACCGATTACATAAGACTTGACAACAAGAAAACGGACTGATTACAAAAGAAAAGAGACAAGAACCGATGACAAAAGAACGAAGACGGGAACCGATAACAGAACAGGACAGAGACCGATAAAAGAAGAACTGACAACAAGACAACGTAGACGAGGATTGATGACAGAAAAATGGAGACGGGGATCGATAACAGAGACGGGAACCTATGAAAGAAAAATTGACAACAAGAAAACGGAGACCAGGACTCTTTCTTACAGAAGAATAGAGACAAGAACGGATAACATAAGAACGAAGAAGAACGAAGACGAGAACCGAAAACAGAAGACGACGACCGATAGCAGAAAAACAGAGACGAGAACCGATAACAGAACATCTAACAACAAAAGAACTGAGACCAGGACCGATTACAGAAGAACAAAGATCACGACCAATAACAGAAGAACTGACAACAAGAGAACTGCGACGAGGACCAATAACAGAAGAACGAAGACGACGACCGATAAGAGAAAAACGAACACCAAAACCCAAGTACTCAGAGAAAACTGCCTTAATTAATGTATATTTTGCATGCACACGTTTTAACCCTCCTCACACATCTTAACGCTGAAGGCATCTGAGTAGCCACTCTATATGCTTGCATAGAGTGCCAGATAAAATCTAGCATATAGGGCAGGAAAGAGTGTAGTGTTCGCTGCGTAAACCCTAAATATGTTTAAATGCCTTAAAATTTTCAGGACTATCTTTAATATTACTTCTATATTACTATTATATTAGCCTATAGAAAAAATGTCTGCCATCTTGGATTTTTCAGCCATATTGGATTGTTTTGTGCTTTTAATTCTGTTTTGGTGTCTAATTTGTTTTTACCTAAACATGCTTTGTGACAAATTTCAGGCTTTTCCTTTCTTTGATATATCATCCATTTATAATAAAGATATTTGGCGGCCATTTTAGTGGTCATTTTAAATGGCTATTTCAATGGTCAAGATCAAGTTTTTCAATTTGGTATCCACCTTTATCGGATTCAGCATACCTTAAATAGGTAAAATACACCAAGATACCACTTGTACTACAAAATGCCTCTAGCATCTTATTGGGAGCCAAATTCTCAAAATCAGTCCTGTCTACAACGAAAGGTGTCAAAGATAGGCTTTTATTTACAGAGTGATCTTTTTTCGGAGGTGGTCTTTAATAAAGGGTTGATTATAATTTCATATCATTTAACATGTAATATATTGTATCGTTTCACCATAGCATAATTTTGATATTTTATCATCTTTTATCATAAAGTATATTCAAATAAAATGATAGCAATTTTATATAAACGCCAACCCAGAAAGGGAGAAAACCACTTCATCATCATCGTGGAAATTGTTACGCTTCTCTCCCTTCCGTAACCTAGCTCGAGCTGCACTTCTTTGTCACAAACCAACTTTCATGCAATATTTATATACTTTTTTCCATTACTCTCCGTTGTATAAGTATCAGCTATGAAATAAATGGAGTCAAATGTCAGTTTGTTGAATATAATTGACTTATGAGGTTCATAAATACCTGGTGCCTTTGTATTAGCTCTACATAGCCGTGTGCCACCAGTCCTTCACCTTTACCAACGCATGTGTAAATGCCGTAATCTTGTACAGAAACTATCGACTTCTTAATGATTAAGGTCAAAAACCTGACCGGCATTTGATCACTTTCATCTTCAGACATAATCTGCATGTTTAATAAAAAAAGATTTGTTTCAAACACTTACTAAATGAATGGAACCAATCGTTTGTTTAACCATGTATATCTGTTTCAAGGATGGAAGTGGTTCACTCACAAGTTAACAATGAAAGCATCCCTCTTTTTTGGAGAAAAAAATGTCAAACTTCACAATTTCATGAAATCGCTCTTGTCTTTTAGATCCGATCCCCGATTTTAAAATTAAGTGGGGACGCACAGACGTACGAATAGACGCTGCGATTATATTATTCACATTTATGCCAAGTTATTTTAAAATCATTCAATGCATGACAAAGTTACAGTCCGGACACGATTGTGTGTACCTATTTACTATTATTGTGATAATATGAATCTTCAAAATGACAGTGTGACCTAGACCTTTGAGGTAGAGACAATATTCTTGGACGCAACACATCGTCTTGATGTGGTTGACATTTATGCGTAGTCATTTTAAAATCATTTAATGCATGACAAAGTTACAGTCCGGACACGAATTGAAGCGAATTACAGTAATTTTAAATTAGGGTTTGTAATCCGTATTAATTGGTCTGACGACCCTAACAAATAAAAACAAATTTCTTTAACAGGGTGTGATATTTGTTCAATATTATGGAACTGAAAGTATGAAGTAATTGAATCAAGTAACAGAAGCTGAGCTAACCTTTATCATGCGATTGTTTATAGAATATAGATACAATGGTCCTCCTTTTTACACAATATATTTATACTATAATATATATAATTATATACATGTACATGTAAATGCATCTAATTCTTACTCTGTATTTCCAGTCTGATTCTATTCGCTTTCCATTTACGTCACTTCCTTTTGTCCAGTATGCATCATAAAGAGGCGAGGCAGATACAGCGCATGACATAACAACTACTTCCCCTCCAGCTGCATACACTTCCGGTTCCATAACAGTAACTTCCGGTGCAACTAAAAATTAGCATAAACATGTATATCTTTAAGAAAGAGGACACAAACATAACTAAACAAAACTATACTGATTGATGCAGTAGATTTATGTTGTTTGTAGTTGTTTTTTATTTACTCTCACACTGTCAGAATATAGGTCATATAGCGACCTCCATGTTTCCATGACCGGTAAGTTGTGGTGTTTCACTGAAATTTCAGACACTGATGTTTACAATTTCGAATAATAGAATTATGGGATACTATACTTTCATTTTAACCTTAAATGTATCTTGAATATGTAAAAATGTATACATCACGATCTGGAATAATATTACGAAATGAAATAAATGGATATAGTGTTGACATTAATATGACACTTGACACTTGAATGACATAACGTCCTGTTTTATCTACACGAGGAACCAAATGAACATAAGAAAACTTGACAAATTATCGGAAGAATCCTATCTAAAATTATTTTGTGTAATTACAATCCTTGTGATATAATTTTGCTTGCTTTTTGTCAACAGAAAATACTCACAATTAACTGTGATGCGTATTCGCCTCTCTGCCTCACCGTTCTGATTTTGTGCACGACATATATACTCATCTGCTGCGTATCTCGTGACGTCACGTATCTTGAGCATGTTACCCGTAATCCCTGTTTCTGTATAAAAAAAGAAACAAATGGATGATCTATTTTTCTTCAAAACCCGGAAAAAAAAGGGGGGTTTTCGAGGCATATCTTCTGGTTTTTTCTTTCTTCTTCATTACATTATAAAAATTGGTTAACCCAAATAAGCCTAAGCGGGGAAAGCGTGAATTTGCACACTTTTTAAAGGGCAAATTTTAAAAAATTTTTTGGACAAAATTTTCATAAGGGTAATTTTTTTGAACTGAACGAGTTTTTGCCAGGCGTGGGTTTCTTTTTATTTTAATTTTCATTAGGAGTCTTTTCCTTCGTTATTCGGGGTGGTAGCTCTGTAATAGAAATTTAGTAATTGGCAATAAATAGTCATTAAAAATTAATACAAAGAAAAACTATCTGAGAGAGGAGCCAGATTCTTTGTTCACGTTACTGCGGAAAAGTGTCAGGGGAAGGAACTCTAGACTAAACATGAATTTAGTCTTGTTCAATTTCTACGACACTTCGGTAAAGTCAGAATAAGGAAATCTTAACTGTATACGAGTGCATCCTTGGTACTTGTCAGTTACGGCAGTCAGGAAAAGGACATACAGATTATATTTGAGTGTATTCTGTTTCCTTTTATACGTTACTGCGAAAAGTGTAAGGAAAAACTCTACTTCGATGTGTTTTTGAATGAAGTCTGGTTCCCTTGTGGTAGTCAAGGGAAGCAACTCTAGACTATATCAGAGTGTCGTCTTGTTCTCTGTCAACTATGGAAAAATCAAAGTAACTGCAGAAGAATCAGGGCACTAATCTAGATGTCTAATTCCTGGTCTTGTGCTCTAGTGTGTGTTTCGCAAAAAGTACAATTTACGCCAAATGTGCAATTTTTGTCTTTCTTTTTTACTCCCTAAACAAAATGTTTTGGGGCTTTTTTTGCATTATCTTCTATTGTATATCGCCGTTTATATGAGAACATTTTCCCCTATTTTTCAAACAACGAGTTTCTCACGTTTTGAACAGTTTTATTTTCTTTTCTCTCCTTTTTGTGATCAGGGTCTTTCAAATAGAAAGACCCTGTTGTGACATACATATAAATAAAATAAGCAGCCTAGTAAAACGTTTTGTAAAATAAAACAAAAAATATTCTGAGATGATAATGTCAATTTACATTTTAAAAAAAAAAAGAAACCCCCCCCCTTTGGGAAAAAAATAAACCGGGGGATTTGGGGAAAAGTTCAAAAGGTTTGAAAACCTCCAAAGGCGACAAAGCACGCCTATATTTTTTAATTTCAAAATCTTACAAGAATACTTCAGAAAAATAACAATTAAAAAAAAAGGGAAATTATTATTTTTACCCTTATAAATAGAAAAAGAATTATAAATATTTCACTTACTTTCAATGACAAGCTTTATGACTGACAAAACTTTGCCCTCAGCAGTCGTACATGTATATACATCTTCAAATGACAAAGAAACTCTCTGTATGTGTAGGTTCCATTCATTAAGTGCCGGCTTGTATATCTTTAATTGATTTGGATACTTATATACACTAGTACCTTCGGATAACCAACCATCCTTTACGTTAAACCATCTAACCTGCAGATATGTTTTTTTATTTTTAGAATTGGTTAACGTTGCAAAATACTGACGTTCAAATATACTATTTGCAGATATGCAGCATGTTCAATGACTAAAAAGGTGGAAGAAGTATTTCTTACAACGAACTCTGCTGTCAATTGAATCTACCCATGCAACCAGTGCAGACCAAGTTCAGCCGGCACAACTGTGCAGTCTGATCATGTCTGTTTTGTTTGTTATTCAATCAGTAACTTTTGGGGAAAAAATCCCTAAGAATAATAAATGGTTTCGTCCAGATTGAAAGATGGACAAGTCCATCTAATAAATTCCACAGATTAAGGGAATAAACTAAAACTATCGAAGCTTTTTTTGTGTATTTTTTTTATAGTTTCCAAAAAGTTACTCCCTGGCCAATTACTTGAACTATCTTTTGCTTCTTTAATTTTTGACTATTAGTACACTTTCAGTGATTCCGTATTTTGTATGGAAGCCGAGATACGACTGTGTTTACATTTGGTACATTTATGGCAAATCATTTCACAATTAGGTAATTCTTAAGGAAAAATTACATCTAACGTGCTTTCCAATCATTATAATAAACGATATAAATTTTGCCCATTCCAAAGAAATAAAAATATATTCGTTTCTGAAGCATAATGTGCCTTTAAAAAGTCACATATTTATTTACTTAAGGGCTGTACATAGGCTTATATGAACCACTCTCGTTTCCGCTTCCCGGAACTAACCAGTACTGGCCTTAAGGCCCGAATTCTGTCCTAAATCTCAGGATTTTTATTGGCCATTGAACATACTTTGGCAGTTTCAGACCAATCGGATACCTGAGATCTGATTTTGCGCAAAGAGGATTTCTTTATAACCTCGGACCGAGGGGTCATAATGAGAAAAAATAATCGTGACCAAAGTAGTTTTTGAACCCAGGTAACTTGGGTCGAGAAGCAGATACTTTAATTATAGGACACCCCTCCTCTTTATGAGTTCTATGTTTTTTGTTTTTTTTTGTTGTTTTTTTGTTTGTTTTTTGTTTGTTTTTTTTTTAAAAAGAACATTGATCTTTCCTTTATCTTTCAAATTTGAAAAATTGTCAATATCTTACTCTGTATAATATGCATCTAATTGTAAACAAAGGCGTACAAATATATCAAAATTATACAAACTTTCACGCCGTGTGTGTCGCCCGGGTATAAACACTGCAACCTGGCTTCATGGTTTAGCTTGGCCGCCAGTGTAAAATTTAAAGTCGCATTTATAACACGAGTCAAATAAACTGTAAAATAAATAACCTGATAACAAATAAGAGGCAAATGCATCACCACCGCATAATGGCATTTTAAATATGGCAACTGATAAAATACAAAATTTGATAAACTAGTTATCAATGAATTGTTTTCCTGCTGAGAAAAGTTACAGTCAGGGCGGAGCTTTGAACAGCGGAAGTTGAGGATAGCGGGGTTCGAACCGTATCCGTTGAAATATTACGAGAAATGGCGTTACTTTACGTATGGCATATAATACTTTTTAATTTTATCCTTATTACTTCAAAGGACATTCAAGTTAAAATTGATAAAGTAAACAGACCGGTCTCGTTCTTTTGTTGTAATAAAGTAGAAAAAGAAACCAATATAAAAGAAGACTTTAAATGCCGGGTAATAAACGATTAAGAAAATAGACTTACCGATAAATAAAATGCAGGCATATAATCTGATGCTATATCCATCCATATCCTCTAATATCATCCGTGTATCAAAATCTCAAGATACGTTTAGTCATAACAGGGAAGATAAGTAATCTATTTTAAGGCCAGATAAGTCAATATCCGGTTATCCGCCCGACTTTAAAATATTGCAGCAGACAACAGAGTTAAAGTTTTTATATAATTAAAATTACTACACTATTACTAAAATTCACTACAGTACGGCATATTTTTTTTTAATCCAGATAAGAAATACAACTAGTCTTATTCTTTTGAATGGAAATCGGAATGTGACACAATTTTAATTTTTGGCCTTGCGTTAGTGTCCCTTGATAACATATTCTATATTCGGACATTACAGGTATCTATTAAATATACACCACAAGTGCGTGTTCTATTTGATTAAGTCAAACACAATTATCCAGTTTGTAAACGATAAAATGAAACACAATATTCATTTGAAGACAACTTTGTATAACCACTATGCGATTTAATATAGGCCTAAAGAAAGAACCTTGTTTAAAGTGCACATGTATACATTTTTTTTTTGAAAATATTTAAATATAGAGATACCTAGAGATGATATAGTAATAAAACTATTCTACATTAAACGAAACCTCGGCTTTAATTGTTTTAAATTAAAGCATTTAATTTAATCCAATTACAAATTGAATTTTACAGGAAGTCTTCTCCGCACAAAACCTATTATTACTTCTATGGTAGCGACCTTCTATGCTGTTGAAAAATTCACACGTCCCTGTAAGTCTAAGATTCGCCAATTCTCCAGTTTCTATAATTTAATACACGTTTTCTCAGATACCATTTGGTTGTTACAATATCCACGAAATTAGCGTCCCTCTATTCTTTTGTATACTAAACTGTACTGTAAGGGGAAGTAACTGCTGTTAAAACAATTTCAACGCAGTGATCGCCCTGTCATTCAGGTAACAAGTTAAATGTTGATGCTGCACATCAAAGACGCCGCCAAATGATGTGAACAGTCAATCAGCATTGAAAATCGTTCTCTATTACAGTTGAATATCCGAAGAATAAATCATTTTTTTTCTCCATGTTCTTGGTAATGTGCTGATTGTTTAATAATTAATTAGTTGCATATTTTTGTGAAAAAGTAGTACCTAATGCATACATTCACAAAGTAATGTCATGTCTGAAATTCTGTTGCGACAAAGATTGAAACGTCTGGTTGAAGCAAAATAAATTGGATAACAAGTAAAATTGAAATGATTGGTATACTTAAAATAAATTCAAGACAATAATTTATGTGCCGAGAATATGTCCATTTAAATATTGATACAAATTGCATAATGTTCGAATGATTTTGAGGACGAACTATTCTGCAGTCCCCTTATTGGCCATAGCGTAACCGGCGTACTTTCTGAACGGTTGAGGGAGAACTGCCTCTCTGATAGTGGGCGTGATTTAGGCTTTGTAACTTGTAATTTAATGATTCGACACGTGATATTGATCAAAGTTGTCCTGGTTCTCTTCCGCCCCGTCAACGAAGACTAAATGCTAGCATACGGAGCATCATATTAAATTTGGCGACAATTTAAGGCAGAGCCGTACTTCAACAGAGGCGGAGCAAATGAAGTGTATGACACTGCCTCAGTCGTTACCTCTCTCAAAGGTTAAGTTTTAGAACGATCGAACTATAGACTGGCTCATTGGCACGTTATTTATTATGTAGATAAAATTAGATATGATAAAAAGTATATGATATTCAAATAAGGCACTATATATCACTTCAGTTAAACGTTTATTCTAATCCCTTAAAGCTCTGTGACATGCTGTACATCAGAAAAAGCTATTTTTATTAGAAAATTTGAAAACAGTGTGATTTTGTTTAAAAAAATTTTTAAAAAAATACACAAAATCAAGTCTAAAATTTTCCCCATTGCTGTATGGACAAATGCATATCTACTTGACGCCACTTGCAGCGCGGCGTCTAATAATTTAAGGAAGTAACCGGCTATTCTGATTAGAGAAAGTAACTGCTGCTAACTAATAGATAAGGGGAAGTAATTGTTACACAGACATTTTAAATTGCATCATTTTTGTATACATTCTCAAAGTAATTGTTCTTCTGAATGTTCATTTATTTAAAAAAAAACACACTTTTTGTACAACAATCTGTATTTTGCATTATAAATTATGTACAAGTAAAACAATGGAAAGGAATATGAAAAAAAAAAACTTACATGTACGTTGTATAATAATCAGAGGATATCTAACATAAAGTCAAACCACTTTAAAGATAATGATTCATCAAATTTCAGAATGAATATAAATTATATACATTGTTGAAGCATTAAAATATACAATATTCACAAACATTTAGTTAACTGCGCTTTCTTTAGATGGTATAAAGGTTATGTCTACTGAAATATTTCTTTCATTGTTTTTAATTCCAAGAAAACAACTTATAACGTTAAGTGATGTTGATTTTTTGTCCGTTTAAAATAAAAAAAGCTTATTATTTGTAATCAGTTATAGTTGATAACTTTCCCTTCCTCTTCTTTTGGCTTATCTGAAAACGGAAACTGAATATAATCAAAGTACTGTAGTATTGATGAAATGCGAATAATGAATATTCTACGTCACTAATGTTACGTCACATTACGCGACAGTTACCTATGTGCAATAACCGCACATTATTGACCAATTAGATTGATTTATAGATAATACTACAAAATAAACTGGATTATACAAATGTACACATAAGTTCATTGGTAGGTTTTTAGTTAAAACGACACTGCAGTGTCATGTCGCCAAAAAGGTTACATTATAGATTATATTTCATGCACGTGCTTTGATGATTAAAAAATCACGCGCACTTATAATGAGACATAATCCTTACAAAAATGCTAGAAAACTCTAGTGAACGACTTTAAGAATTTTCCAAAATTCTATTTTAAAGTCTGATTAGAATGAATGACTAAATCATTGATCAATATCATATTTATCACTACGAAAACATAACACATACCTGCTATATTTTTCAGTTCTACTATAGCTCGTGCTTCACTGTTATCCGTTTGTGCCACGCACGTGTAATTCCCGAAGTCTTTATAGGCTAATACGGACTGGCGGATAACAAGATTTAAAAACTTTACAGGTATCCCATCACCAGCGTCCTCTTGCATCACCTAATTTGGCATTGAGAAAAGAAGGAAGTGATATAGTGTCTTCCTACCTCAGTTCGTTTAAATTCGGGTGACTTCGTTAATTTCCGTATCTGATCCAGCAAGATGACAAAAAAGAGTTTGCTACTTTTAAAAATTCTCATACTATAAAGAGTCTGTCGTAAACATGTACAAAGTAAATATTTCCGTTTAGTAATTTTTTTTTTGCTAAATGATAAAACGTTAAATGAAGTACAGTATACGCGTTATATAAACAATAAGTTGAATTACTAGGTATCTCCAGTTCGCCTTTATTTGTTTGCCACGTAGATCTCTCCAGTAAGCTGCAATGAGTGGTGAGCCCTGGACAACACATGACATCACTGCTACTTTCGCACCGGCTGCGTATACTGGTGACTCCATAATGGTTGCTTCCGGTCCAACTAGATCAAAATAGACGTACATATATAATTAGATATATAAATATCTGTTTGATTGGAGGTTTTAACACCAATACCCCCATACAAATCTGTCTACTATCTAGGTGCACATAAAGTAATATAGTACCGAGCCGGAACCACTTGAAGTTTTTGGGCAAAATGGCGATTCTGGTAGGTTTTTTGATTTGACAGACTTTAAATGACAATGTATCCATGTATATGTTGATTGTCATTGACCTTTAACTCATAATAAGTTTCTTAATAAGGACAAAATTAAAGATAGTTATTTATCTCTTCAGTCCGATTTCATCTTTTCGGCCCTTTCCGTCAAAATGCATGATTCCCTCACGAGGCGTTCAGGTTGCGATGAAGGAACAATCCGACAAGCCAGTCCACAATCAATTTATCCCATGTACTAGGCTCAGGCATCTGGGGTCAGACAAAGCCTCTGGCTTGATCCCCTATCAACTATCAATAAAAAAAACTTTAACATTTTAACAAAGATGGGGCACCCATCTTATAAAACTTGTTTTAAAACCATTTCAAGACAAATAAAAAAATCCAGTCACCAGACTAGATGATAAATGTTGTTGTTTTTTGGGTTTTTTTTAATTCGCGTGGAAATTGAATCAAAGTGAGACAGATGCTCCGCAAGTGATAATATGTTAAAAGTTTCTGTGAGATAATTTTATTTACGCTGGGTAAGGAGAGGTCACGGACTGTTCTCTTAGTGTCTGTGGCACGAGGTGGGATGAATCCGGCGCTGAGTATTAAAATAATGTAATAAATTAAACGAAATATATGTATAAAAAGTATCTAATGTGTTGTCTCGCCATGTTATGTTATTTCCTCATTGGCCAATGAATATTCTGCCGGTTACCAATCATTCGAAGATGACGGAAAGAACCGAAAAGTTACGAATAACATGTTACTTACAGTTAACAGTCAGACGAATTCTATGCTCAGCTTCTCCTTTCGAACTGTTTGCACGACAAATGTATTCGTCTGCCGCGTACCTCTTTATGGCGGGTATTTTAAGCAGCTTACCGGAAACCCTAGTGGCTGTATAACAGAACAAGCAATCATGGTTTTGACACTAAAACAATATCATATTTAACTTGACAACATGTAAGAAATGGCTTTTTTGTTCTTATAATTTGTAATACAAAAAGTTGGTACTGGTCAACTGTTTTTACTTTTAAGAGCTATCTTACAAAAATAGACATTAATTAATAGAAAGTCATACGATAACTTGGAACAAAACGGCAACGCTGTTGCTAATCAATTGAACTTAAATATGAAAAGAATTGCTAAAATTTCTAAATATGTCCCAAACTCAAAAAATGCACCTGAATCTTATTTTTAAGTTCAACGTTTTATAGTCTAAGGCAGGTCTGTTATTTGATAATTAAACGCATGCAAGAGATACAAATATAAAGTATATGCTAAATGAGATCAATCCGCCCGCACGGACACAAAAAAGAAGCTTTTGCTGCCGAGTACGGACCCACAGACATGTCACAAGTCATGATCTTATAGGGTTAAGTTTGAAGCACAACGTGAAAATTCACCTCTATGCAATTTCCACGGAATATTAAGCCAAAGCTATGAATTTTAAGCCAAAAGTACGCCACTGTACGACGGCCAAATAATAAAAGCTATGTAAAAGTATAATATATTAATAGCCTTATGGAATAAATGAAATAAACTCTAAAAAAAACTCTTAATTCCCTGCGGTCTGGAGACCGCAGGGTATTGGTACGCGTTTAACTTTTGAGGCATGGAGGAGCACGTGACCTGTTTTCGGTACATGGAGGAGCATGTGATCTGTAAACCGTACATGATTGGGTAATTGACCTTTTCGAAAACCTGGCTAAATACCGTTTGCCGGTACGTTACGGATAAACCTCTAGGGAATAAGACAGAATTACACCTAATTAAGAACAAAAAACTATTACGTAATATTTTTAATTTTCTATAATTATAATACCGTTTAAGGTGGAAAAACTTGAATGATGTGTTTGAAAATTATCAATGTTTCTTTAATATGTATCTCAAAATGTTACAAACAATAAATTGTTTATACTGAAAATCTACAAAATTAAAATATTCGTAGTGGCATCTGCCATAATAGATAGAGAAGTTTTCTGCGAAAACTTGTGTGTTTGCTTTTTTTTTGCTCGGAATTATTCATAAAATGGTAGGCCTATTTAATCATTTTCTTAAAAAGAAATAATTGTTTTATGTTCGACCTTCTCCGGTCATTAACGGTGACCTTCTTCTATATTGATCGATTATTGTCAACTATATTCCTGATACAAACGTTTATTTATCCACCCACCCAAACAATGTTGAAGATAGTTAAATGAAATATCTTTATATCATCAAAAATATTCCCCGCAGGAAACAATTTTACTTGTATATACTTACGCGTTTCAGATGAGCCTCTGTACCAATGTATTTCCGGTGTAGGCGTTCCGGTAACTTCACACCTCAGTTCAGCATTTTCGCCTTCTTTAACATTAACACGTTTCGGAGACGACGCCAATTCGTCTATCTTCGGAGGGGCTGCATATAAAAAATAATTATGTTGTTATTAATACATGAATTATCATCGTTAGAGAAAATATTATCACGATACATGTACAACTTATAAAACACAGAACTATTACTTTATTAGTGACAAATGAAAGGAGAGCTTGGTAGCGGCGTACGCACCACCCTATGATAAATTGGAGCGGAACTTAGTGAGACAGGACAAAGACTCGAGTGAGAAATGGAATAATGCGATAATGAATGACAGCTCCAATCGGAACATCTCGGTTATTATCCAAAGTTTGACGGAAAGGGTCTAGGTCGAGAAGATCCGATTGTGACAGCTCTTTTGATAAGCGGCAACAACTATATTAATCAAAGGGCTGCTTGCACAAGCTCTGTGGTATTTTCTGATCTTTGCAATTTGAATCGTACTGTATATCCTGTATAAGTATATTTTTATGTACTATAGTTCATCTTGCAGGGCACCAAAGTTTGATACATACGGTATTTTGCATGACTAGAGTTGCATCAAAAAATCATTTATGTTCATTTTTTATGACAGTCACACTTTATCCTTGCATATCGTGGCTACCTTCTTAACAAAGAAACTTAAAAAAATGAAAATAGTTGCCTTGAATGGGATTTGAACCCCAGACCTCTGAAACACTAAACGAGCGCGTTACCCCTGCTCCACGGAGAAGTTATACGAAGAAAGCGTGAATAAAATCAAGTAAAACTAAATTTAGAATTTCCATTGCATTTTGGGTTTGTAATCCTTATTAATTTCGAGGTATTTTGTTCACGATAACCCTGTTGTTTAACATTGATGTAAATAATTTTGCGAAAAACTTCTCGCATGTATATATATTCCACTACTCGACAGTCAGATTTATTTGTGTAATACGCTTTGATCGACAACGCTAAAAATAGCATTTTCATTGATTAAAATCATATTCATCCGCGTTATTTGTGATCGTGCATTGATCGACAATTCTATAACCCAAAGCTACTTTTAAACTTTGAATGCGTTGTAATTTGTTGGTTACTTGTAACAAAATGAAAATATTTCTTTCTTTTAAATCGCTAGTTTTAAGCAATTTTAAGAACTTCTTGTTGTTAGGTTTGTCGTGAACCGCTGTGTCAGAGATTGAATGTCAGCTTTGTATTTCCTGGTCTTCGATCAGAAAATACAAAAAGTGGTTGTGATGAGGGGCAACTTCTATAGAGAATAGTGGTTTTATGTAATATGGATCAACAAAAAACTAAAGACCTCAACAGATGGTAGAAACCAATTAAAACTTACAAGCAAATCTTATTTGAAGGCTACTATTTCTTGGGTTCATAATTGTGATTTTATGAGAAAAGCGGGCAACAATTCATAAAAGATAATGATATCAGGTGATAAAGGTCGTTAACTACACGTAGCATGTGTTTTAAGTGTCAAGTGGCAACAACTAGAGTAAAATAGGTAGAATTACATGATATGAGGCAATAACTCAATAGTGGTATTAAGTGATAAGAGGCAGTCTATAGGGAAGATTGATTTTATGTAATAAGGGGCAACACCTTTAAAATAGAAGTAAAATATTTTGAAAACGGGCAACTATTCTTGAAAATAATGGAATTATGTGATAAAGGCAATAACGCTAGAGAAGAGTGCTATAAGGAGATAAGGGGCATCAGTCAACCATACAGGAGAGCGGTGTTGTTTGATAAGGGGAAACAACTCTATAAAATAGTAGTATTATGGTATTATGTAATATAGGGCAATAACGCTAGAACAGAGATATTAAGTGGATAAGAGGCAACAATTCTAAACAACAGTGGTATAAGGAGATAAGGGGTAACAAGGCTAGAGAAGAGCGGTATAAGGAGATAAGGGGCATCAGTCAACCATACAAGAAAGCCGTGTCTTTTGATAAGGGGAAACAACTCTATAGAATAGTGGAATTATATGGAAAGAGAAGAAAGGTATGTAATCATGGGCGACAACTCTAGAGAAGAATGTTATTACATGTGTGTGGTAAAGGGTGCCGTTGTTGGATAGAAAATTGTTTCATTTGTTTACAACAACATCACTGCTGAGAAACGATTTATATCACTGCGTTTTTTTATGTTTTTTTTGTGCAGCATAGATTATACAAAATTATCTTCCGGAACTTACTTTCGATTATGACCTTGACCAGCGAAAGTATCTCGTTCTGATCAGTTTTACAGGTGTAAGTGTCTTCAAACGACTTAGTCATTTTCTTGATAAACAGATTCCACTCATTGGGTGCAGGTTTCATAATTTCTATTTCAGCATGGTGTGCGTAAACGTTTGTACCGGAAGTCAGCCAGCCATCTTTGCCGCTATACCAGCGAACCTGAAATAAACATGACAGGGTCAGTCGGAACTTTTCGACTTTTTCCATCCGTTTCCGGAACTTTTCGACTTTTTCCGTCCGTTTCCGTCGGAACTTTTCCGCCGTTCCCATCATATTTCAATTACTTCAATAGTGTTAGATTATAAGAAACTCGTGAATAAAAATTAAGTAAGGGAAAAAACACAAACAAAAACAACCAACTAAATAAGAGAAAAAAGAAAAACAAAAGTCATTCTGAATGAAACAGGACTTTTTGCACGAGTATATACTAACGTTGACATTTTTGCTCTCGTGCATTGGCAGTCGGCATGGTAATATCACATTCCGGTTAAGAGTGGCAGGTTGGGTGTAGTTTATGATGGCGCCATCGGAAACACTCCATAAACTCCCTGCAAAACAATAATATAACAGTTTTTTCTATCTATACTTTGATAAAGAAAACAATTTAAAGTTAGTCATTGGCCAATTATTTCATAATCAAATCATATCTTTTTGTTACCTTTATGGCAATAAGTACAGTTATAGTGTATGAAATAGAGTATTTTGTATGGAAGTCAAAATTCTACTTTGTTTACTACATTTTACTACTTTCATGACAAATTATTTCACATGTATCACTACATTCTTCTGGTAAAAGAAAAGATCTAACGTTCTCTAAAACCATATTTTAACATAATGATTATAAAATTTATTTTAGCCCTTTCTAAACAGGTAAAACAATATTTGTTTCTAAGAAAAGTAAAAATTTATTCTACTGAGGCAGAATGGGTTAATATTAAAATATTAATATTAATAATAACTTTCATCTGAGACTATATCTTTTATTAAATATAGCTTTGTGCTTTCAGAATAAATATAGCAAATAAACTCACCAATTACAGAGATTATAAAATAAGAATATAATTCCCGCATTCTGTTGAAATAGAGTCCGAGTTCTTTACACTACAAATGTACATACACTGAACGTATTATAACAATAATCAATCCGTTAGCTGTTCGTTAGTAATAAAAACACTAAAAAATCCTAAGTGTTGTTTTTATTCCCCCCAGCTGTAAGATCAAGTGGCTTCCGTTAATAAATTAAGAGCGATTATTTTGCTCTTAACACCATCGATGGATAAAAAGTTAACACTTCATAGAAGGGGTTTTGGAACATGATTTAGGAAACTTGACTTGCAGTGTCATCATCATTTAATCACCCACCCCCTCTTCACCATTACAATACTACTTGTGTCGCAATAAATCCCTAAATAAATTCGAACCCAAGCCAGCCCTTAAACTCCTTTTTTAAGTTAAAGCAGACGACATTTCGGCAGACGACAAATTTCCCAGCATGCAAAGGGCTGAACGAGGATAAGTTGACACAGTGTCCTGCCAAAAATCGGTAGTGTGAATAACAATGCATCAGTTTGCGTTGATTATATAACAAAACAAACAAGACATACATATGAGCCGTGTCATGACAAAACCAACATAGTGCGTTTGCGACCAGCATGGATCCAGACCAGCCTGCGCTTTCGCGCAGTCTGATCAGGATCCATGCTGTTCGCTATAAGTTTCTCTACTTGTAATAGGGTTGTAAGCGAACAGCATGGATCCTGATCAGACTGCGCGGATGCGCAGGCTGGTCTGGATCCATGCGGGTCGCAAACCCATTATGTTGGTTTTGTCATGACGCGGCTCAATTATTATTAACTAATTTCCATATAAAGAAGCTAAAGAAGCTGGCGGTCAGTGAGCTCGAAGAGCATGTGGTGTGAATCCAACGACCTTAACCACTTGGGCACGGCTAGACTTAATTTCGAGCTGGAGTAGAATTTCAAATCAGATGAAAGTTCAAAATTTCAAATAATTTCCTGCACGAATATAGAAACACCGTTGAGTAATGAAATAATGAGTCACACATAATTTAAGTATTTTTAGTTTATTGTTCTTGTGAGACTGTATTGTTTAACAGTGTGAGAAAAAAATATCACTTGATAAATAAACAAGTACTATTGTCGGATTTGTAATGATATGACCTCAGATACGTACAATCATTGGTCACCGGAAAAGATATAATGTAAAATCCACAACGAAAGTTGTATTCATACTTAAGTATTGTTTATAGTTGATTTTATCTGAAAGAAATAACATATTTCACAATACCGATTTTGCTTTTTTTAAACCAGTTGAAAGAATGTATTATTTTCATGTACATATTTATGAAGTAGTTAAGGTACTACATCCCCTAACAGTTCGGATGAATTTGGACCAATGCATGTCTGAAATTTTGTGGGAAAAGTTGGTGGGGCATAACATAATTATTATGTCCCAGGGAAAAATATAAGTACTGCTATGTGCACATAAAAATCTGGGAAGAGAAGTTTTTCCCTATGGAGAGCCCCCAAACACCCCCGTAAGCAGGGTTGTGAGTGGTTATCTTATGCAACCTGAACAGAAATTTTCTAGATCCATGCTTGTAACTTAATTAATTGTACCTTTATTGTGAAAACGTGAAATAGGCTGTAGATTTTGTCACATTTATGCACCTGGGGATTGAGCTCTACAAAACTTCATCTGTGTCTATTTGAAAGACATGTCGAATATAAAAGCTCTGTAGAGCTTCTGTTGAACTGTTGTAATTTTGCCAACTTGAACTTAATTATCTTATCTTACCTCTAAGAAATTTGTTCATTAATAAACTTTACTATCAATAAAACCACAGACGCTTGTGGTTTGGAGCTCAAAACGCCTTTAAAATCCAAATAAAATGCATATTTGTCAATCCCAGGACATATACTGATCATATATATCAAAAAATCTTAATATATGCCGTTTTGAGAAAAAATCATATTTCAACAACTATAATAATACACAGACGCTTGTGGTTTGGAGCTCAAAACGCCTTTAAAATCCAAATAAAATGCATATTTGTCAATCCCAGGACATGTACTGATCATATATATCAAAAAATCTTAATATATGCCGTTTTGAAAAAAAATCATATTTCAACAACTATAATAATACACAAGATAAAAATGTTCGCCGGAAAAAATCCGCACCCCTACCGTCATAATCACCATGTATTTTAATCCATTTCCAATATTTTCACATAATCCTTTGGTCTATCGACACAGAAGATATAATTCTTCACGATGATGGTCAATTTTAAACTTCAACGTTAATATAAACAACGCAGCAGCCGAAATAAACATCAATATTATCGCCGTTTTTTTCCAACGACAAAATCTTTCGATAAATTCAATGGACCAGACGCGGTACGTTACGATACCGAAATCAACTTGATTTCGGTAAAGTTACCGAAATCAACTTTTCATTACCGAAATCAACTTATAAAATCAAAATTAAGCGTTTTATTATATTTTTTTCATTATAATATATTACAATAGGTTAAGTTTGACTTTCATGCAAAAAATCAGTTCGAAATAATCATTAATAATGATATTAGAAACAAATAACTAAATATCAAGATTATTCCCTGATTTGTCACGAACCGAAATATATGTTACAATACCGAAATCGACTTATAAAATCACAATTAAGCGTTCTATTATATTTTTTCATTATAATCTATTACAATAGGTTTAGTTTGACATTCATGCAAAAAATCAGTTCGGAATAATTAATAATTATGAATTTAGAAACAAATACCTATATATCAAGATTACTTCCCTAATTTGTCACGAACCGAAATATATGTTACCATACCGAAATCGGCTTGTAAAAGTTAAAATAAACATTTTCAAAGATCTTGTTTAATTAATTAATATATAATCATTCAAACTGAACCATAAACATAGGAAAATAATATTTAATTATAAAAAATGATGATGTTATAGACGGATATGTATATTATATATCATGATTACTTCCCTTGTTATTAATGTGTTGCATTACCGAAATCAAAAATCAGATTTCATTTCAAAGATTCAGAGTCAACTCGTCCCCTGGTCAACTCGTCCTCTGGTCAACTCGTCACCTTTTTGGTCAACTCGTCCCTTGGACAACTCGTCCCCTGGTCAACTCGTCCCCCCCCCCCATAAATTATCATAGACTGTTAAAATAATACATTATAAAATTACTGAATTTGACATATTTTGACGCTTTTTGTATGCGAATATTTGGAGGTTTTTTTTGTTGTTAATTAAATATATCATGACACGTGCCTTTGGTTATTAAAGTAAACACATAGTAATTTGATAACAGGATTAAAGACACATTTGCCTCTGTGGTTGGATACGTATATACATATTAAAAGAACGCGTGTCTTTAATTAGAAATTATACAAATCGCGTGAAAATCGTGCCAAAGGTTGTTATAAAATTTTATTTTCCAAATGTCGACTTTGTTTTTGATGGTGTATGGTCAAATATGTGAAAATGTTGAATTAAATACAATTAATACATTCAATATGTTGACTTGTATTATACAAGAAATTCTGGAACTCGGTTTTATACAGCTCCTCTTTGAGATCAATTTAAAGATTTATTTATGGAAATTTAATATTAATCTTTACTTATTATTAGATGGCAATTGAATATTTAGTAATTACTTTATGTTTTCAATTAGTTAATATCCACGGCAAATATCATTGTACGGATTTTTTATTTTAAAAAAATAATGAAAAAAAAAAAAATACTAACTCTTTCAAAAGGCATGTATGTTTATACAACTCCTATGATAATGGACCATAATATTACAATGAAATTCAATTTTAAAAAAATCAGAAACAATTGACAATTTCACAACAAACAATTATCATGTTTTTAATTGACACGATCCTTCTATAATGAGATCAATACGCACCGACATAAAGTTTTTAGCACTTCCAATTTCTGTTAATCTGTCGTCAGTCTTTAATCCATTCAGGGAGGAGGTAAAAATCAAAGAGTTGGACCTAATTTTAGTTTTAATTATCATTAAAACTCCGATTAATTAAACATTAATTGAATGTTTGCAAACTTACCTTTCTTTGTAATTTTACATCAAACCTATGCACGTGGGTTAGATAAAGATCATTAAAATTTAACGTAAAAAAGACGTTATTTTATTAATATTTCGATATCAATCAAATTCATTATAAATTTTACATAAAAAGTACTATTTAAAGACATTGATTTACAACATAATAGTGACGAATAGATCGAACGAGGGACGAGTTGACTCTTTGAGGACGAGTTGACCAAAAGTAGGGGACGAGTTGACCAAAAAGGTGACGAGTTGACCAGAGGACGAGTTGACTAGGGGACGAGTTGACCGGATTGCATTTCAAAGATGAGAACAACCCCTAAAATATTTGCATGAATTTCAGAAGTCTATGAAAAAGATATTTGAGTGAGTTTTAAAATTTGAATTCATATCGCTTATTTTCAATGTTTAGTCAGATAACATTGCAGCGTATCATCTCTTTGATGTTTCTTAATGGTTTCAAAATACAAGATTAAACAAAACTGTGTTTGAAGTTATCCGCCTAATTTAGATCACTATTAAAATAGTTGATTGGAAATTATCACAGTATTTAATTTAAATCCAATGATTATGATTTGATTAAAATAAAAAGACGTAGCGGTAGCCATTCATCATAACACAATTACTAATAAGGAGCAAGCATACACGTGCTCGGACAATGGAGGTGTTAGTTGACATAATTAACATACTCGTTAACCGCAATCCTTTAATATTCATCGGCGCATATAGTATTATACATATTTCAGATCTAGTAAGCTGGTAAAAATATAATTTTATATTAAATAAATTGTCAAAAGACCGGTTTTAACTAATTTGTAGGGGTGGTCGCTAAACGTTTCCGTAGAAAACATTTCGGTATATGAGACAAGGTGCTTTGATATTATTATTACCAAATTGCATATCAGTTGTTCCAAAAATGTATGCATTTTTTTGATGTCCCGGACATATTCTACTTATTGAAAAAGTGTTAAGTAATGATTTTATGTTGATCGATTTAAAATCATTTTAAATTTCATATCTGTAAACAGCATAAATTTATGGAATGACTGGTATATATTTATATGATGAAAAAAATGGAACACTTTATACTGACAAATTTCAATTATGAAATGTTGTAACTTGTACGATATGACATGCTGTGTATTACTGTATTAAGTAAGGTGTGAAGTAATTAAGACAGGAGGTACAGTTGACATATATTGTATGTTAAAGATAAAAGATTATAATGAACCATCAGTTTATTTCGTATTAAACATTTAAATAAATGACAAAAATATAAAAATATTATAATAAAGAGTCCCCATAACATATGTTAGTGATTTGTTAATATATAGTTTAACTGTTCAATAAAAGAAAGACACAAACTTTCCAATTTCCAATTTTACTGCCTGATACATTATACAATTTTTATGGAACATTTTTAGAGCAGTCCAATTATATATCTGTATTCAAATTTATAATAGAAAATCATAAACTTCCGGTTGAAGTTGGATATTTTTCTTCATAAAACATAAACATGTACAAAATTTATAATTATCTTTAACTCATATTACAGAGTATTTTATTTTTCCATCATAGTCCGATCATAGCTTTTTAAAAATACGATTTTATTTAGAAAATTGTTATGCACGACAATCACGTGCATATATATAACATGCTAATATGGCGGTATCAGACTTTTTCTTAAATCATTATATACATTGCATTCTAATATGAAATGGTATTAGTCTTCTAAGACATTACATGAAAAACATTTTCTATCATTTAAAGGTGTACTATTTGGTTTAGTCCATCTACCTGAGTCTATGTGCAATCTATGAGATGATACTCTTAAGTTCTTAACCTAGTGAGATCTTTACAAAACCGTTCAACATTGATAATATTTAGATATGGTTGAAACTTAAAAACAGAAATATGTCTATAAAGTAGAGCTCTACTAATGTTATCTAATCTACTATCTACTAATTATATACATAATTTAAACTTCACCGCTGATTTCGGTAATGCTAAACACATAACGGGTTGTTTAGACAAAGGCTAGTAACTCAATAATTACATTTTTGTTAATAACATCATTAAAATAAAATATTTTCAATAGATTTTTTAACTGAAAGTCTATTTCACTATTTTTCATCAAATAATGAAGAAATAATAGCAATATTTTAACTAAGTTGGTTTTTACGAGTTGATTTCGGTAATGCTAAACACATAACGGGTTGTTAAGAACAAAGGGAAGTACCTCAATAATTACATTTTTGTTAATAACATCATTAAAATAAAATATTTTCAATAGATTTTTTAACTGAAAGTCTATTTCACTATTTTTCATCAAAAAATGAAGAAATAATAGCAATATTTTAACTAAGTTGGTTTTTATGAGTTGATTTCGGTAATGCTAAACACATAACGGGTTGTTTAAAACAAAGGGAAGTAACTCAATAATTACATTTTTGTTAGTAACATCATTAAAATAAAATATTTTCAATAGATTTTTTAACTGAAAGTCTATTTCACTATTTTTCATCAAATAATGAATAAATAATAGCAATATTTTAACTAGTTTGGTTTTTACGAGTTGATTTCGGTAATGAAAAGTTGATTTCGGTAACTTTACCGAAATCAAGTTGATTTCGGTATCGTAACGTACCCGACCAGACGGCTATGAACGAAGCTATCCGATTATGTGGTTCCCAAACTTAAAAGCGCTGCGCATTTTGCACACGGCAAAGCTGGGGCCACATAATCGGATAGCTTCGTTCATAGCCGTCTGGTCCATTGAATTTATCGAAAGATTTTGTCGTTGGAAAAAAACGGCGATAATATTGATGTTTATTTCGGCTGCTGCGTTGTTTATATTACCGTTGAAGTTTAAAATTGACCATCATCGTGAAGAATTATATCTTCTGTGTCGATAGACCAAAGGATTATGTGAAAATATTGGAAATGGATTAAAATACATGGTGATTATGACGGTAGGGATGCGGATTTTTTCCGGCGAACATTTTTATCTTGGATTGACAAATATGCATTTTATTTGGATTTTAAAGGCGTTTTGAGCTCCAAACCACAAGCGTCTGTGAATAAAACCTTATATTCAGTAGAGAAAAAATATCGCGTTTCAAAATCTATAATATACAGAGACTCTGTTTACAATATTATATGTCTAAAACTCTTTGATAGGGACAGGTATAATGATTACAGTTATTATACGTGTGTGTGTGTTGTAGTTACTTCCCTTTGTTTTGTAAACCTCATTTGTAGTGAACCAAAACAAGTAGACAAAAATTGTAAATGGATTCGAGATGCTAAATATTTCATACTGTTGCACAAGATATTTTACCAATTTGAGGTTTGAACCTTAATCTTGTTCACTTAGCTTCTAGTTAAGATGATACTAAATACTTTCACTGATGTCACATCGTAAACTTGTAAACAGGTATTCGGATATTGTTGACATCACATATAGATCTATATACATTATCTTATATTTAGTTGACATCTACCTGTTTACATGACTACATGTACTGATTAAGGCAAAGTTATTTGACCTTTGTTATTGTTTGTGGAGTGTAGATCTACAGTATCATGATTATGACCCTTGTTTGGGTTTTAGTGGAAATTTAATTATCAGTTGTTTTAAATTTTGTGCCAGCACCTTTTACAGTGTAAATGTATACAAATATTTCCACATTATTTCATTTCTTTTTTTAAATAGTTAATTGCTAAAACAATTCACAAGGTTATCAAATGTCTTTATCGTTACAATGTAGATAAACTGGAAAAGCACCATGTTACTGGTTTCATAACAGTTTCTGGCCCCAAATTGCACATTTTTACAAACAGAATAAAAATCTGTCTACGTCTCTGACACTTCTAACACATACAGGTAAATGTCAATCATTAACTTGTATCCGATGTTTTTAATTGAAATATGGCCGAAAAATGCATAAACTTTTCTTGCTCAGAATTTCGTAGCAGTTTCCTGGACCTTTAAAATAAAAGGCTTTTTCATTTTGAATATAATTTGGGACATGTAAGCAATGTAAAGGTATTTTTATTATAGTTTACAACCTTTTCTGTATCCTTTGCAAATATTTTGTTCAAAAGTACTGATTTTGTTGGAATGGGGTCTTAATTATTGTGAATAATCAGAGCGTTTGAACTAGAATCCTATTTTTCTAAATGTAGCAACTTCTTTAAGGTTACTTCAAACAACAGGCAAATCTTCAAAATATATAAACGATTGTACAATTCAATTGCTGCTTTGCCTAGGAAACAAACGTCTCTCTGATTTGATGAAGCAACTTAGAAGCCTAATTATCAGTAAAAACAGACTGTACTGGACGAAAATGATAGTCCGCCAGAAAACTGCTCTGGTCTGGAAACTGCTTTAAAATCAGTAAAAAGTTTAATGATGATCTAGTCAGTGTATGAAAATAAGTCTCGACATATTCCTGTTTGTTTTAATTGAAAGATAATTATGTTAATATGTTAATGTTTGATCATCTTTTTTTTATGAAAAAAGATGTCAATAATATTAATTAGTCTGCCTTTTCTTACAGCAGCTTGAGATTTTTTGTGACACAGTCTGTGAGGTTGGTACAAGTAAGTTCTAGGGATTGTTTCCAATTTGATAAGATGGCATCCTTTATTGGGGAAAGAGTATTAGTACAGCTAAAGAATCAGAAGACCGGGAAATTTGAAAAGGCTCAATTTACACAGGTATAGATTGCATTTTAAACTTAAAAATGCCTCATGGTTGAGCTATTAGGATATAGCTTTTTAAACACAGAAACAACTTTTGCCCTAATTCTAAACGAACCCTTGACATTCAGCCCTTTAAAGGGGACTAACATGTAAAAAAGTAAGTAAAAGATTTGTTTTTTTTGAGGAGAATAACTGGCTTCAAGTACGGTCAGTTTTCAAATGGCCCGGGCAACAACCCGCCCGGCTGCTTCATTGACAATTCAACCCTTCTGACATTGTATGAGTTCTAAGTGAGATGATGTTTGTTGTGTTTCCTTTCAAATGTTGTAATTGTTGTCGGTTTTTTGTTATTGTCAATTTCTTTATGATAACTCAAGCGTTGTAACTTTAGTATAGATACATGTATATCTTTCTGTTTAATGTCATCTTAGGCTTATTAAAGGTACTCCACTGAGGTACGGCCGAATGTCACAAAAAAAAGTAAAATTTCACGAACCGATAATTTTTTGTTACCTGCTTGTTAGGGACATTCAAACAGAATCAGTGATACATTGATATGTGTTCTTTGGATTGGCAAGTCGTTTGAAATACATATTTTCTCCAATTTTATGGGAAAAGCGTTTAAACACCTTTCAGTTTGCAAATCTGAATAAAAACAAAGGTCACGTGATGATACTCGGGATGACTAAAAAGCGAAACGGAGAATTTTTTGTGTATCGGCAGCAACGAAAGTGCAAAAGTGGAATATACCAACAATCCATATATTTTAAGCAAATTATTGGTTTGTTTGTTCAATTTCTTGTTGTTCACATATGTTCTTGTAAGAAAAATCTTTCAAAAGCAATTTCAATATATTTAAAGCATTAAATTCTTGTTATCATGTTTTTTTTCTCCATTACAATGACGAATTAAGCTAAACGTACGGAGTTGGAAACTGACATACACAAATTTTACAAATATTCTATGTTAATTTGAGAGCTTTCGTGTAATTACTGAATATTATGTATTAACTTTGTAATGGTTAAAATATCATGATATCTAGGCTAAGGAAATTTACTTTGTCAATCAGTGTAATGGGTCCTATTTCAAAGGTCACTTTGGTTTATCTGACACCCGTTCAAGAAAAAAATCTTCGTAATACCTTTTATACAACGAACATGAACTTGAGTATTGTAAGCATAAACAATCACATGCACACACAGAATGTTATTCCAGAGATTTCTCTTTAACTCTGATCAAAGCACTGAAAGCACTGGCTAAATAGAGAATGAATCCGGCCTCATTATAGGACATTTAGGCTTCAACTTTATTAGTTAATATTTCTTATGTATGTCTAGTGCATATTATTAAAATTCTATAAGAAAAAATCGATCTTATTGGCTAGATAGATCTGAAATTTAATATTTATCATTTTACATACATACTTGCATATTTATCTGCATTGGATGTAAACTGTATGAACACGTCTGCGGATGTTTCTAAATTCAAAATTTTACTATTACATGTTTAAATGTTGAATTCTGCTCAAGCCGGTGCTAGGGGCGCGGACGGTAACTTGCACTTTCCAGTACCGTCCATGAACAGGCTCAATCAAACCGAGCCTGCAACATTTTCAATTTTGCCGTGTTGGGCTTTCTTTAGGGATTCTGTATTTTTCTATATTATTTGTTGATGAGAAAATTACTACGTTTTGATCTAGACATTCAAAACTATAGGTAATTGATACCTGTTTCATGTACATGGTAAGCATTAAGCAAGAAGGTCGGAAAAGAATTACAATCTGGCTCTATTAATATTATTATTATCATTATTGATTTAGTAGATATCCTGATAAATTTCTTTCTTATTGGAAGGCCTCCGTACTAGTGATGTCAATTGAGCTGTGCTTTAATGTTACCTATATATTGAAGCTTCCCGTTGGAAAAGAAATTGAGAGTGTTATAAGAGTAAAAAAGGAAAACTGGAATAAAGACAATCAAGGGCGACGGCAACGTTCACAGGACGCAGTCCCCGACACAGTCAAGCTTCCACAGCAGGGCTATTGCCGTGACTAGTTAAATAAACTTAAAACTGATTATAAAGTTGTTATTCTTTAAACCCTAACTTTCTTTCAAATTAAACGAAACAAACAAAAGCATGATACTTGCAAGACAAATGTGAAGGGCAGGTAAGTAAAAGTAACTTTAAGAAATTCAGTAAGATATTATTAACCTCACCTCATACAACAACCATTGCTTAAATTATGTTTTATAATACTTCCAACTCCTAGACGGTATACAAACTGCATATCTACATTGTTTTTACTCCTTATAGCCTGTTCATCATGGCATACTAATTGTTAATAGTTTTGTAAAGGGTCAGGTTCTTTTCCCGACTATTTTGAAAACACGAGTGACTGGTTTCAAAAACTGCAATGGCTAAATATTGATCGGATGCATTTCATTGCATAAATAAGTTAGGAAGAGAACCCTGCTTTTCTTGCATTATAGCACTAAAACCTTAACTTTTCTCAACTTTCTTCCTGTTTTTCATTTTTCTGTTTAGTCTTTTTATTTACCACTTGAAAGCCTGAAATTAAATTTTCCATTGATAATTTAGCTGTGGGCATGTGTTGCTTGGTCGTGTGGGTGTTGCATTCATTGAATGTTACCATTTCTTTTTGTATTTCTGATCGAAGATTATGAAATACAAAGCTAACATTCAATCTCTGACACAGCGGTTTCACGACAAACCTAACAACAAGCAGTTCTTAAAACAGCTGAAAACTAGCGATTTAAAAGAAAGAAATATTTTCATTTTGTTATAAGTATCCACTAAATTACAACGCATTCAAAGTACAAAAATAGCTTTGGGTTATAGAATTGTCAATGAATGCACATTCACAAATTACGCGGATGAATATCATTTTAATCAATGAAAATGCTATTTTAAGCAATATCGAGAGCGTATTTCACAAATAAATCTGACTGTCGAGTAGAGGAATATATACATGTCGGACTGCTTGGCAAGAAGATTTTTGTTAAATTATTTACATCAATGTTATACAACAGGTTAATCTTGAACAAAAACCTCGAAATTAACCCGAAATGCAATGGAAAATCTAAATTTAGTATTACTTGATTTTATTCAGGCATTGTTTGTATATCTTCTCCGTGGTGCAAGGGTAACGCGCTCGTTTAGTGTGTCAGGGGTTCAAATCAAATTTAGGGCAATTATTTTTTATAAAGTTTCTTTGTTAAGGAAATAGCCACGATATGCAAGGATAAAATAAGGCCGTCATAAAAATGAACATAAATGATTTTTTGATGCAACTCTAGTCATGCAAAATTCCATATGTATCAAACTCTGGTACCAAGCAAGAAGAATTATAGTACATAAAAATAAACTTATACAGGAAAATATAACAGTTATACACTGCGATTTAGATTGCAAAGATCAAAAAATACCACAGAGCTTGCAGCCTTTTGATTTATCTTGTTTTTCGTATGTATGTTCTGGAGATTAGGTGGGTGGTTCTCGTAATACTTTAAGATTTATAAGATTGTGTATTAAAAGCCTTTGTAAATTGTTTCGGAAATACTGGATATCGTTTCGAAAAATTATAGAGCTACTTAAGTATTTTAAACACTTGAACAAAAAATTTCACAGTAACAGGAATTAAAATTAATTCTTAAGTATTTTGGTTATAGTGATTATACCGTAATCAAACGTTAAAGGTCTCCTAAGAAATGTTCTTTGGAATTAAATACTTAGTGTAAGCACAAGAACATAAACCACCAGATTGCTTGCAAAATCTTTATCGGCAGGATAAATTGGTTCACAAAACATGATTTTTCACAGTCATGATCAAATGAACAGACTGTCATTTTCTTCCTGTTACCGAAAGATACGAACAGACTGTCATTTTCTTCCTGTTACCGAAAAATACACACGAGGAAGATTTCAAGTAGAAGACACGTCACTGACAGAATGTTCTTAATATTTGAATAGAAAAGAGTTTGCTAAAGCCAATTTATGAAAGAGAAATCGGGTATGCTACTTATTAAATTATTTGCCCATAAAAGAGGGTTTATTTTACTCGTTTAGATTATTTTCAAAAACAAAAAGTCTCAAAAAGCAAAGGTTAGCTGATATTAAGATGTAAACCGCGACATATAAAATTAATTTACCTGTGAAACTCGAGTGAAAATGTGTAAGTTTAGCCGGGTTTTTCTTCAGTGCCTTCAGCACTTTGATCTTACCTGTAGTACAAGTAAAACTATATCGTTTTCACCGAAAAATCATTAAATTCTAAACAAGTTTCTAATAGAATCATAAACATTTATTGTATCTTAGTTTGAAGACTTTTCTGTTGAAAACGTGCCAGAGTTACATGCACATGCACAGTGCGTAACTGGAGTGCAGGTGATAGTTCCCAACACTCCACAGCATGCCCATTGATGTACTCATTCTTTTTTTTTTGGGGGGGGGGGTGCTTTTTTTGGTATAACGATAGAAATGCCAAATTCAGAAGCTGGTTCATAGGTTTTTTTCTGGGGTTTCATATTGTTACAACAGGGAACGTGCATTTAATTTTGCCTATGGTATGAATATGATGTAATTGTGTGTGGAACGTGTATGTACGATCCTATCATGATAGCCTACGAAACGTCACTCATTACATACACAGATGCCCGTTTGTGCCAGAAACAATTTTGCAAAGGTAGCACCTGAGTTCTTACTCCACCAGTAAAACTGAAGAGTCGCCAAAATGACCTACGTACACAGTTTTGTGTGACGTAACCCCCACTCCATCCCAAAAACAAACAATCAAATCAAATGAGACATGTCATTAACTGTATTTGATTTAAATACGTTATAGATAGCGTTTAATACTTTTATTAGTGTGATTACACTGTGCTCGTTATAGTATAAATATCACCGATGCATTATGTTTGCCTTAGAATATTGAAATTGAAACTGAAATGTCAATGAAAATAATTGTAAATGTATATAATATCTTTCCGTTTTGTTTAGAAAATGTCCGCTTCGCTGGCGTTTGATTTTTAAAGACAACGAAATTGCTACCTTGATTATCTTTTATACAGTTTTTCTTCGTTATACTCAAGTTATATAAACATGATAGGTTAAAGTGTTGAGAAAAAATCAATAGACTTTTTTACCCCCGTTTACTCTGTTGTTCCAAAAATGTCCGTTGCGTATTTTAGTCATACCCGATGAATTGTGGGTAACTTCTGTACATGTCTGGGAAAACCAACTTTCATTTTTGCATCAAAAGCTGATGTGAAAATGCATTTTCTAGCATAATTGTTGTCAGAGGGTTGGTTAAAGTGTAAGTTATTGTTATTTTAGTCATAATATTGTGATTTGTGAGGAAATTTGTTTACATTTTTTTTGGACACCAAATTATCTGTCAGACCTCAGTGTAGCCCCTTTAAGCTTATAACAGTCTACCATTTCTTTGTCCCAAAGCCTTTCACTCTTGGTAACCTGTTACTGGCCCAGAAACAGTTCACATTGGCCAGTTTGGCTATAAGAAAAAATATAGTGATTTTGAATTTGTGAAACATTGTTAAACAAGTTTTGCAAATTTTTTGACATACTATTTTACATTAAATTCTGCTTTTTTTTCATGTAATAAGCATCTAACATGCTCCAAAATCTAAATCCATTATTAAAATATTATAAAACAGAACTTTTCCTTTTTTTCATAGGAAAAATCTAATGTATTTCTGATGTTTAATATGCATTTATATATGTTGTAATTATACCCCCGCACAACAAAGTTGTAAGGGGGGTATACTGGAATCAGCTTGTCCGTCCGTTTGTCCGTCCGTCTGTCCGTCCGGCCGTCGGTTTTTTCTTGTCCGCCCAATAACTTAAGATTCCTTTGACCCTTAGTCTTCATATTTGGCATGGAGGTTAGTCATGATTAGTAGATGATCCCTATTGATTTTGAGGTCACTAGGTCAAAGGTCAAGGTCACAGGGGCCTTGACTTCAAAAAGCTTGTCCGCCCAATAACTTAAGATTCCTTTGACCTACAGTCTTCATATTTGGCATGGATGTTAGTCATGATTGGTAGATGACCCCTATTGATTTTGAGGTCACCAGGTCAAAGGTCACGTTCACAGGGGCCTTGACTTCAAAAAGCTTGTCCGCCCAATAACTTAAGATTCCTTTGACCTACAGTCGTCATATTTGGCATGGAGGTTAGTCATGATTAGCAGATGACCCCTATTGATTTTGAGGTCACCAGGTCAAAGGTCAAGGTCACAGGGGCCTTGACTTCAAAAAGCTTGTCCGCCCAATAACTTAAGATTCCTTTGACCCACAGTCTTCATATTTAGCATGGAGATTAATCATGATTAGTAGATGACCCCTTTTGATTTTGAGGTCACCAGGTCAAAGGTCAAGGTCACAATGGCCTTGACTTCAAAAAGGTTGTCTGCCCAATAACTTAAAATTCCTTTGACCCACAGTCTTCATATTTAGCATGGAGGCTAGTCATGATTAGTAGATGACCCCTATTGATTTTGAGGTCACCAGGTCAAAGGTCAAGGTCACAGGGGCATTGACTTCAAAAAGCTTGTCCGCCCAATAACTTAAGATTCCTTTGACCCACAGTCTTCATATTTGGCATTGAGGTTAGTCATGATTAGTAGATGACCCCTATTGATTTTGAGGTCACCAGGTCAAAGGTCAAGGTCACAGGGGCCTTGACTTCAAAAAGCTTGTCCGCCTAATAACTTAAGATTCCTTTGACCCACAGTCTTCATATTTGGCATGGAGACTAGTCATGATTAGTAGATGACCCCTATTGATTTTGAGGTCACCAGGTCAAAGGTCAAGGTCACAGGGGCCTTGACTTCAAAAAGCTTGTCCGCCCAATAACTTAAGATTCCTTTGACCCACAGTCTTCATATTTGGAATGGAGGTTAGTCATGATTAGTAGATGACCCCTATTGATTTTGAGGTCACCAGGTCAAAGGTCAAGGTCACAGGGACTTTGACTTCAAAAAGTTTATCTGCCCAATAACTTTAGATTCTTTTGACCCACAGTCTTCATATTTGGCATGGATGTTGATCATGATTAGTAGATGACCCCTTTTGATTTTGAGGTCACTTGATCAAAGGTCAAGGTCATAGGGACTTTGACTTCAAAAAGTTTGTCCACCCATTAACTTAAGATTCCTTTGACCCACAGTCTCCATATTTGGCATGGAAGTTGATCATGACTATAAGGTGACCCCTATTGATTTTGAGGTCACTGGGTCAAAGGTCAAGGTCACAGGGACCTTGACAAAAAAAATCTTTTCTTCTCAATTGCTAAAGAATGTCCTGTCCGCAATGTATTGATTTTGACATTTTCACATTTGAAGCATGTAGAATACATAACTTAGCAATGCACTGGCTTAGTAACCTCAGATTTGGCAGGGAGGTTGTCCTTGAGCTCTAAATGGCCACTGTTGATTCTGACAAAGTGGTATGTGGGGGTATTCACGCCGTGATAGTGGCAGTTCTAGTTCTAATTATTCTATCAAGGATGAGAGGAAAATGTAAATACATGTTGTGGGCATTCAGTTTCTATCTATTTTTTATAGTGGGGGTGTGGCCGAGTGGTTAACGCATCAGACTAGTAATCTAAGGATAGCTGACCGCATGTGTTCAAACCATGTCAGGGGCAAGCCATTGTTTCCTAGAGCAAGAAATTGCTTACTGGTTGGTTCCAGAAATGGCTTGGAGAGTATTTCATTAAGCGTACAGCTTCCAACACAATCAAACTAGAATAAATTTGCATAAACTAATTTATTGTTATAGATACATGTATACACTCATCTTTCATTTGTTTTATTATTCTATTCACCAAGTGTATAGTGGACTACATAGATCCTGAGAATAAAGATGGCGTTTGTCAAGGCATGGTGGAACTGAAGGAAGGCAAATTGAATATATCATCTGCTGAGTTAGCTGATAAATGTGCTGTCAAAATAAAGGTACTATTTGTGTTTTTATTATGTTGCTTTTGTCCTCTTTACAAAGGTGGAGCATGATAGTTTTTATGATGCTTTTGTCCTCTTTTCAAAGGTGGAGCATGATAGTTTTTATGATGCTTTTGTCCTCTTTTCAAAGGTGGAGCATGATAGTTTTTATGATGCTTTTGTCCTCTTTACAAAGATGGAGCATGATTTAATTTAGCTCATATATTATACATGTTATGAATCTTTCTCAATATTTCTTTGGTATAGAAGGCTGTATGCTATTATATTGGGCTTCAGTGGCCAAGTGGTCAACTTGGTTGTCTTTGGCTTTCACTGATAGGGGTTGAATCCCACCAAAAATTTTATATTCTTTAATTTGAGGAATATTATATAGGTAGTTTATGGAAGGTTTGTTGGGTATACTCAGGTGTCTGATTATGTCTTAAATAATGCATGGAAAGGCTCCAGTACTTCCTCCACCTCCACAGTATCTGTGTAATTTAAAGCCCAATAAAATACATTGTAGGTAATTGAAGACTAAGACTAGATGCTTTTTACATAGCAATTATTACCTCCCCTGGCTGTCATTTTGAGGTTCATTTCCACTTTATCATAATAATTATGCTTAAGATAAGATGAAAATCTCTCATAATTGCAAACTGATAAAAAATCTTTTACATATTGGTGCTGTAATAATATATACATGCATATGTATAAAAGAATTTAACAAGTCTCCCAAATCAGCTGTTTATATTGATATGTTCAATATTTTACTTTGACAATTATATTATATGGAATATCAACCCCAGAAATGGCTGCCTCTTTTGGCAAGGGGGGTAAATATTGTCAAAATTGGGAACTATTATGTTGTTTATTTTATTTCAGCATCCACCATTTTGTCCTATACATCAAATGACAGATGAGAATAAGTCTGGGCTACCCCCTAATATCTACTCCCGGGGCATTGATTGTGGGGCGGCAGTGATATTGGAGTCTGGGGATGGTCAGGTGTTCCTTACTTGCAGGGGAGACCACCTACGAACATTCCCTGGTATTTGGGTTCCACCAGGTATTGTTGATATTATGCTCCAGGATCATTAGATAGGGACAGCATATTGCTTGGTCTGTCTGTTTGTTTGTTTGTCTGTCTCTTTGTCATAGAAATTAAACCTTCACTTAAACACTGATTTTGTTTAAGTTGTCATATCTTTGTTATATTTTAATGGGTTTGATTCATACTCAGACAAAGAATACTAATGATAAACTGACATGATGAATATTTCAAATTTGACCTTGGCCTTTAAATGATCTGGACAGTCAGGGTCACATAATTAAATGTAGCTTTAAATGTCATAAATTGCTTAAAATGTCATAAATTGGTTATTTATTTATTTATGAATTGATAGCTTAACAGCTGCTCTGGTATAAAATGAGTGTCAATCTAAAAGTGGCGGCGGGGCTGAGTGGTTAAAGGAGGACACCAATAATCTAACACTGGTGGCTGTGTGGGTTCCAATTGCCTCAGGGGCAAGCCATCATTTCCTTGCAAGGAACTTTACACTTAGTGCTTACTACTGGTTGGTTCAGAGAAAGGATTCAAGAGTGACCAAAAACTACAAAAACTAAAATTAATTCTGTATAAACTTTTCCTACTATTTATCTGCTTTTCATCAACATGCGGTATACATACTCATGCAAAAATTTGTTATTATTTTTTACAGGTGGACATATAGAACAAAATGAAACAGTAAGTTGATGATTATTTACTGATATTTGTCTTGTAGTGTATTACATATATTATGTAAAAAGCATGGCCTGAGCAAAGTTGCTACCTTCGCTGCACACTAGGATTATGCTGTTAGATTTTCTTTAAAAAATTACTCGCATCATAACCATGACAGTTGGTCTCAGACATTGAGTCTAATGTAGTTATGATCATGTGTCCCTCACCACTGTTTTAGAAATCATGTTGGATAAGTATTTGGTCACTTGCAGAGAAATTAGTACTTACTCGGGTTAGGTATCCAGACAAGCCTGTATAGTGGATTGACTTCTGAGATACATGTATAACCAAACATGCATTAAAACAAACAACCATGCTTCATCATATTACACTTTTTAGCTCACCAGAACCGAAGGTTAAGGGTGAGCATCATCAAAGGGGGATGCTCCGGCATCCGTCGTCATGCATCAACAATCTTCTTCTCTGAAACTGCTGGGCAGATTTGCTTCAAATTTGGTCTGTAGCATTTTTGTGACAGTCAAACTTAAATTTGTTAATGTCATTTCAATTGGCCCCTTTTAGGGGTCAACAGAGCTAAAAATAGAAAAACCTTTAAACATCTTCTTCTACAGAACTAATGGATGGATGATCACCAAACTTTGTCTGTAGCATTCTTGGGAAGTCTTTTATCAAGTTTGCTCATATTAGTTTGATTGGCACCTTTTAGGGGCCACTAAAGCTAAAAATAAAGATACCTTTAAACATCTTTTTCTACTGAAATAATTGATGGATGATCACCAAACTTTGCCTGTAGCATTCTTACTAATCTTAGGTAGTCTTTTATCAAGTTTAGTTAGTTTACTCATATTAATTTGATTGGCCCCATTTAAGCTACAGCTTAAATGCCCCAGGTCATGGCATTTCTTCAAATTATCGTTTAAAGATATTCTATGCTCAAATATTCTATGCTCAAAAATATTGACAAAGGATAATTTCCGACACTGAAAAGCAGTTGTTTCTGGTGAGAGACTCAGGGCCATCATGGCCCTCATGTATTGGTTAGTTCCAGGAAGCAGATTCAAAAGTGATTGATATAAGTTGCTCTACAATTGAATTTAGATAAATATTTTTAACTAAAAACTTTAAAATCTAATCATTATTAACAATACTCAACTATTTTCAATGACTTAATATATTCTTACTTGATCTTATTTCAGTTTCTGGAGGCTGGTTTACGAGAACTGAAGGAGGAGACTGGCTTGAATATCACTCCAGATATGTGTCAACTAGACACAGTCCACGTTTTGGCAGTTTGGGAGGTGAGACTGGTTTAAATATCACATGAGACGTGTCAACTAGACACAGTCCATGTTTAAGCAGTCTGGGAGGTAAGACTGTTTTAATATCATACCAGATATGTGTCAACTAGACACAGTCCACGTTTTGGCAGTCTGGGAGGTGAGACTGGTTTTAATATCACATGAGACATCAATCTCCTACGCAGTGATCTCCCCTTACAGCAGGATTAGATCTCTGCCATCACAACATTTTCGTCAAGATTTTTGACGATATGAATTTTTTCAATTTTTATATTTATTTTAAAAAGTAAACACGGTTTTGATAATTTTTTTAGGAAATATACCGGACGTAGGTACAAAAAGTTAAAAATAAAACAGAAAGAGAAAAATGACGTTAGATTTTCTATGTAACGGTCGATATTTACATTTGAATTTCGACGTTACGTCATGTGACTTTCATCATCATGTGACGTCTGTGAAGGCAGTGATTACAATTCTGCCAAGGGAGGTAATCACTGTGAGGAGTTTGATGAGACATGTCAACTAGACACAGTCCATGTTTTAGCTGTCTGGGAGGTCAGACTGGTTTAAATATCACACCAGATATGTGTCAACTAGACACAGTTCACGTTTTAGCAGTCTGGGAGTTAAGACTGGTTTTAATATCACATGAGACATGTCAACTAGACACAGTCCATGTTTAAGCAGTCCGGGAAGTAAGACTGGTTTAAATATCATACCAGATATGTGTCAACTAGACACAGTCCACATTTTAGTAGTCTGGAAGGTAAGACTGGTTTAAGTATCACACCAGATATGTGTCAACTAGACATAGTCCACATTTTAGCAGTCTGGGAGGTAAGACTGGTTTAAATATCACACCAGATATGTGTCAACTAGACACAGTCATACTTTTAGCTCTCTAGGAAGTAAGATTTATTTGAATTTCACATTTCTGTTTATTTTGATTTTTAAGGTTATTGGAATCACTTGTTTTTAGCTCGACTTTTCTATGAAAAGGGGAGCTATCCTACTCGCCCCGGCGTCGGCGTCGGCGTTAGCGTTAGCGTTAGCGTTAGCGTTGGCGTCACACCTTGGTTAAGTTTTTCGTACCACCCCACTTTATTTCAGAAGTATTACAAGTATGGCTTTGAAACTTACCATACTTGTTCACCATCATAACCTCCATCTACAGACAAGAGTACATAACTCTGTCAAGGTTTTTGACAGAATTATGGCCCTTTTTTGACTTAGAAAGTGTATTGAGCTTGGTTAAGTTTTTTGTACCACCTCACTTTATTTCAAAACCATTGGAGGTATTGCTTTGAAACTGACCATACTTGTTTACCATCACGACCTTCATCAACAGACAAGAGGACATAACTCTGTCAAGGTTTTTGACAGAATTATGCCCCTTTTTGACTTAGAAAATACATTGAATATGGGTCAAATCCACTTATTGCCTTAACCCTTTGAGATATTGCTTTGAAACTTTTAATGCTATTTTACATCATTACCCCCATCTGTACGCAAGAGAAGGTAACTCTGTCAAGGATTTGTTTTAAAAATTAAGGCCTTTTATCGACTTAGAATCTTGGTTAAGTTTTTAGTACCAGTCCACTTTTTGACTGAACTGTTTGAGATATTAATTTGAAAGTTGGAATACTTGTTTACCATCATGGTCCCAAAACATGGGCAGGAGAAGGTAATTCTGTTAAGGATTTTATTTGAATTATGGCCCTTTTTGACTTAGAAACTCAGTTAAGATTTTCATTCTTGTCCACTTGTTGACTTAACCATTTGAGATATTACTTTGGAAGTTGGAGTTCTTATGTGCCATCATGAGACCTATCTGTAAGCAAGAGAAGATAACTCTGTGAAAATGTTTCTTGATTTGTACTTAGAAATTCCTAGTTAAAGTCTTGTGTGCCCTTAACTGTCAAAGTTTTGTTTTATAGGCAAGCACTAAAAAAGTCGAGCGCGCTGTCCTTCTGACAGCTCTTGTTATCACTGCTTTCATGTATCATTTTGATATCTTCTCCATATATTTACAGTCTGTGTTTCCGCCAAAGCTGTCACTTGGTACAAGCAAACGTCATCATGCTGTGATTTACCTTCATGCTCAGTTAAAATCTCAATATACATCCAACAGTTTAAATAAAGAGGTTAAAATTGATCCAGAAGAGGTTGGGGCGTGTGCTTGGTTTGACAGGTCAAAGATCAATGCCATTGTATCGGCTAGAGAAGAAGACCAACAAAAAGATTTACAAGATGTCTGTGATTCATTTAGGTATTGGGATATATATTATTTATATGGCCATTATTCAATATGAAACATAGTAAAGACTCTGCTCGAATATGACCAAAAATCCAGTTTTTAGAGGATTTCAGTTTTCAGGAGTTTATATCCTTAAACACATTGTTTTTTCATTTCTCCAAAAGACGACCATATTTTGAAACCATAATAAAATGGGTCAAAATTTTCTGTTCTCAAAACCAGATGTAGTTTTGTCATAGGAATCCGGGCAATATTTTCATCAGATTTTTTTGCATTAGCTACTCCACCGTGCATATCCAGTAAGGCAGGAATGTGCAAATAACGTAAAAGTAACACTGAATCTGTGCAATGCTATTGCCAAAACGAATAACACAGTAAGTAAAAGTACCAAAATATTGTATTCTTAATCAAATTTAAAGAAATGAATTAGCGCATACGGCTGCTATGACCTTATACTTTAACCAGCATTTCAATTTTTTTTCATGATTATGTTCATTTCTTTAGATCATTCGTGTGAAAGACAACCTTATTACCATTTTAAAGGTGACTGTTGTGTTGTGTCAAATAAATATGTTCATTTTACATATTTAAAACATTATTTTTTCATGTTCTGTATACCTTTGACATTTGTCAAACTTCAAGTGTCGTATAACAATAGACAGAAGCTTGTAAAATAAGATTTAGCTACTTTTAATGAGATAAACACGGTGCTTCAGTGCTTCATTCACAACTAAATTGCACAATTCTGCATTACCATTGCACAATTTCTGTGTTATTTGCACATTCCTGCATTATTGGATATACACTGTGTACTCTAGACCAACATCAATTGGTAAAAAAGTCTCGGAAAAATATTTCCAGTCCTGTCAGAAAAACTCATAGGGGTCACTTTAAAAAAAATCTTGTTTGAAAAAAAAGGATGATTATCATTTGAGCCGCGTCACAACAAAACCAACATAATAGGTTTGCCACCAGCATGGATGCAGACCAGCCTGCGCACTGCGCATCCACGCAGTCTGATCAGGATACATGCTGTCCGCTTTCCAACACTATTACAAGTAGAGAAACTGATAGCGAACAGCATGGATCCTGATCAGACTGCGCGGATGTGCAGGCTGGTCTGCATCCATGCTGGTCGCAAACGCACTATGTTGGTTTTGTCGTGACGCGGCTCATTTAAACTTTTCTATCAACAAGTTATAACTTCAACTTAATATTGTTTATTACAGTGCAATAGTATTAGATGAGAATAAAGAGCAGAAAGAAGCACAACTTCCTTTTAAAGATCTACTGCAAATATCAGGTGATACCAAGGATCAGAAGGGTAGAGTCAGCACTGGTACGAAGTTTGCTCTGGAAGAATGGCTGGCTGGAAATCATATAGTTTCTAGTAGTTAATACAGTTGTGTTTTTTTAAAACAACTTATTATTTAATATTTATAGACTGTTATACTATTTGAATACAGGAATTATAAACAGATAATGGTGACATTGTAACAATATGAGCTCGAGATATTTCAGAGAAGCTTAATGTATCTAATCTATGTAAAAAAAGGCTTGCCCTACTGTTCTGTCTGTCCATCATTCAGTCAGGGAGTCCATCTGTCTCCATCGTGTCTGCTATAAATTCTTCAAACTTGACTCAAATGTTCATCTCAACTGCCATTTTTTGTTAAAGATCCTGTAACACAATTTTTTATGGTTTTATATCATAAATATGATGCTCAAATTAAGATTGATCAATTTTGTAAGGTCCAAAAAGCATTATTTATAAAGATATTACCGAATTTAACATTTCATGTAAATGAAGGGAGGTAATAAAAAAAATATTTTCTATAAAGTCTAAGTCAAATTTTGAATAAGAAATGAATGCATACATTTTAATGTTTACATATAATATGTACAAATATTTGCAGTATATATTTTACATATTCTCCGATGTTTGAAAATTGTTTCATAAGCATAATTATATATATAATTTCACTTTAGTGTGGTATACAACCTCAATTACAAAATACAGGATCATTAAAGTTAAACTTTAGTATCATTTATATAGAACAAGAACAAATATGTTTTCATCAGTAGAAAAATATGAACTTATTTTACTTATTTCATTTTTACCTAACTATAGAGAATTAAATTTACCTTAAATAACTGACACTGGTTGTGCATAAGTCCATGAAGTAAAATAGTTTCCGTTTCGGGCCTAACCCTACCTACACATATTTTAAAACTGCTTTCCCTATAAGTTTAAATGCTTTTTCAAAATGTGTTCTTCACAATACATAATATTTTATTAAATACAATGTATTTAAAAATGAAATATTGAGAAAAATGTATATTATAAACAGAAAATTTAAGTTGTTCTATAAATACAGAATTTAATTTCATCTTCTGATTTTTTAGCTCACCTGTCACAAAGTGACAGGGTGTGCTTTTGTGATCGCTTTTCGTCCGGCGTCCGTCCGTAAACTTTTACTTTAAATGACATCTCATAAACCACTAAGCCAATTTCATCCAAACTTCACAGGAATGTTCCTTTGGTGGTCACCTTTAAAATTGTTCACAGAATTTAATTCCATGCAGAACTCTGGTTGCCATGGCAACCAAAAGAAAAAACTTTAGATATCTTCTTTTAAAAAACCCTAAGAGCTAGAGCTTAGATATTTGGCATAAAACATCTCCTAGTAAGTGTCTACCAAGTTTGTTCAAATAAAAGCCCTGGGGTCAAAATTGGCCCCGCCCCAGGGGGTCATTGATTTTCTCTATATGCATATAGTAAAAACCTTAAAAATTCTTCTTTTAAAGAACCCAAAGAGCTAGATGTAAGATATTTAGCATAAAACATCTTCTAATGAGTGTCTACCAAGTTTGTTCAAATAAAAGCCCCAGGGTCAAAATTGGCCCCGCCCAAGGGGGTCATTGATTTTCCCTATATGCATATTATATAGTAAAAACTTAAAAAATCTTCTTTTAACAAACTTTAAGAGCTAGAGCTAAGATATTTAGCATGAAACATGTTCTAATGGGTGTCTACCAAGTTTGTTCAAATAAAAGCCCTGGGGTCAAAATAAGCCCCGCCCCGGGGGTCATTGATTTTCCTTATATGTGTATAGCAAAAACTTAAAAATCTTCTTTTAAAAAACCCAAATAGCTAGAGTTTAGATATTAAGCATTAAACATCTTCTAGTAAGTGTCTACAAAGATTGTTCAAATAAAAGCCCTGGGGTCAAAACTGGCCCCGCCCCAGGGGTGTCATTGTTTTTAACTATATGTGTATAGTAAAAACTTAAAAAATCTTCTTTTAAAAAACCCAATGAGTTAGAGCTTAGATGGTTAGCATGAAACATCTTCTTATGGGTGTCTACCAAGTTTGTTCAAATAAAAGCCCTTGGGTTATAATTGGCCCTGCCGGGGGGCCTATATACAAGTGAGCGACCTCAGGGCCATCATGGCCCTTCTGTTTAACATTATCATGTGGCACTTGCGGCTACTGTCACTCATGAAACATTTCTGTTCAAACCACTTGATGAAAAAAAGCTGTATTTATAGATAAAACTTGAATATCTAATATTTATTAAAAAAATGGTATAGAAAAGAAATTCTCATCTTTCTGGTCTTGGACAAGAAAGTTCATACATGCCATAAAGTCTTGGATGTCCAGGATTGTCCTGGAAACAGAAGATTTGTTTTGCCTTAAAATGGCAGGGACTGTATAAAGTTATTATATATTTTTATACATATCAAATGTGATCATTGGTTTTATTATCATACATGCACATGTATATATTTTATAGTCTTCAAGTTCCTATTTTTTTGCCTTGTCACTCCAATTATTTTTTATGCTGATTTACCCAGATTTTAGAATTTCTAGTACTCATGACAAGTTTATGCTTTTATCATTAAATCAAATAAAAATGGAAGTATTTGCATGTGTTTAGTCTTGTGTGTATGTACCACTTTTGATATTACTTGGCATGAACTTTGCATGAGGGGGGTGTGGAAGCATGCAAAATATAGATCTCTGGGACCAAGGTCAAGGCCATACATAAAGGTCAAAGGTCAGGTAAACAATATGAGGTGTATATGGACAAATTGTAGTCTTGAATTGAGGGATTATATCGCAAATGTAGACAATTATGAGACTGAATCTTGCCAGTATAATCGAGGTCAATTTATGCAAGGTCAAGGTCAGCAATGAAAAATAATTCTGAAGATTTTCTCCTGACTAAATATTCAACATGCCTGGAGGCATCTCGGTATTACATGACGCAAATGTTCACCATCGTGAGACAAGTGATGCATATATGAAACTGGTCTTTAGGTCAAGGTTACACTTAGAGGGGAGTCTGTAGTGAAACTTGGGACATATGTTCAACATTGGGAGGCTTATTAATTACGTGTTGTGTACAAAATTCTGCTTCTTCCAGTCAAGGTCACAGGCCTAGGTCCAAGGTCGAATAAGTAATTGAAAATGAATTGATCTTGTTGCCATTATGAATTGAGGGATATCAGTTTCAGCTCGTCTGTTTAATAATGCACTCATTCAAAGCTTACTATCATAATTTCAAACCTGTTAAGATTATTCAAAATCTCTTGATACTCTAATTACATGTGCAATGTTGATTTACATTTGTCCTGAGATATTTTTTGTATGTAAAGACATATGCTATGTAGTTCCATGATGACACTTTAAAGTGTTGTAGAATACATGGTAAATAAACATATATTTGCGACACAATTTGGGCATTTGGTGCGGTTTCCGGACCTAGGACTCCTAAACAGGGCTTAATTCACTGCCCTTTAAATCTTCATGATTACAAGTTATTTGCATAAAATCCCGTCCATGACACAGACACATGCACTTGAGGTGTGGAGCTCAAAACGCCTTAAAGCCTTAATAAAATGCATATTTGTCAATCCCAGAATTCATCTAATAAAAACTTATATAAGCCGTTGAAAAAGATATTTCAACGTCTATATATACTACATTATTATATATATAGACGTTGAAATATGTTTTTTTTTTTCAAAACGGCTTGCATGTATATTAAGGTTTTTTTTTTTACATATTTCAACGTCTATAATAATGTATTTTTATTATAAACGTTGAAATATATATTTTTTTTCAAAACGCATTATATTAAGGGGCTTTTTAGATATATGATAAGTACATGTGCTGGGATTGACAAATATACATTTTGTTTGGATTTTAAAGGCGTTTTGAGCTCCACACCCAAAGTGTCTGTGGTTATGATTGACTATATCAGATACGTAAATATCAGACATGTATGGCTGTTAAGTATACGAAATAAATTAATTATACTAATTAATATTGTTAATTTGAACAATTATTTAAGAATCTTACTAAAATTGTGACAACATTTCTCATGCACATAGAATATCCGCTAGGGACAAACAATGTATGTCAAGTTACATCAAAATTGATCACGACAGTCAGTAGTTATGTCCCTTGAATGACAAATTATTACTAAAAAGAGTGGTGCCTGCTCTCTACATGTAAGTTCATCAATCTATTCAATTTTATATTGGTAAAATATCGAGTTTTTTTTATTGTTTTGTTTTTAATTAGAAATAATTTTATTTTCATTTTTGGCGGTTTTTAGATGTGTATTGGAGATTAGATTTCACAAGTGCTTATGATATTATCGAATTTGTTCGTCATTCATAAGTCTAAGTGGCTTTAAGGTAATGACATTCTTGACCTTTTGCTGCAGGAAGGTGATGATCAGTTCAACAGCATCACGCACGTTACTCACGTATACGTGAAATAATTTTTTAGTGCTGAACAATAACAGTTAAAAAAACTCCATCAATCGAAATCAAATTTGGTATACGCAAAAACATGTTTTTTTAAATGAAAGCCAACTTTAAATTTTGTTAAGCTTTTAATATAATTTTACTTTTACGGTGTTTCTTTACGTCATTTAACAATTAATATTAATAAAACTCTCGTTTATAGTAAAAGTTCGTTTTTGACAGCTGAAGACCAATTCAACTAAGAAATTTAAGAATCTCGTGTCACTATCACTGATGAATATCATGTTATATTTCTGATTCCGGTTACATGTAGAATATTTGCTTTTAATGTTGTCTTATACTAAAATTGTACTAAAATAGTACATGTAGTTTTAATTAAGGGGGTGCATGGTGGCCTAACTAGTGATTAAGGTGTCAGCCTCTCAACCCAGGGATCATGGGTTCAAGCCCTACTTGGGTCACGACCAAGTTTTTTTATGATAGGACACCAGTACTAGTTGGTTCCAGTAAAGTTGCAAGAACTTGTTTCGCAATCGAGCTTAAATAAATATGTTTAAACTAAACAAAATAGTTTTAGTGGTGTCCACAACCTTGATTAGTCCAACTTATTGTACAGCGCGACGAGATATTGTGCTATTTTCGTGTCTGGGCAATATCTCGCCTCTAAAGCGAGATTCTGCCCCAGAACGAAAATATCTCAGAATCAAGCTTTGGCACGTCAATATATTTTGACTACAACCTTGATCTGAAAAACAAAATGAAGCCATAATAAGGTTCAGTTATAAAGTTTAAGTCACAAATTTCAGCTGAAACAGAATAATAAAAGTTTGAATAAACTCTCTTCCAATCAAATTTATCATGGGCAGGAAGATAAATATAGATCTATATTGATTTAATGATAATGAACAAGGAAGAACTTTTCACAAATAAATCTTTAGAACATTTATCATGATTAATTGTATGATGTTTGATTAAAAAATGTTCATTAATAAACAAGGTAGTTAATATAAATGCTTGTGGAAAGAGATCTTTTCCCAAAAAAATTGAGGACGGAAATATATATCCGGAAGAAGCCTGATATAAAACGTTGACAGGTTTTAGTCATTTCGATAGTATCACGTGACAGAAAAGATGGCCGACCTAGAACCTCCCCCGATGGAAGACGAGAGTCTGAAGGATGAAGACGACTTATTTTCCGACACAACAGAGGTAATTATATATTTTTCTGTAGAGTTGAATTCAGTGTTTTCATTTTCAAGTATTTTTTGTCCGAGTTTTTGGTTTTGTAAAGAACAGAAGGCCATTCTGACTCACCGGTTGGACTTCAGAAAGTGGGTGGGGTAAAATTAAATTCAGCTAGAGTAGCAACGCCCACTTTCTTGAACAGAGGTGATGTCTGATAGATAAAATGTATCACTATATTAAGAATGTCCGCATTAGAAAAAGAAAGTAGAAAAAGTCGATGGAACGTCAAAGTCAGATAACAGTCTCAGCAGTGTTGTAAAATATGGTGTTGAGAACCAAACAATGTATATGAAATTGCTGCGATGAGAAACGGCGACTTTGAGAAGTGTTATTTACATAGTTTACCTATTAGTGAACAAAATAGAAAAAAATATTTGTAAAAATATTAAACTGCACATCGAAAAATCATGATTATCTCTCATGGATTTGCAATCCTTAAGCCATAACATCGGCCAAGTGCCGAAATTGATGCTATCAATGCAAGCGTTTAACTGATCAGAATACGAATTTTTAAGAAAATTGCCTGACCCCTAAGTGTTTCGAATAATTTCGTTAAAATTTGAACACTGTAAGCTTGCTTAACTATGTAAAAAAAAGATTGATGTTTATTTGTTTAATTGATAAGTCTCGTTTGACAGTTTGTGATGATAGCATGAAAAGTTGAAAAAACAGAATACTTGAAAAGTTGAATAGCAAACGAAGAATTACATTTAGATGCTATGGTTTAGCAATAACTTAGCGTCAGCTACCGCAAGAACTAAACAGCTGTCAAGCTAAAACTTGTCCGTGCTTATTTCCATTTCGCTGCTCACGAATTGGATCAAAAATTGTCGTATCGCCGATAAAATCTTAATTCTCAAAGAGTAATTACTTGGCGATGTAAAGAGCAGAGATTGTATCTGCCCATATGTCGCCTGCTAATTATCATTATCCAACCAGAGCGTTGCTTTATACTACCCTTCTACCTGTATGCAAAGCGATAGCCTACTCTTAACAGTAAATAATGAGAGCATCGGCCCGAAACGGGTATAATTGTGTAACAGTTTTGCGAGTTTAATACGGGATTTGGCGATAATTATAGATTGTTTTATCCCGATCATCTAAACACGTGCAAATCTTTCCTAATTGATATACACGCAGTGTTTTACCTGAGTAAAGGCGATGTGCAATGGGGTTTTCACGGCTATCACAAAACTGTTAGTCAATTACAAATAATCAATTTCATTAATGATCAGCGACCGGATTAAAAACTTAATCATAGTTTTGAATGATTTCAGTCCGTTAACATCAATTAAAAATTGTTATGTCACTCACGTCATGGCTACAGGGCGAAATGCCCAAACCTAGCAGTAAAAGAAATACACCTACGCGAAAAGTTAAGAAAGCCAATTCGCAAAAATCTTAGGATTGGTATGTTGTAGACAGTGAGAGTGTTTGGCATTGTTATCTTTGTAGAAATGCCAAATTTGACACAGCTTACGCACGTGGGCGCGACATCCCGGAAAAACTACAAATGCTACATATCGGTCTTATATCATGTGTACATGTATATTATAACAACAAAATTTGTCAGGAAAGAAGTGTTCTTATTGTTTCAATATATATATTTGTTTTAATGTCATAAATATGATGCTCAGATTAAGATTAATCAATATTGTAAATTTCAAAAAGCATTATTTATAAAGATATTACCGAGTTTAACATTTCATGAAAATAAAGGGAGGTAATTAGAAATTTATTTTCTATAATTTCTCAGTCAAATTTTTCAATAAGAAATGAATGTATATAATTTTAGTGATCAAATATAATGTGCACAAATGTTTGCAGTACATACTCTTCAATGTTTGGAAATTGTTTTATAAGCATAATTATATGCACATAAATGTGACATTACAATTTACAACATTATTAATCAGAACAGAATAGACAGATTTTATTAATCAATGTCCAATGTAACTTTATCTTCTATTAAAAGTGAGGAAAGTAAAAATATAAAATTAATTTATTCATCTTATTTTTTCTTACACATTATTATCAATAAATCTACATGAAAATATATAAACAAAGATTTAGAGAAAGCTTATAAATAGCTGATAAATAGATTAATTGTGTTTATATTATAGTTTAGGATGTATAGCCATGCATGTTAATGCATACACATTGGGTTGTTTCCCTTCTCCCTATTTTTCGAGAGGAAGTCACTTCTCCCAAAAATTTCCCCCCAGGATGAGCCCTGAACTTATCTAGACAAGTCTCTAGTCCTATAACTATGACGTCGCTTTGAGATATTTTGCTTCTGGGCAAAACAACGTCATATCGAAATTGCTCAAAAACCCATAGCATGTTCTGCCAGAAAATCAGGCGGAACGAAAAACAATTAAGACAGCTTGTATTTGCATTAGTTTTGACCTATTTATGAACAAAACTAAAAAATAAATACCTTTTGTCAAAATAATTAAACTGTCACATCCGAAAAATCATGATTAAATCCTCTCATGTATTTAAAATTAAATTCCCTTTACAGCCGATAAACATATGGCGGCCATACAGCAGTGTTTTTTTTCACCAAAATATTCGGCGAAATTCGGCCCCATTCCCCTCTCAAAATAGTATGTTTTTTTCCCCCTCAAAGTCTAAATTTCCCCCTATATGGCAGCCCGAATTTGCCTGCAATATATAAATATCATTTTTTTTTGCAACTAACTGCCAAAAAATGTTTTATTTAAATTAAATATAATGCCTGTAAGAGTTACTGTTAAGCAAGGCTGTTTACAAATCGTTCTCAGGTAGGTAAGGGGAGCTTCTCCCGGCGTCCCAACAAGTTTAACATACGACGCATCAAATTTTAGATCCATATTAAGAAAAAGAGACGTATTTTAAACTTGTGTTGCAAGAGTTGCTCCCCTTTTCCACCGCAAAGAAAACAATATAAAATAAGTAAACAAATAAAATTCCCCCTCCTATTGCATTTTTCCCCCTCCTTAGGGCACCGACCCCCTTCCCCCAAAAGTGAAAAAAACACTGTACAGTGTGAGAAATCCGATTGGCTAATTCAAATGCAAGCATTTAATGCAATAATAATTTGATATTTACATATAACCATATTTCTTTTATGATTGTAGAAGGTAGAAGACACCTTGCCAGAATCACGCCCTGTGTCCGAGCAGCCAGCCCAAGTTGAAGAGAAAACTCGCATCCCAGCTGATATCAGCATTGACAGTGATAAAGATGATGAGGATCTCTTTGCAGGTCTGATTATATTTCTGATTTTCTTATATAATAATTATGCTCAAAATATAAACAAACTGATCTTAAAGACTTTAATCAGGTTATTTCGGCAGCAAATAAAAATTCATTTTAAATATTGATTTATGTACCCTGAACAAGGCTGTTCAATGGCAATGTTGGTATACATTTGTATATATACATGTAAGGGGATTTTAAGAAATTTCCAGTCAACTACTTATTCTTTACTTTTTATTTTAAATAATTGTCATTTGTCTGCTGGTATTAGAAAATGAATAATGTGTGCTAAAATACATATAATTTTGTAATTCTTGTGCAATTATTTTAAAGGAGGTGGAACAGAAGTAAAATTAGAGTCTGACGATGATGAAGAGCCTGTTGAAGAGAAAAAAGACACTCCGGCCCCAACTCTTGCCATGGACGAGCCTGTGCCTGAGATCAAACCTTTAACGGCTGAAGAGGAGAGGCCCAAGCTTGATGTGTCTCAGACCACAATAACTGCACCGGCTAGAGTTGCTGCTACCAGAACATCATCCAAAGGATCAAAAGATGAAGAGAAGGTGAGTGAATGAAGTATTTACTATTCACACACCCACAGTTTTTATTTCAAGCTATACAGTATTTCAAGCTATACAGTAAGTGAGCTGCTGAAATATGCGGTTGTGAAACTTGTGATTAAAGTTTTATCCTGCTTTAATTGGTTACTTTGAGTTTGAACATTTGTATTTGTTTTAAGAGTGATTAGGTAATGTGTGTAGGATTGAATTTTCGCAGAAAAATTGGTGAAGTGCCAGTGATTTTTCACCTTTTATAACAGAGGCCAATATAACATTATAAGGCCTATTCCCAATAGAAATTTTCTTTAAAATCGTGCAGTTTTCCCTAAAATCAGAACTTACCCAAGCTTTTATACTCCCCAAATAATAAGAGGTTAATACACGGCAGGAGAGGGCCGGAAGGTGATAATCGGCCCGCAAAATGAATAATGGACCCGATTACAATTTTTCCCAAAACAAGAGGCTAAGGCCTATTCCCAATTAAGTGAGAAAAACCACCGAGTGTTTGCCCTGCAGGATATAATAGTACAATGTAGATAATAGTTTTATTTTGTTTTTGTTTACAGATTGAAGAAGATCCATACATGATGGAAATTAAGGTTGTAGAGCCACACAAAGTTGGTGATGGTATGGGGGCATATGTTGTGTATAAAGTGATAACCAAGGTAAGATAACTGAGTCAGTGTCCTTTAAGATTAAACCTGGAATGCAAATCCTTTTGAGTCAGTAAATACTGACATATGATGGGTTTTACATTATTGAACAGGATTTATTTTTTATAATTAACCTTTTTTTGTATGTAATTAATGAAGTTGAATAGAAACTTATATGAAATATAATAGGTAACATTCAGCTGGGTTTTTTTCCTTCGCAGACGACCATTCCAGCTTATAAAAAAGCCGAACTTATTGTGATACGAAGATTTAGCGATTTCCTCGGATTGTACGAGAAATTACACGAGAAACATACTCATTATGGTAGAATTGTTCCCCCTGCCCCAGAGAAAAGTCTTGTTGGTATGTATTTACTTAATACAGGGTAACAAATTAGCTGCCAGATATGTTAATTGTATATGTATTATGTGTTATTAATTGTAAATCCCAGCAGAGACTTCAGATTCTCCTATGTGAGGAAGCTAACGAACTAGCTTACAGAATGTTGGTGGTTCTACTAAAGTGCCTGTTTGTGCCTGAAATAATGCATAAAAGGGCACATGAGTTATTCCTCTTCTAGTAAAGCTAGAAAGTCACCATACGATCTATACTGTGTTGGTGCGACATAAAACCCTACCCCAAAAAAGGAATCTTGCATGGGACTAGTTCTTTTCATGTAAGAAATCTATACTGCTAGTTTATGGTCAGGTTGTTGCATCTACTAAGGTTCATTCTCATGCTTATATAATGCACATACTGGTAGCTGAGGTCTTCCTCAACAGGTAATGCTGGAAAGCTGCCACATAACTTTGACTTTGTATGAAAATGTATAACTAGTAATTAACCAAAAATACCAGTTGTGAGTTTGATCCTTAGTGAAGATTTGTGTAATAAAGTAGCATTTGTTTTGAAGGTATGACAAAGGTAAAAATGTCAAAGGAAGAGGCTGGTTCAGCTGACTTTTTAGAAAGAAGACGAGCAGCCCTGGAAAGGTAAGTGCAATAACTTGAAGTGTTTCATAGACTGGTATGGCGAAAGAAACTGTTCCCAGTTGCTGAAAATTCCTATTTTTTTTCCCCAAAAGATGTTGAAGTAATTATTTATATTGAAATTTTACTCTTACACCAAATTTGGTAACTTGTTGTAATGATCCAATGCCATAAAAGTGGGGTAAAAAAACCCATAAAACATTTTTAAGTGTAACTGTTCCTTACTCAGATGTAGATTTTAGCTGAAATTAATAATTATGTTTGAAAAATCATAAAATCAATACTTTTCTGATTCAGTTTTACTCAAATTCATTTGTATTTCTGACTTAGTAGCAGCCAGTTCAGATAAATTAAAAGATGCCATGTTTGTTGACATTTACTTCCCTTTAAGTGTGATTAAAAAATGCTGTGCAACATCGGTTTATATGGTATAGGTAACTTACAATTCTGTGGACTGTACCAGGGTCCTCTAATTTAGTAAACCATTTTACAGTAGACTGTAAGACATTTATAATTTAGCAAATATAGTTTGTATTGAAAAATTAAAATGACGTTATGTCCATCCAAGGGTATATAGTGAGTGAACAGGTGAAACTCAAAATAAGTTTTCATTTTACCATACTTTCTTTCAATTAATTTTATGATTCACTTTACCATAATAACTTACATGGCCCAAAGGAATTTTTGTAAATATTCGTCGGAATTCACCTGAAAACTTTCAATTTATAAGAAGGGTGCAGTAGCCTTTTTATATTTTAGGCAGATTTATATTTTATCCTAAACATTTACCAATATCAACTGTTGGTCGATCACCATTATAACGGTCAATCTGTTAAATAATGTAGTCAGTTCAGTTCAACTTGACAATAGAAAATAAACATAATGTCACTTTAAAGCAGCACACTTCCAGATTCCGGCTAATTTTCATGAAGATTTTGAAAATGTTGTGAAGTGAACAAAGAAAATATTTTATGCATTGCAAATGGAACTTATAAACAATGTAAATTACCACAAATACGTCAAAATATGCAAAACTAGCCCTTACTGTGTTAGTTATGCAGTAGAAATATGGTAATAAATACTGCAAAATCAGTCATTAATTGTACATAGCATGTACATTTTTACTTCAATCTTGAATTTTCTTTTTCTTTTCTTAAAATTATAGTACATTTTTCTCAAGTTTGCTTTTCTTGAAATATTTTAGCTCATCTGGGGGCATGCAGCTTTAACTTGTATTTTAAGATCACAAAACAGACTGACTAACAGAAATAAAATATGTATCAGACACGTTTTCTATTTTCTCGTACATCATGACAGGTATTTAAACAGAACAGCTAGTCACCCAGTGTTGAGGATGGATCCCGACTTCCGTGACTTTCTGGAGCGTGATGGTGAGCTACCTAAAGCCACCAGCACGTCGGCTCTCAGCGGAGCCGGGGTAAAGAGACTGCTGTCAAAAATGGGAGATGCCGTAGAAAAAATTACATTTAAAATGGACGAATCGGACGAGGTAATTACCAGTTTTGTATATTTTGTCTTGGCAAATTTTTTTTTCGTTGGTGATAAAAACACTTTCAGTATATCAGGTGACTTAGCCCTATGTAATCAGGAACAATTTTTTAAGTGTTTCTAACAATTTCTTAATAAAGGCTTATTATTTAACTTTTATTGCATGAGATATTTTCTAACACTGAAATTTTTACACAATTTGATAGAAAAAAAATTGTATACCAAAGTCTTGTTTTGTTCAAAGATATATCAACTGTAATATTGTATATATATATTTTCCTTACAAAACTCATATTTTAACCATCACTTGCATGAAGAAAAAGGAATGTTTTGATTAAAGACCCACAATATATTTTTATTTTTTTAATTTTTTTATTAAAATGTAGTAAATTTATGAGGCTTGGGTTTGAATCGCACTATGGAGTTTGGATTCTTTAATGTGAACAAGTTAACCAGCCAGCTAATGGAAGGTGCATGGTTTATTTCTAGTACTCATTTATGTCTGAAATTGTGCGGTTATTCACGCCCTCCATTGGTAGTTCTACCTCCATCAGCAGTTAAGCTGGAAAGTCACCATATGACCATCTCAGTGTTGGAGTTACTTTAAATACAACAAAAAACCCCCAAAAAAACAACAACACCACTTTTGTAATTTAAATATTTATTGTTAAAATATAGGTGTAAAATCTTACTTTGTATCAAGGGTTTTATTGAATTTTCATGTTATTGATGCAAAATGAATTCATTATTTAATCTTTCTATGCTGTGAAGAGAAACGAAAATGGCCCATTATATTTTCTGTTTACATAAAACCGAGTTTTGTTTGTTTACATATAACTGTTCCACTAATTTGTTAACTAACACCCTCATAACACAAGTTTAACAAAAAACTAAAAAAGACTTCTTCATTAAAGTTTAATACTTACAAAGGATGAAAAAAAATATTTAGAAGTATATTTAATTCACTTGTGACCTTCATAAAATAATCACTTTTGACATTCATGAAATTATCTCCTTTGACCTTCATAAAATTAACACTTTTGACATTCATAAAATTATCTCCTTTGACCTTCATAAAATTAACACTTTTGACCTTTGTAAAATTATCAACTTTGACCTTTATCAAATTAACACTTGACCTTCATAAAATTATCATTTTTGACCTTCATGTAATTATCACTTTTGAGCTTCATAAAATTATCTAACCTTTTATTGTGATGTTAGTTTTTGTGTTCATTCTATTTTTTCTATCTTTTTCTTCTTATTTATTCATTACCTGCATGTCCCGAAAATGAGTTAAAAAAATATTTTTGTTTGTTTGCCGGATTTTTTAAATTTATTTTTTTTCAAAAGAGACATATTTTGATGTGTTTATTTTTTATAATGTAAGAATGTTAATGTAAGTTTAAGGTCATGTAAAGTTCTTGTTTTTAGGTTAAGGTGAAAACATAAAAGCATTTATATATGACATGGTTTAGAACTGTTCACTCATTAAAGGAGAAGATGTTGAAGCCACTGGAAAGCTCTATCGGTAGAGCCCCGGAACGGTATTCCAAGGGTCACGGGTTGGAGTCCCGGTCAGGCTGCATATTTTTCTCAGCCTGTGACATTAAAAAAGTACACTTGGAAACTTACTCTCCTTACATTGTTATTTATAATATTGCATGTTTGTAACATCGATTTTCATTGGATAAGGGTGATGTTTATATGATTTATATATACATGGCTACTGGAAATTTATTGATTAATTATATAGGTGACTAATTCATACGAGGAGCATTCAATATTTAGTGACGGGCCTCATTTTTCTCTAAGTATATTTCGTGAATCACGTGCAAAGTTACATTATGATACGCTTCAACTCTTTATCATTCCAACGGTGTATCATACATGTATACTAATTCACACACGTTTTAAGAAATTTAGTGTTGAAAGTTGAATATTCGATCAACTGCGTATAAAAATGGCTGGAAAAGATTCAGTAAATAATGTAGAAATTCGAGCTTACATCAAAGCGCGTATGACATTTGGGTTAAGTGGTGCAGCCATTCATAAAGAGCTTTGTCGTATTTATGGACCATCTGTGGTTAGTGAAAGGACAGTTCAAAGATGGATTGTTAAGTTTAAAAGTGGAACGGAGTCACTAAACGATGCTAGTGGTAGGGGAAGAAAACACACAGTGGTCACCAAAAACAACATTAAAAAAGTGCAAGAACTCATTAACAAAGAAGCTCGATATACAGTTTCTGAAATAGCTAAGTATACTGGCATTTCAACGGGAAGTACATTTACGATTCTAAAGAAGCACCTCAAAGTTAAGAAGATTGCAGCAAGATGGATACCACATTTATTGACTGAAAAGCAAAAGCAAGAGCGTGTAAAATGTGCCAAGAAATTATTGAAGATGTTTCCCAAATATAACGATCGCAAATTTTCTAACATTGTAACTGGAGACGAAAGCTGGTTCCACTTTTTTGAGCCTACACGGAAGGTAAATAATAAGATATGGGCCACCAAACATACCCGTAGGCCCTGTATAGCTAAAAGAATGACTAGCACAAAGAAGGTTATGTATGCCATGTTCTTTGGTATACATGGCGTAGTGACACAAGTTCCTATTCCAAAAGGTCGTACCGTTACTGCAAAGTTTTACAAACGAATAGTGTTAAACAAAGTTGACAAATATTATCGCAAAGGTCGTCCAAACACTGGTATGAGAGGTCTGTATCTACTCCATGACAACGCTACTCCACACAAGGCCGACATTGTTAAGAAATTCTTGGAGAGCAAACGTGTTTCTGTGCTTAATCACCCACCATACTCGCCAGATTTGGCACCCTGCGATTTCTTCCTGTTTCCAAGATTAAAGAAACACCTTCAGGGTCGCCGTTACAGCACCAGAAATGGACTTGGTTCAGCATTACATCAGTTGTGTAGGGGTATACCTCAAGAAGACTATAAAAAAGCATTTCAAAATTGGATCAAACGTTTGAAACTCTGTATATTGTTCAAAGGAGATTACTTTGAAGGTTTAAAAAAATAAAAATGATTGTTGCTTTAAAAGTTTTCATTTTACTATAGCCCCGACACTAATTATTGAATACTCCTCGTATTTTAGGAAGAGCTATCCCATATAGGTTAAGCATCACACTTTTGGTCAAGTTTTTTAACTTTGTTTATGTATACAACATGTATACCCTTACATGTCTTGCTTTTTAACTGAAAGACTAGCATCCCACTTTGAAATTTCATACTAATTTGTGCCCTTAATTTTCAGACAAGAGTTTGTGTGGGAGGGTGGAGCAGGGGTGTTTGTGAAAAAACTGCCGAATTTGGCATTGGAAATAAGTGTGATTGAGATTTTTTTTTTTAAAAAGTGTGTGTGTGGGGGGGAGGGAACTTACTTGGAGTTAGTATGATTGGGAAAAAATATCCATATTCAGCATTAGAAATATTTTGTTCAAATAGATATGTGAGATAGTTTTCTTTTGTAGTGAGATATATAACTGTTTAAATTTCGATTTCACTGGAAACGAAATGAAATATATTTTTTTCTCTATTATATAATGTATATTTGAACTTATGATCAGTGGCTAGGTGCATATGCTCTCTCATATATTTGCGCTACTCTTCCGCATTCTGCCTCCGAACAGTGGGACTATGACATGCAGGTAATTCTATGTGTTGTCTCTGTCTGTATTCACATGACTCTTCTCTTTTCTTTGATCAGTTTTTTTGTTGGAGGTGGGGCAGGGGAGGTTGTGCTGTGGGGGTTGGGCGGGTGCACTATATAAAACCCTGTCAAAATTTGTAGAATTGGGATACTTTTGGGGAGGAAGCGGCAAAGAAGTCTATCAGAATTGATAGAATTGGGAAAAAATTGTGAAAAATGGGATAAATTGCCAAAAGTTTTTAGGAAAAACGATGCCAAAACTGATGGAATTGGGAAGAATATTTACTAGATTATTATCATTTGTGATATTTATCTTTTATACAATTTTTTTTTTGTACAAACACAAAGGAATTTGTTTATGTTGTTTTTTGAAAGTTAAAAAAAAAAAGAATTTACTTTTGGATTAGTTGTTATGCAAAAAATATAATGGAAGCTGTTTCAGAATCATGGGGAATTGAAAAGGAATTTATTCTTCATAATTTGGGATAATAATTTTTTTTTCTTTAAAAATCAGTTTCTTAAATATATTCTTTGTCCAGAAAAAGATCATTTCATTAGGTATACCCATTTAAATAATAAGAAATAAGAAAACAACACTTAAAATGACAAGTTATAGATGAAATATTAAAATAGTAAAAAGCCTTGATTGGCAGATTGTGCAAGCTTTGAAGAGCCATAGCTGAGCTTGTTTTGCTTGTCACATTTTTGTTGCCTTGGTTACTGTGTTTTAGGATAATTAAATCACATTTTTAGCTTGTGTGTTTCGAAGAAAAACTCGAGCTATTATGATTGCTGTGTTGTTGTTGTTGTTGTCATTGTTCAAAAATGTTATTACAGCCCATTATTCAAACATTTAAGTTAGCCAACATGAAACTTGGAATACTTGCTTATCATGACAAGGTGTAGTTGTAAGACAAGGAGCACAATTCTGAAAGCAATATTTTTGAGTTGTGCCCCTTTTTAACTTACAATTTTTGTCATATTTTAACAGACGAGTGTTAACAATCACATGAGATGCTCTTATTTGCTATATGAGCCGCGTCACGACAAAACCAACATAGTGCGTTTGCGACCAGAATGGATCCAGACCAGCCTGCACATCTGCGCAGTCTGATCAGGATCCATGCTGTTCGCTATCAGTTTCTCTACTTGTTTTATAGGAGTTGCAAGCGAACAGCATGGATCCTGATCAGACTGCGCGGATGCGCAGGCTGGTCTGGATCCATGCTGGTCGCAAACGCACTATGTTTGTTTTGTCGTGACACGGCTCATGTATTTTTTTAACAAAGCTTGGTAGATTTTAGTCATCAGCATCATATTGTACATAAATTCATTTCTTTCATTTCCTTTATTCCTTTTCATCATAACTTGACAAATTAATACAAAAATAAGTGTATGTCATGTAGTGTTCAAGGCAAATGGTGTGCTAGGTTTACCTGTATATACAGTATATAAGTATATTTACAGTCAAACTTGTATTTATCGACAGCGCAAGGGAAACACCAGAAATGTACTTAATTTTGCAATAATCTTGTAATTGATGTTTGCTTTGATGCCTTTGGTTGCTTTGCTTACGAACCATTTGCCGTTTCATCAACGTTTGAATATTGCTACACTCAGTTACTGAGTTGATAAGGTCACTTGCAACTCCCCCAGTAAAGCTGTAAAGGTAGAAAGTCTGTATTACTATATAACCTATACAGTGTTTAAGTCACTGAAGAGCAAGAAAAATAACAAAAATACTGCTAAAGATATTATATTTGAACAAGCTAGAAAAAGTAGAATTCTTTCAGTGCTGATAAATTTAAAAGCCAAAGAGATTACTTTTGGCTTGATGCGAGGTGTTAGCTTGAAGAATGTCAATCTAAGTATATTAATTTCAGCCTTTTACTAGCTGAATTTCCTAAATGAATTTTCTCGGAATCCATTTGTTGTAACTGTCTTTGGTTGCAAATGCTTGCCATTTTCAAATCTAGCAGATTATTTGTTAAACATGATTAAAGATAGCTTGTAGGTTATATGAACCTGTTTCAAGCTCGCTTATTGAAAACTACCAGGACTTGTGCCTTATGAAGAAACATGACCATGACTCCAGTAAGACTTGAACACATGATCTCTTGGTTGAGCTGCAGACACTTGAATCACTATGCCAAAGCTTGACTAAGAGTCTATTTGATAAGTAAATTTTGGCACTAAAAAGTAAAAAAGATTTTAACCAAATTTAAATAAATTTTGCATGATAAGTCATTCTGGCATGATAAGCCATTCTGGCTTTGACATGAGCATGTGCTGTTGCATTTTATATGTCAGCTGAATGTAGTAAATGATATAAGAAGAAAGATAGGGAGTTATGTGAATACAGGATCAACTTTACTAACAAGAATGTCTATTTTTGTTAAGAGAATGTCTATTTTTGTAAAGAATGTCTATTTTTGTAGAGAATGTCTTTTTTGTAGAGAATGTCTTTTACTAAAAGGGAGAATGCCTATTTCTTTAAGGAGAATGTTTATTGCTAAAGAAAGAATGTCCTTTTTTGTAGAGAATGTCGATGAAATAGAATGTCTATTTTTGTAGAGAATGACTATTTCTATAACAAGAATGTCTATTTCTGCCTGTTTCATTGTTGTGTACTGAACTAGTTTTGTTTTGTTTAATTTTGTGACAATGTTTGTTTTCTTGAGTGCTTTAAATTTGTGACTATTCAATATGTTAGATAAAGAAAGTGTTGAAGAAGAATAGAGATAACCTCAACCTTAAACAGCTAAAAATAAAGCAACTTCATGCAACCTCATATAAGTTTTCTAAGCGACCTCATACAGGTTTTCTAAGTAACCTCATACAGGTTTTCTAAGCAACCTCATACAGGTTTCTATGCAACCTCATACAGGTTTTCTAAGCAACCTCATACAGGTTTTCTAAGCAACCTCATACAGGTTTTCTATGCAACTTCATATAGGTTTTCTAAGCAACCTCATACAGGTTTTCTAAGCAACCTCATACAGGTTTTCTATGCAACCTCATACAGGTTTTCTAAGCAACCTCATACAGGTTTTCTATGCAACTTCATACAGGTTTTCTAAGCAACCTCACAGGTTTTCTATGCAACCTCATACAGGTTTTCTAAGCAACCTCATATAGGTTGTTTTTCCAACCTCATTCAGGTAACATTTAATTATCTTGTTTACTGAGGCCAAGTCTTTGCTGTGTATGATGGTTGACCCATTTTGTGCACAAGTCCTTTTTGCACTTAGTCAATTTCACAAATGTCTTTAGCTGTTACCCAATGAGCACTAAACTTTTTATGATTTACATAATGCATGGCACTAGAAGCATTTAAGTTTCATTTGAAAAAAACAACAACAGTATTTAATAGATGTATTTGCTGTGTCATAACATTTGAATTTAAATTTAAAGCAAAAATCTCTTAACCCTTTTTCGTTGTTGTTTGTCTACAGTACAAAGAAGAGACATTGAAGGGAAATTAAAACAATGTCAGTTATCTTAGGTGTTGATGAAATTTTTTATGTAAGTTTTAAGAAATATATGTAACCATGGCAACGTGTTATATTTTTCAGTGGTTTGAAGAGAAACACCAGCAAATTGACAACCTAGACCAGCAATTAAGAAAATTACACAGTGCAATGGAATCTTTGGTGAACCATAGACGAGGTACTTTAAAAAAAATTTTTTTTTATTAAAATCACTTACCAGTAGAATGAGATGTGAAAATTGATCTCAGGCATGGAGTCTTATGGTCATTTGTCTCTCATTGCTGATTCAAAAACCAGGTGGGATTTGTGGTCAGTCACTTGCAGAGAAATTGGTAAATTTCTGGTAAGTTATCCCAGAAAAGCTGGTATGATGGAACCTAACTAATGCAGTGAGTGGCGTCTTAGGTCACGCTTCACCAGTAAAGCTAGAGAGAATCTGTATGATCTTGACAGTGAAAGGGTCCCTCATGTTCAGTCTCAATCAAACCAAGCCTGCAATTTTCATGTAAATTTGCTGTGATTATTGCTTTTGAGGGTCCATCCTTTATCCAGATTCTTAAAGCGTAACTAGTAAAAAAAAAGGAGGGCAAACTATAAATTTGTTTAAATATTCATCTTTATAAAACGCTATTGATAATAAATTAGACACAGTCAAAGTGTTTTAATTAAAGGGCAGATTTTTCTCCCCTGTAATACTGCCTTCAGTAATGGGGGCATAAAAGTTGTTAAATAAGCAAAAATTATACAATGTACATTTTATAATGGCAATATACTAGTAGTAGCTTAGGAATTGATTTTTTAGTACCATTTAATTATGTTTTTAAATTTTGATTTGTAAAACAAGCAATTAATGTTTACATAATCACAACATATAGTGAAAGATTGGGGGATTCTGTGGGATTCTGAGGTTTGTTTTTTCTTGGAAAGGAAAGAGGGGTGGGGGAGGTTCTATAGTCATGGAATGATAAGCAGGCGGGTTCCTTTGCTCTATTTTCAATGTAAAACTTTTGTATATTACAGATCTCAGTGTATCAACGGCTGTGTTTGCAAAGAGTGCTGCCATGCTCGGTGCAGCAGAGGAACATACTGCTCTGTCCCGAGCCCTGTCACAACTTGCGGAGACTGAGGAGAAGATCGAACAATTACATAAAGAACAATCTGACCAAGATTTCTATGTGATGGCTGAATTATTGAAGGACTATGTAGCACTTTTAGGCTCTGTCAAGGTATACATATGTCTACTATAGCCCCTACCTTGCTGAATTTGTATAAATGACTTGTCCAGCTCCGACTTTGGAACTGTATATTTGAGCCGTGTCATGACAAAACCAACATAGTGGCATTGCAACCAGCATAGATCCAGACCAGCCTGCGCATCCGCGCAGTCTGATCAGGATCCATGCTGTTTGCTGACAAACCCTATTACAAGTAGAGAAACTGATAGCGAACAGCATGGATCCTAATCAGACTGCGCGGATGCGCAGGCTGGTCTGGATCCATGCTGATCGCAAACCCACTATGTTGGTTTTGTCATGACGCGGCTCATTTGTTGTGTGAGGGAAAAGCTACAAGCTGGCCATTATGTTGACATGCCAAGTCATAATTAAATGGTTTTGAATTGGATTTGTAATCCACAGATTGCGCGTTTGAACTTCTGGCAAGGTGAAATTTCTCAGTGACAATTCATCTGAAACATTTAGTTTAATGATTGTTTTTCTCTCACTGCTGATTATAAAAATCATGTGGGATTAGTAGCTTGGTCACTTGCAGATAAATTGATAATAATTAATTAGTCATCTTGGAAAGTTTGTAAGGTGGACTGACTCACACCCAAGATAAATGTATTAAAATCAGGGTAAAAAAAACAGACAGACATGCAAACAAATAAACAAAAATGATATAAATTTGACAGCAATAGATGACCATTTTGTATTCTCAGGAAGTTTTACATGAGAGAGTAAAGACATACAAGAATTGGAAGGATGCTGAAGCCACCCTGACGAAAAAGAGGGAAGTGAAAGTAAAACTTGAGCTGGCTCACAAAACCGATAAAATATCACAAGCACAGCAAGAAATAACAGATGTAAATTTAATTATTAACCATTTATGGACTTGAGGCAATTTTAAATTGAATCTGTCCATAATTATTCAAATTCAAACCTGTACAAACCTTATTGATGTGTAGGTTGGTCTGGCTTTATACTGGTGGCAATGGTGTTTGTTTCATTAAGGCCACTAGTGCTGAAATGAAATGTTTTTATTTGAAAAAGTTATCCTGTCATTTTCCTTGATTAAAAATTAAACCCAAAAACTTCTGTATGTAAGTGTTTGTATTAGTTCAAAATGATAGTGATAAAAAGACAGTGCTGTTAGAAATAATAACTTTTTCATAGTTTTTTTGAAAAAATTTTTTTTACATTTGTTCCCTGTTGGTTCCTTTTGTATATTTCATTCATTTAGGCTTCATTGTCAGTTATGGCAAATATTTTGTAAACCACTTAATATAAATAAAGGGTGGGGACTATAGGATTGTAATGGAACGTTAATATGTCAAAATATTTATTTGTATTGTTTTGTGTTAAAGTGGGAGCAGAGGGTAGAGAAAGGCCAGAGAGACTTTGAGACGATATCAGCTACAGTACGTAAAGAGGTGGCGAGATTCGATAAACTACGAGTGGGAGATTTTAAAAGCAGTGTGATACAATACCTTCAAAACTTAATGGAAAAACAACAACAGGTGAGTTTCAGGGTCTCCTCCAGAACTAAGTGTTTTATTTAAGGAAGTTGTTTAACTAAGTTATAAAAGATTGATGATCATGTTTCTAAGTGTATCCACACATAAAAAAAGGACTGATTATTTCCTAGCAGGTACAGTATGTTGTATGAACATTGAACTAGTATTGATAGTTATCAGTGTTCTTTAGTATGTTGACCAAGGTCTAACACCTGCTTGGTTAGATTTTCTTCCATTATTTGACCTTGAGTCATTGTTGTGTTTAATACCCCTTAAAAGTAAATCAATAAAAAATGTACCATCCTTAATGAAACAATCATGCTCACATCAAAAATTTGGTTAATTTTTCTGCATAGATTTAGAAAACAACAGTTAGGAGTCTCGCCAGACTGCATCAATGTGAAGTTTGCATGCCTTTGATAATGACTTTTGCTTCTTTGATGAAAGAACTATCTGGCAAGCTCACGGAAGGTCATTGGTTCTATTCAGGGCCTTGCTTTTGGCTGAAAAAAAAAGTATTGAGAGTAGGTGGTGTCTGATCATGGTCTGCACTGTTTGCTATTTTGTATGTTAATGTTTTTAAAATGCTCCTTAAAAGTAATGTGAAGTTTAGGGGGGGGGGGGGGGTGTCTGATCATTGTCTGCACTGTTTGCTATTCAGTTGGTAGATATTTAAAAAAAATATTTCTTGAAAAAGGAGGAATGGTTTTGTCCAGATTGAAGATGAACAAATCCATTTAAGATATATAGTGGGGTAAAGGTCAATGATAAATGTTTCATGTTTATTTTTATAATTTCAGATGATCAAACATTGGGAGCAGTTTTTACCAGAGGCAAAGGCCATTGCATGATTGGGAAACTAATTATTATAACATTATGTGTGTGATACATTATACATTCTATCATATTGTACTAGTGCTTAAACAAAACCTACCATAGAATAATTTATTTATAAAGCTTCTTTCTTTCGGCTTTTTTTTGTATGTAAAACAATGATTTATATGGTTGGTACACAATTAGTGCAATGTTGTGAAATGCAAAAGGTAATAAGAATTAGATGGCTGTTTTTGCATGAACAAAACTTTTGTCCTCACAAGTGTGTGATTAGTTTTCAAAGTGTGTGTTTTATTTCTTAAATATTTTCTTTCCTACTGACAAAAATATAAATAAAATATTTATATGATTAAAGACTTCTTTCCAAATTCTGATTACTTAAATTTTAATTAATTGCATTTATGTGCTGATTTTATGACACCCTTCTTATAAAGATTTGATATTTGAGTCTTTAATGTAGATAACATCCTTATATACATATACTGTAAAAAGATTTCAAATGTCTTTAGAACACCAATTACTTGTAACCAAATATTTTCCTGGTAATAATAGTGTTTGGTAATTACCTTTTAATTATTTAACTTTTTGATTTGTATGATGCAGCTATAAGACGCAGTGTTCAATATGAGCATCTTAATTGTATTGGAAAAAAACGTCTTATAACTGAGTAAATTGTTAAAAACTTTTCATTGACATAGTAAGGCCACTTTAATGATGTGTTATAAGATAAATGATTAGATAATAGCCTAATTGTGACAGTGAGTGAGTGGAGTGTTGTATGTAAAACTTGTGTTCCTCGGAGAGGACTACCGAAACAGACTTACTCGAATAGCAATTAATAATTGTATGATGATTGTTAAACATATTTTCATGGCAGATATAGATGTAGATATATAATTATTGAATTCATTATGCATGGGAAGTTAGTTACACATAGCATATAGCCAGTTATCATATTTTGAACATTTATGCTTCTTTGATTGTATGAAAATGTTAATTTGTTATAGATAATTAAAGTTGACCTATGGTGGTATCTAAAAGCAAAATGCATGTACTGTAGTATTTCTTTGCTCTTCTGTTTGCATAGAATTTTCATTTTTCATGTTTATGCCAAATGAATAATAAGTTTTTTTAATTAATGCTCAGAGTTTAGAAAATGTCTTAATTGATATGTGCACCAAAACAAAATTTTCTTTGACTACATGTACTGAAGATTTAAATAATCATGTTAAAGATGATTGTCATGTTCTTTGCGGAACTTTAAATCATGTTCTTTGCAGAACTTTTAAATAATATTGTTTACTGTAGCTTCAGGTTTCATGACCCAGGATTTAAATATAAATGATGTAAATTTTCTTAATTAAATTTGATTGTATGAATGACATTTCTTATTAGATATATATATATCTTAATTTATATAGTGCAATATTTCCCCATTGTGTTTTGATTATATTTTCTTCCTACAAGTATAAGTGTGGCATTAAAATAAAGGTGAACAGAGTAGGTTTTGTCTGTTAATTTACATAATGAATATTCATTGAACAGTTAATTATTACAATACATATTCATTTTAATATACTGAATATCCATACTGCTGATTGTTTAAACAAATTAGTTAAGATAACATCAAATGAGCAAGTAGGAAAGGGTTATTATTAAGAACAAAGACCTTGAATAAATCAATCTTTTGAGATATAAGGCCTTTACATGTTTGTAGATGGTCAAAAAAACCAAACCAAAATGGTTTTCTGCCAGGATATATGTAGTATTTCTTGTATTCCAAATCTATTCCTTTTCTTGGGGGGAGGGGGGAAAATGTAATTATCAATTTTTGTCATTTGTTTACCTCATTTATTTGTTGTTTAAGAATTTTGTAGATACTTTTCAGGAAAACTTAAATGTAAGCATATAGCGTTTTTGTTCATGACATGTTTGTTTGAATCATTAAACCTTTTTGCCTACGAATCAAAGTCATGAAAGTATAGTTTAGATATGTATAATTACTTAAAACCAGTGATGTTGACTGCCTTGAAAATAGAATTGACATAAGCTGTAATTTTTTATAGTTTTTTTTTATATAAAAAAATGTCAAGCAAATTATAAACCTTTTTTCTTCTGATTAATGTTTTTGTGTAGATCATGTAAAATATACACACACGCAAACGTTATTATGATTGAAAAAGAATATTTTGCACAGATATAAACCTTTTACTTTCCCATACAAAACATGTTCTTAATGGTGGCTTGGTCTTGATGGTTTAGGCATTGAGTAATCTGAAAATCCCTAGCTATGAGTGTTCGAGCCCTGTCTGGGGCAAGTTGGTGTTTCCTTGAGCAAGACTCTTAACACTTGTTGTTTAGTACTGAACAGATTTGAACAAAAGTGTTAATGTACTTATAAATTCCTACACGGTCAAACTGAATTAAATTTTGAATACACTGAAACTTGTTTTTACTGAAACTGATTAGTGCCAGTGATATATATACATTTGTATATATTAATAAACTTTTTACATTATGGTTGTATATGGCTCATGAATAAGCACTGCTTTGCAGTGACTCAAACAAGATCATTTATATTTTCTGTTTATTAAAATAATCATCACTCCCTTGGCTGTTTCATGTAGTTTGGTTTGTATATATTCAGGCCTTTTTCTACCTATCAGACCCATTTCAATTGTAAAATAAAATGTGTGCATTATTTCCAGTTTACAAAATTAAAAAAATAAAACAAATTTTATCCAAAGTCAAAGCTGAAGATACCTTTTTTTTTCAAGATTTTTTTTGCATGTTTCTGAAAATACAGGTAAGAGAAGGGTAGATAACTGGTATAATATAAATCAAGAAAAACAACAGATTACATATTATGATTTACATTTATTCGTGCAAAAATATTATATGTTATCCATATAGAGCGACATACAACATTTTTTCATATGAAAGCTTTTTAAAGTTAACTTTTCCCAATTTTGCAAATACAAAATGTATTAGGACTCAAAATTGCCTGTTTCTCAAAGTCCTAAAAATGGACAGAAAAAGGCCTGATACTGTTATTGTATTGTCTCGTTTTAGTCATTATGATTGTCATTCTATTTTGAAACTTATTGATACGTATTACATATATGTTACTGAATATCTTGTCAGAATTGTTTTATGAATAGTACTATTTGCTATGTAAGGGGATCAAATGTGATTTAAATCGTTATGATGATACCTGTAACTTTGTATTAAAGATTGTAAAATTTATTTACAATGTGTGTACACTTGTGCTTTATTGTTTGTCAATCCATTTTTGTTGTTTTCTATGCTTAATGAGGGCCCATCTGCCCCTTTCAGGCACGGAGAGGACCAACCCCTTTATCAATTCATTTTATTTGCTTGACTATTTATACTCCTTTTCTTTTTGTCAAGTACTGGACAGAGTCGAGCTTGCTAGTCTTACGGACAGCTCTTGTTTATTTCTCTGCACTTGGAATGGCAAAGCACATCTCTTACATCTTATTTGCTTATGATATCTCTGTCAGCAGGGTTGATGAAATATTAACACCTACATGGGCTTGATTTTAATTGGAGAGTTTGGTGTTTAATGTTAATGGCCTAAGACCGCACTTGGCAAGTTATAGAAATTTAATACTTTCCTGGGAAGTATGCCCCTGGTATTCCCTACAAATGAACCTCGGTTTTAATCAGGGTCTGGGCATGACTGAACTGTGGTGATTGGACAAGATTTGGTTATATCAACATGATAAAGCCAATCCTTTCTAAAGCCAAGCCACTTTGTGACCACCTGAGTATAATTATCAAGTAGAAGCCAATTTTTTTTCAAAATCTCAGAGCGTTGCTTTAGTCTAAAAGAGACTTTGTTAGGACAAGGGTCAAGTTACTGCTATAGTCAATTTAATAGTGTTAATATATATCATACTTGAAAACGCTATCAAGAGAAATGGTGTTTATAAAGTTGGTCTCCCTTTAACCGATCTCTAAAATTTTATTTTAGTAAGGGAAACAACTCTTTTGGTCTTATCAGAGAGACCATTGAATTTGAAACACGACTATCGAAATACGTGGCTGTCTGATTTATACGATGGGGCGTAGCCCCCCCGCCCCCCAAGTATTCATCAGATTGACGGATATTTCTGTCGTTTTCCCTTGCTCTGTCGTCACAATAAATAAACCCCAGCAAAACTGAGCCAATCAATGGGCATGCTCTGGAGTGCGGATAACTAATACCTGCACTCCAGTTAACGCACTGTGCATGTATATGTATACGATTTAACTCTGACACATTTTCAACAGAATGGTCCCCAAACTATGATACAATTGATACTTAGGACTGCGTCCTGAAATTTCTTTGGAGGATATCAAGAGGGTCGAAATATATTTCTAAAACAATATATTATTATATTTAAGAATGATTATTATTTTAATCAAAATGCACAAATTAACCGCAATCAATTGTTTTAGTAAGTTTGCTTACAGAATAATGTAAACGTGCATGTGATAGCAGATGGTAAATGCTGGACATATATAATTTTTTTTTGACGTTGCATATGCACATGTGAGTCATTGATGAATTTTGTGTAACGCGTAAGAGTCGACCCATAATTGCATGGAGTCTCTTTCCGTTAAAACATTATAAAATGTTGTAACAGTTATATTTTCACATCGTTTAAAACATATACAAGAAAAGCATTGATGCAAAGCATCAAAGGGCGTCCAAGCAAGAAATGCAGCAAGTGAAGATGAACTAGTACACATATGATGACAAGATATTCTTATAAACTACCAGAAATGTATACCACTTATGAATGAGCGGACGAAAGACATTGTTCATTATGAACTTTGATTGGCATGCTAGAGATTAGAATATTACTTGTTATTTCTTTATGATCGTGGTTATTAATAGCAACGGATATACATGTATGCAATCATTTATAATCCATATGTGTAACGCATGATCAACACGTACCACACATTTGTCGCTTATTATGTACATGTTATCGCTATTAGCGAAGACCCCCTTAAGGTATCTGTTCACACTTTAAGTTAGTAAAAATATGACACTGGTTATATTACCATGTTGATCATGTTGAGCATAATTGTTTATTATACAATAATTGTAATATCTATTAATTTTAATTTAAAAAAAAATACAAATTTTATGAATATTGTTTGCTTTTATTCTTTTTTGTGTTTTATGTGCTATTTTAATACTGAGTTTTTACTACTCTTTTTTATTAAAATTGTAAAATAAATTTTAAGAATTCAATTGTCATATTGACCGACGATTATAAGTCAAAGCTTAACTGGGAAAAGTCAGTAAATTATGGTTTATCTTTCAATGTATAATATTGTTTATTCTTAAACCATGTACATGTACATTGTATTTTTCTTTATCATTTTTTAAATTATCGATCAATTGAATAATTCATAAAATCTAATTTGTAACTTTGAATAATTCCTCGGCATCTTTACTAAACACGGATAACAAATTGAATAATTAAATAAAATGTTTCAAAGTTGATAATGTCATTTTAATACCATAAAAAATGTACCTTTTTCTCAATTATTGTACATATCACGGATTTATATTACATATAAATCCGTGTACATATTTATTGTTTTTATCTCATATAGATAAAATGAAACATGCTATTGTTGTTTTTTTTCTAATTGTAACGATATCAAACATCTACTCCAAAACCGGGAGAGACCGGACAATAAACGTGTGGTACTATTCGCCGGTCACTAGTAAATCCTGGTCAATATAGACCGGGAGAGACCGGCATTTACCGATAGGAGTGATAAAAAGATATATCTATAAATAGGTTTTTGGAATATTTAGGTCATCAACTGATCATTCTAGGATACATGTACAACAATAACATACCATGACATGATAACCGACTGTGTACTACAAAATGATAAATAAAAAACCCCGAAGAGCGCGATTTATTGACGGAAAAGGTTATTTCATTTGTAAATGTTTGCATTGCGAAAATTCATTGTAACATATCGCGACATTTCATTCTTATTTAATAATCAAGCACCCTCATACCGATCGGAATTTTCGGCTTTTATTATGACCGACTAAAAGGCTCGAGAAGTTGCTGTCGCCCTTTCACAAAATCTGATCTCATTCCATAAGAGCGCCGCGCTTCGGCGCGGACGCCAATAACAGCATTTTATTCACCGTAAACACATGTTGTTTAACATATTTTTAAGTACAACGACCTACTTTCCTCGCGAACTAGCCGCCATCTTGAAACGCTGCAAGAGCAATGTTGTGAATCGTTCATCCAATCAGATTGCTAAATTTTCTTTAGAGGCGTTTTGATTGGATAATATTTCATAGGCGTCTTGCTATCAAAGTAAACGAGACGGAGGTCGTGGTAGCGTCTGTATTTTAACATAAAGCGATTTTGATACATTTAATTGGCAAAAAATACGGTATGTCCGACAACTCGCGGATCATCCATCATTGAGCGCATTTTTTGCGGTTTGTGTTATAGAATGTGTAGCGTAACGTGAACTTAAGTGTCATTAATGGTGAATAACATAATATTCAGTGATACGTGCAAACAATATTGTTTTTTAAATGTCAATATCTTCAACTCGGCGCGTTTTATTTGTTATTCTGTAATTTCCTAAAATATGTTTGCATTTGTAATTAAAAAAGTTATGTTTGTAAATTTAAAGGTTTGGTGTTATATACAAAAAAATATAAATAAATAAATTTCAAATTAAATTTGAGTAGATTTATCAAATTCCTGTCTTATGACTCAGCAGGTGTATAATGATGATATTCAGCTGTTTTTATTGTTATGTGTTGCGCCCTCCCGGCCACAAAACCCAAACAAACACCCATTTATGCCCCCCAAAAATAATTTAAAAAAATGAATAAATGAATTAAATAAATAAAAGACAAAGAAACAGAACAAAAAGAAACGAAGCAATAAAATCTTTTTCATAATGTTTGCATTTTGTCGCCGTCATCATTGATTCACGGTGTTATATTCTCCTATCATTTTTTGTTTGCCTTTTATGTTTTGTTCAAACCTAGATGTGTGTGTAAAACTGTTATATAGGTGCATTTCAATCAATCTAAAATAGTTGCAAGTTTTTAGTGATTAATCATAGAGTTAGGGCGGAGGATTTCTGTAACTTTGCTTCGTTTCATGTCGGAATGTACAGGTAGTCTGTATAATAAAAAAGTAATGCCCAAAGATTCTGTCGATGTGCTCGGTGCATACTTATAAGTACGTGTACATATTGCAGTGCTCGTCTGATTAAAATCCATTCATGCAAGAAGCTAGGTTAGTCTATGTCTAGACCAGTTTCTTTAAACATTTTTTTGTTGGATATTAAGTTATATCGACACTTTACTCGTGATATAGTGACTTTCCAGTTGTACTCTGTGCATTATTTCAGGCTCGAGCCGGCGGCACATCACCGACATAAAATTAGATATACATTTTGGCCTTAATTCATTGATTAATTGTGTATTTTTTTATTTACTAGCATTTGCAGCGTCTTTTCCAATAAAAGACTTGTGTACAATTTCAGTATATTTTCCGTGGTCGTTGCACAAACATGTGACTGTTTATTTGTACGTGCTGAGAGACATTTCTTACCAATCAGTAACCGACCTCCTAGCATGGCTTCTGTATTTCACAAGAACATTATGTTGTTTTGCTCACGTAGTTGGCTATTTGTTTGATACAGACAAATATCAAGTAACAAAACATGGTTGTAGATTTCAAAATGTACTATTCATGACATATGATTATGTAAGAACATGAATACCATTGTGTTTATTCTTTACTTACCGCATATATCGACGGAACTTGAATAATGCATGAATAACTTTTGGAATGGCGAATGAGGTCAGACGAAAAGCGGATAAAACTGTTATTTATTGTTGCTTGATTAGATAGGAATTGTTTGTAATTAATGTACTCGTACATAATATTGTAACAGTTCTGTTTCTTTTAAAAATGTTTTAGTTAAGGCATTTACTTGAGAAGTAAAATTACGTGGTTTGCACCGATTGTTAATTATGAGTTTTGTCTTTGCAGCCTGAGGGTATTGGAATATAATTGATTTTTGAGGTATGGAGGGTCATGTCACGTGTTTTTGTTGCACGCAGAAAGCACGTTATCTGTAAACCGTACATGATCGGTTAACTTTTCGTAAAATATTTTTGATGAAACATTATTAAAAACAACTAAAATGCACACACATTC